GTGATGAATAAGGCTTGAGTCTTCTGTTTGTTGAGGTTGATCTTCCATTTGTTCATGTATTGTTGAACTTTTCTTCCTGTGTGCTGTAGATGTGTCACAATATCGGCCGAGTTCTCTGCAGAATGATACAGTGCTGTATCATCTGCGAAAAGACCGATGTTGTTGGTTGTCTCTCTTACAACATCATACGTGAAGATGTTGTAGAGAGTTGGTGAAAGCACTGCTCCTTGTGGCACTCCGAATTTGATTACCTTGATTTCTGAGAACTGACCTTTAATAAAAACTGCGAAAGATCTTTCACTGAGGAAAGATCTTACAGTTTTTATAAGTGGCAGTGGAAATCTCAGTTTGAGCATTTTGTACAAGAGTCCGTTATGCCAGACTCTGTCAAATGCTTTTTCTACATCCAGGAAGATCATGCCTGTTGACTTTTTGTTGTTTAAGTTTTCTTTTGCTGATTTGATCACTTTGATGAGCTGGTGAGATGTTGATCTTCCAGTCCGAAAGCCGCACTGCTGGTTTGGGATGATGTTGTTATCCTCAAGATGATCGTTGATTCTATTCAGTAATACTCTCTCCAGTATTTTGCTTATTGAGCTGAGTAGACTTATTGGCCTGTAGCTGCTTAGCTCATTTGCTGGTTTTCCAGGTTTTGGAATAGGAATCACTTTTGCATGTTTCCAAACTTTGGGGAAGTGGTTGAGTTTCAGACACGAATTGATGATGAATTTCAAGTATTCGAAACCTTTTTCAGGAAGATTTTTGATGAGTATGTTGTTGACTTCATCTAGTCCCGGAGCTTTTGGATTTTTCAGATTTCTTATGATGCTCACGATTTCGTTTACATCTGTTAGTTCTGGATTCTCATCATTGTCTTGTTCCAATGCTTCTTTGACTGTGTTGTTTACTTCCTGTGTATGCTGTGGATCGTTTTGTTCCAGAGGATTTTCGTGAGCTTCACGAAAATACTCACTGAGTGCGCTGGCTTTTTCTTTGTTGGTGATGAACGTTTTAACCAGATTTGTCAATGGAGGCATTGATTTTGAACCTTTTTTGCAAAATTTTGCTATTCTCCAAACTGTTTGGTTTGACGGTTGAATCTCTGAGAGACGCTTATTCCAGTTTTTGTTTTTGAGTTCTTTAATTTTCTCATTGATGACTCTCTGCAGATAATTCAATTCAGATTTGAGTTGATTATCTCTGCTTCTCTGCCATCTTCGACGAAGACTCCTTTTTGTGTTGATTAGATCTTTAATCTCCGGTGTGAGTTTAGTTGATTCGAACTTGATCTTTTTCATTTTTACACTTGAGTTCCTCGCTTCCATGATGAGTTCAGAGAGAATCTTAATGTGATTCTCGATCTCATCTGTTGTATTGCAAGAATTTTCTCCAATGTTGTCTTCAATGCGGCGTGAAATTTGTGCTTTGAACTTTTTCCAGTTTGCGTTTTTGTAGTCATATCTGTAGACTGTATTTTCAGTTCTGTCGATTTTTGATGTTTTGATTTGGAAATACACAGCGCAGTGATCACTCATTGCCTCTGTGCATTGAAGTTCTGTTGTTTCGAGGTTGGAATTCGAGAGCATCAGGTCAATTGTTGACACTGATTTGTTTCGATCTTCTGGGTAGTACGTTGGCGAGTCAGGAAAGTAGATCATGAACTCTCCTGACATTTCCTGAAGAATATTTCCTGATTTATTTGCAACGTTGCAGTTCCATTCTCGATGTTTTGCATTGAAGTCTCCACAGATGTAGTAATTTCCTCTCAGATTTGTTATTTTGTTGATGTCATCTCTCAGATGTAGATCTATTTCCCCTCCTTTGCTTCCTCCTGGGAGATAGACTGAGAGGATGTGACAACTATCCGTGTCATTGATGAAGACTTTGATTCCAATGCATTCCATTAGTTTTGTGTTGTAGCTTGGTTGAAGCTGATGTTTTAGATTTCTTTTGACGATGATTGCAACACCACCCTTTGGTCTATCCACGCGATCCAATCGATGAATTACGTAGTCTGGATGCGAGTCAATTTTTGAGTTTGGTTTTAGGAATGTTTCTGAGATGCAAGCAACATCGACGTTTTGCTTGCTTAGGTAGTCGAGAAATGCTAACATTTTGTCAGTGATGCCGTTAGCATTCCAGTAGAGGACGTTGATACTTTGTTGTCTACAATCCATTATTGTATGCGGTGTTTTTGGCACTTGAGCCGATTGCTTGGAGTATTTCGTCGATGAACTCTGGATTTTTGGCGATTAATTTGAGAAGCTCGCTGATAAGGTACTTGCACTTTGATTCCTCTATTTCTGTGATGTTTTTATCTCTTGTGCTGGTGCTTTGAGCTTGTTGATTAGTTGTTATGTTTCGATTCACTACCTCAACACTGAATGAAGGTTCTGGGAAGACTTCATTCGAGGTCTGACTTGTTGCACTGATGTCTTCTGAGTCCATAAGCTCAACATCTTGCTTTGGTTTTTGATGTTGCTTGTTATTAATGCGCTCGTTTTGCTTTTTTCTTTGATTCTTTTTCCAATGTTTTCCTCTTTCTTTATTGTTTTGTTGGTTGTTCAAGTTATTTTTATTTCCCTGATTTGAGGGTTTGTGATTTGGAGGAGGATTTGTGTTCCTTGGTTTGTGGTTGACTGGAACTTGTTTTTGATGAACAGGCTTTTGTGTACCAGATGTTGATGGTTCCATATACTCCTTTCTCCATTGAGGTTTTGGTGCATGTTGGACGTTTCTGGTTGATCTCTCAGGACGATGCGGTGTTGGAGGATTGTTTCTCCGTTGTCCATATGAATAATGGCCTGCTGTTTTGTTTTGATTTTGGTTGTTTCCATTCTGTGATTTTGATTTCCATTTTTCAATTATTTCTTGTCTGGTTTTACAACCTGTGAAAATTGCTGTATGTTTTTCACCGCAGAAGAAACATTTGAGTTTTCCGAGTGGAACCTTGTTGGTCTCTTTCGATATGTACTGGCACGTTTTCGAGTCATGTTGCTCAGAGCATCTGAAGCAAACGGACGGTTTGTTGCAACCGTTTTGTCCATGACCAAACTGCAGACATTTCGAACATTGAGATGGTCCAGCTTGTCTATTTTTGTAGTCAGCCCATTTAATTTTGAAACTGCTGACAATTTTGATTTTTCTGAGGAATTCCAGGAAATTTCCACCTTGTTCTACATCTTTTTTGAAGTACACGAGGTAGTTCTGGTCGTCGTCTTGTTCGTGTCTTTTGTGTTTCATTGTCATTTTGACAATTTTTACTGGTGTGATTTTTACGGTTTGAAGTTCCTTCTCCAACTCACTGATTTCCATATCTGGGAGTCCATAGAGTACGTACTTCTTCAGTGGTTCTTGGCTGGAGTATGTGTGGAAGTGATGCTTTTTGTCTTTGAGTAGTTGGATGAATTTCTCGTAGTAATCCCAACTCTCCGTTGTTACCGTTTTTGTTCCTTGTTTGCCCTTTTTGGTCTCAATTAAGAAACTTCCAGGTTGATTGTTTATTTCATTCGTCAATCTCTTGATTTCACCAGCTCCTCCTGTGCTGATGACAATTGGAGGTGGTTTTGATTTTTGTTGAGATTTGTTGTTGTTGCTTTCCGTGTTTACGGAAATTGTCTTTTGTTGCTCTGATGTTTTGCTGTTTTCTCCCCAGTACGAAGAAGTTGTCGATCTTTTTTTCTCCTGTTCTGGTGAACCAAATAGATACGGTACTCCAGAAGACGAAGCTTTCTTCACTGGTGGGAGTACGAACAGTGGTTTGTTCCCATCTTTTGGTTTGCTTTCGTTTGCTACTCTTTTTAAAAGAGCGTTGGGAACTATCACTTCTCGAGGGCGTTTTTCTGCTTTACTTGCTTCATTGAGAAACTTCTTTATTGATATTTGTTTTTTTGGTTTGAGATTTGTCATCTCAATGTCGGCTGCTTGTGAAACATCTTCACTGAAAATTTCCTCAATATTGAGAATTGTCACTGAAGATGAATGTTGTTGTTGAGAACTATTAAGTCCATGCTGATTTTGAGAAAGATTTTCTTCGTTGTTGGTAGTTTTTGGTGATGCTACCATTTTGATGTTTTGAGAATCAAACTGAGATTTTGAAACTTTTTGCAAACAAAAAGCTTCTCAGGTAGTCTCTGTTTTGTTTCTTTTGAGATTTTTGAATAATTTGCGGAGCGATTTGTAAACACGTCTGTTCACGTTGAGATCTAGTTTGCAACTGAAGAAAAGGAAACCATTTGATGCAATTTAATCGACTACGAGAAACAATACTATGTAAGGCAGCATCTGTCGATTTACCAGGTTGATAAGCAAACTGATACTTAGACAAAGTCCTACTTGACAGAATTTCATCCCTTATATATCAATCAACTAATTTTTCCAAAACCTTTAATAGGAAGGACATCAGACTGATGGGTCTAAATGACTTAGCTACAGCGTAAGTGTCTTTGCCTGGTTTTGGAATAAAAACAACTTTAACACTTCTCCATGATTTTGGAATGTACCCTGTAGCCAAACTGTACCCAAAATAGTACCTAGCTCACTACAGTCCATTGAGTCATCAACTACTGTTGATCCAGCAAAATGAGCACTCAAAAGTAGCTGAAGACTTTCACTACTGCTATGAGTAAAAGTCCCGTCCTGCTTCTTGAGTGCACCGATTGTTGCATCTGCATTTCTCTTCGCCATCAATTTGTGAATCCTTGCGCAGTCCTCAAACCGTTCAATTTCTTCACATTTATTTTTCCACGAAGCAAGTGCTGCTTCCTTGTTTTAATTCAATTATTATGCCACTTTTTTGCCGAGCAGCAAATAAATTTTCAAGAAGCACTCAGATTTATAAAAATAGCATTCATAATGATCTACTTTACTAGATATTTCTTTCGCATATATCTCAATTCGCAATTTTTTTTTATGTCATGTGAGGCGAAAACATAATAATAAGGGTAAAAATTATATTGGGCTACATAAGCGATAGTTTAATGCAAAATGAGGATACTCACTCGGCAATGAGTTTCATGAATTTCTTCAGCTTGAAAAATATATCCAGTCACAAAACAAATGAAAAGTCCAGACAGAGGAAGGATAAGCGTGATATTTGATAGTGATCTGAGTGACAGTCTAAATAATTCGATATTCTCGTTCGCTTGACTTTCCCTATTTCCTCTATCATCATTTCTCGTAAGCTCATCGCTCTTAGTCGATTTATCAGTATCCATCTACAACAAAAAGTCAAGCACAATAAGTAAATAATGATTGCAGACAATCACATGCTATCCCAATAATGTTCCATTTTTTTGAATTTATCGATTTTTCCCAATAATGCATTTTAACATTAAAAACTTGATGCCATTTATAATTAGATTATGCTTTAAAACAAGATTTATGCGTTGTGCAATGTCTACTTTTCATACAACATAAAATTATCGAAGAAATAATTTTAATGAAAATTTTCCAACTTACTAGAAAACTTGAATTTCTACTCTCAATTTTCAATAATCAATCAATTCTTTCAATTCACTTCATCTTGCTGCTCCTTTTGTACAATTTCAGACGTATCAGCAGTCGATAGCTTGAGTTTAATTAATAATTTTCAATTATTTTTCATTCACTGATTGAAAATTTTCATTTTTTCTTAAGGATTTTCCGTTCAGCCCTTGTAGCAAACGATTTTTCCTGCTCTTCTTGTTTACTCCTGTTTTTTCAATTTATTATTGTCATTGTCTGTTGCTTCCTCATTCTGTTATTGTTAATTTAATTATTAACTGTCAGTTTGAATGCTGAAGAGAAATTCATGATGGGTTTGAAAACATAAATTTGAATTTTTCTTTACCGTTAAAACTAAGGGGTGCTAAAGTAAGATGACGGTTTGAATTCAAAAATCAAGAGTTACCGATTATGTTCATTTGTTGATTGATTAATTATTGTTTCTTTACTGTTGTTAAATGTTAAATAATATAAATTATAATGGATATGAACCAATGGAAGCTCGTACTATTTGATTGGGTATGTAAATCATTCGAAAAGTATTAAGTTTATTAATAAAAAGTTAATATTTTTATAGATTACCGCGACTGGATTAATTGACGTGTTTGGATCATTAGAGCATGTACAATTAGATGATTTTTTCTTCAACTTTTACCACAAGATTCATTCAGAAATTAAAGATACAATAGAAGAAAAGCTAATCTGTGATTTTCTAAAAGGTAGGAAGTAAAATTTTTAGCACATTAGTTCATTGACACTCATGTCTGGATCTTTTTACTTTATCATACATATATTTAGAAACTTATCCAGATTATGAAACTTTATATGATGAAAACAACAATGTGTCGTCCCAAGATTTTGTCTATGTCTTTTCGTTACTTCTGCATTATTCATGTGTTCGAGAAAAGGACGAATACTTTCAAATTGCATGCACAAAATTAAATTCGACATTTCAAATGTGTATTGCCACTTTCCTTGAATACGTCACTAAACAGACAATTTTCAACAAAGAAATAATTCGTACTGGAATCAAACAAGCAGCTAATATAACATCACCACAAACAAAATACTTCTCAGTGAATAGTCCTTTAAGGACACCAAAAAAATCTGATATTTCACCCCCAACACCCAGTAAAGATTTCATCAATTCTAAATTGAAGGAACTAAAAGCAGTCAAGTCACAACTCGAAAATGAACGTTATGAACGGAATATGCTGGAAATGGAAGTCAAACAGAGTCAAGAGAAAGTCGATAATCTAGTCAAAAAGTGCAAAGATTTGAGTCATGAAGTTCAATCATTAAAAGCTAGTTCATTTATTGAGAATGATTCTGAAAATTTATCGCCAAATAAGACACAACGAGAATATCAAATTCGTAAGAAAATGCAAAAGGAAATACAACATCGCGAGGATATAATCCTAGATCTTAAGTACGAAGTTGAAAATGGCAATGTAATGAATAAAAAGTATCAGAATAAGATTAATACAATGGAGAAGCAAATGAATGAAATGAGATTAAAAATTAGAGAACTTGATGCTTCTCTTGATGAGCTATTATGCAACATCACAATGAAAGATCAACATATTCATAGTTTAGAGGAAGAGAGGAAGGAACTCTTGGAGTTTATTAATGAAACTCGAAGTGGTGTTAATTCAAAGGATATTTCCTCAGACTGTCTCGATTTTTCATGCTCAACAGCTTTATATACAACAACTAGTGATTTATGTGAAAGTTTAGCTAAAAGCGTCGTCGAAGTGCAATTAAAAGAAAAGGAAGCTGAAATTACAAAGCTTAGTGAGCTGCTCACATCCAGTGAACAAATAAAGGGTGAACTGAAATCAAAAATATCAGAGATGAATGAAACCTTAAAGAATCTCGAGAATGAAATAAATGATGTCAGATCCAGCAAAAATAAAATTTTTGAAGATAAATCAACAGAAATTCAGTCACTACAAAATCAACTCAACTGTATGATGTCTAAAAATAAGGAACTACAACGTGATCTGGATCTGAAACAAAAGATTAATTTGAAAATGCTTAACGAAAACGATACCCACAAAAATGAAACACAAAATCTAAAGGAAGAAGTCACTCAACTAAAGCAACAAATTGTCAAGAACAATGAGGAATACAGCAAATTGAAAAACGAGTTGAAGCTTGCTAAAGAAAATCAATCAAATGAAAGCAACTTGAGAAAGGAAATGACCAAAAAGTCATTACAGTTTGAAGAGATTATTGAGAATATAAACGGCAAGTTAAACGAAAAGAATGAAAAATTGCTCGAGCTCACTAAAATGTCAGAAGATTTTAAGAAAATGCATGAAGCGTTCGTTAAGGAATCTGAAGAAAAATTGATGCTTAAAAATAATGAAATTTCATCACTGAACTGTAAATTTGCGGAACTCGAAGAAAATCTTAACAGGGAAAAGACATTTAATGATACATTGCAAGAAAATACTGAAGTTTTGATAGCGAAGCTGTCAAGATCCAGAGATGATGTAAAGCAAAAAATTGATGAAATTACTGCAAAAACAGAAGAAGATAAACGCAAATATTTCATTAAAATGGAAGAAAAGCTCGAAGGATATAAAGCAGATGTGGTAAGTTTTTAAAGGTTTAGCTCATATTTAATGTCTATCATTCTCACTTTATCATTGGAATTCACTAATTCATTCATTCTTCATCATAACACGCATGAGTTTCACATCTATCGTTATGATTAATTGCTATAAATGACAACATGTGAAATTAATGTCATTACAGATATCCCAAAAAGCACAGAAATTAAGTACAAGATCACGAATGGAAGAATTCAAGAATCAGATTGTGAACTTTATAAAATATCCATTAGCAATAATTATGTTTAATTTTACACTTTTTGTTTGGTTTAAGTACAACTTAAATGGGCACAATTTAGAGTTTTATATTAAAGAATCAGTACCTAAATTCCATTGAATGGATAAACATTTCTACCTCATCTTTATGAAATAAAGATACAAACTTAGTTGCGAAGAATATTTATAAATTTTTTATTAAATGATAAGAGCATGCGATAAAACTTCTTGTTTCTTACGTAACAGATTAAGAAATACCAACAAGCTGTAGAAGAAAGTAAGAGCATCAATGAAAAGGTAGCTAAACTTGAGTATGAAACCAAGATTAAGGATAAGCAACTATCAGATAAAGACGGAATCATAAAGAACTTTGATCTGTTAATTAATAAATTTCAAGTCGAAAATGCATCATATAAGGAAGAAATTGAGGAACAGGACAAGACAATCAAAAATTTAACAGCCGACTTGACACAAGAAAAACGTGATAAGGAATTCATAATCTCAAAGCTACAATTCTTGGAACGCAGTGATTGTGAAGCTATTTCAAGCACCCCTAATATGAATTCTGAGCACTTTAATAACATGTTCCTGAAAGATCTGAAGAATGGCGATGGTTTTGATGATGTGTCCAATACTGGTTTAAGCTCGATTTTCCAACAAAGAAATTCACAATATCCTCCACATTTGAGAGACTCGTATGCCATTGGAAGCCACGATAAGGATATTTCAGAACATGAGATGAAGGTAAGGTTCAAATTTAGATTTTTATGTAGTTTCTCGCGATTTAAGAAAATTTTAAAGCTTTGACTTAATTTAAATCCAACGATTTAATACTGAGCTTAAATTAAATCTTAAGATTAAACGAAAATTTTTATTTCAGAAAGGTATTGATGTAGAACAACCAGCATGCGATAATGTAGGAAAGAAGAAGCAAAGTCCAGTTTATCATCGTCCAGGACCACCAACTCCATCAAAAAATGCTCGCATCTCAATAAACCCAAACTTTAAAGTTGTTCTAAAAGATACAACAAACACAGAATGTGCAGAAAAGATGTCAACACCAGCCCGTCTTAAGGCATTATTTACAAATTTAACAAAATCAAAAGATGAGGTAAGTTATGATTTAATTAGAATATATTTCCAGTTTTTGAATTTGTGTGTTGTGAATGACTTCTTTGAAATATTTTTCATTGCCCTCTTTTTTTAATCCCTCGCATATAAATACCAATACTGTTCCTTAAATTAAAGTTACGTGGAAATCGTGTTGATAAAAATAATCGTACCTTAACACCAAGGCGGGCCAAAAATGGAAAGGATAAATGGATAATTGAAAAGGATACAGATAGTGAAGAGAATATTGCTAAAAGTTCTAGAAAGGAAATGGAATTAGATCGTAAAGGGAAAAGAGATAAAGCTCGTGATTTAAATAGACCGAACTTACAAGATGATTGTCTTGACGTCACAGTCTGTTCTAACGATTCAGAATGGACAGAAGACGATGAAAACAATCATGAAAGGCATTCCAATACATCGAAACACGACAAGTCACTAGAATATATTAAGCACCGAGAAAACTTTAGAAAACATCAACAAAAAATGCGTCGTAGAAGCTTCAATAACAACCGTAAAAGTTCCATTTCTAAAGATTCAAAAATTCTTGGCAAAATATCTCGAATGTCGTCAGATGATTGGGATAAATTTAGGAGTTGTCGGTCACTCCAATCTGACTGCTCGCTACCTTTTAACAGCACTTTACAGACTCCAATAAAGACATGCACAAGGAACTTTATTGAAACTCATTTTGCTGAATATAATAGAATGTCTGACTATCAAGCACCACCACCTTATCGAAAACTACCAAATGATGTCGATAATGAATATTGGAACTTTGATTTTAAAGATATTAAAAAGCCAGTTCCACTCCTTGTGATTATTTGGCTAGTCATTTGTCTTGCTGCAACTTTAATTTATTTTAAACAAAATTAACTTATTATTGTAATTGTCTGAAATATTGAATCTTTTTTGTTACCAAAAAATAAAATCGGAGCTATTAACTTTTATAAAGTCTAAATGATTTACTTTTTATTATTCGATGATTAATACAAAACTTTCTTATGTCTCTTTTTATTGCAGAATTCAGCAAAAGGCAAACGATTATTCTAGTGAAGATATAAGAAAAATCTCCTGTGACAATTATAGAAAAATCATAGCTAAAGATACAGTCAAAAGCAACGTGATTAATATTAATTAATATTTCATTATTGTATTAAATAAGAAGATAAATGAATCCGTAGATATACCAAAAAATGCACTTGCCCAATTTCATTGCCTTTTCTTAATCTTTAATGTAGATTTTTTTGAATGTAATGGATCCAAATTCACAAGATTCAGTATTACATACATCAAAGCATCGATCATAATTTTTGTAACTTGCATTTATTATTTGTTACTTTTGTAGCGATTCTTGAGCATCTTGTAAGTTATTGATTCAATACGATTCACACCGCACTAAGACAACTTTATACTATCTATTATCAACAGGAACTCGCATCCTGAAGTTTGAAACCTTTGTTGCGTTCTTTTAAGATTTCTAGCTTATACTGAACTGTTAAATGTCTATATCTTGCCTTCAAAGCAAGCTGCTGATCAAATTCTATGATTCGCATTGCACCACCTAGCCTACAGAGTGTTACGTAGATGACAATCGACCCCTAAGCATTTATTGGCTCAAATTTTTTGCTGGTATTTTTTGTATGTGAGAGAGAAAATAAAACAGATTTCAGGTTTTTGCAACAGATTTTTGTTGTTATATGGAATATCATTTGGGCCTCAACGTTTTTTTCAGGATTTTTGCGCAACGGAAAAAAATAATTTGAATTTTTCACTAACACTATCATACAAAACATCAAAAATTAAATTCTCAATATTCTTGATTATTCAATCATTAATCTCAAATATTATGATTTGAATACGAAAAGTAGATGATACATTAGCTGTTCTGACTATTTTAAGAGCTTTTACATCATTAATGGGTGATATTTTCGTGACTTTTAAAATTTCATTTTCGATTTTGTTTGTAAACAAACAAATAACAACCGAAAAAATTCAAAAAAGCTAAAACCGTTAAACAAACCTTAACTTGTTTTTGTCCATTTAAGTATGTTAAAGCAACAATTTTAATTTTTTTATAAACTCAAAAAGTACAGAATTGAATTTCGGACCTAAAAAAATACATTTGAAGATATATCAATAAACAATAATGAAGATATAGCAAAATTCCCAAAAATTGTACGTGAGTGACGCTTAGTTAAAGTGATTTTCCGACATAACTGTTTAACTTTAGGAAGTAAGTTGTATGTCAAAAGATAGAAATTTTTGTTTCCTACAAGATAAAATAACTTTGAAATTTGTCACTATTGTGGTTTCGGAGATATTTAAGATTTTAAAGCGTCACTCACGAATTATTTATTTAGGAGCCTTGCAAGACATTCGTAAAGGATTGATGAATTTATCAGCTCGTATTCTCGGACCAAACTCATTAGTACAGGGAGCACTGCCTGTTATTTTAAAGAATACACCACAAAAGTTTTATGATGAACTCGTTGAAACACTCCAAAATCATGCAAATATTGCATATCAATTGCTGAAGGAAGTTAGAGGATTAACTCCAATAATGCCAAAAGGTGCAATTTACATGATGGTTGAAATTGATATGATAAATTTCCCAGATATAAATGATGAATTGGATTTTATACAGAAACTTGTTTGTGAACAAAGTGTGTTTTGCTTGCCTGGAAAGTGCTTTGGCATTGATAATTTTATGAGGATCGTTTTGACAGTTCCAAAAGATGATTATTGAGGCATGTGAAAGAATTAATGAATTTTGCGAGACTCATTATTATAAACCTGTCAAGAATGGATTTGAGATAGAGGATATTCCTATAGAATACATAGACATTAATGGGGATTGATAAAGTTTTGTGTAATTAATAAAACCACTTATTTTAGAATTTCTCCGTTATGTAACGGCTTTTAAGTATTTAAAATTTAAAAAACAATTTTCGTGAAAAAATTACAGAATCTTTAATTGCTCTTCAATTTTTGATATGCTTCTTTTAATGTTATTTAGGATCCTTAGAATTTTAAGTTGATAGTGTAAGTTTATTGGAATTAGCCATAGAATAAAAATAAATGAAGAGATGTAGTGGAACAATATTAATTTTTGATTATAACTTTAAATGATGATTGACTAAGGATTAGATTTTCAGAGCTTTTTCGAATTTCATTATTTGTGCTTTGACTTTAGTCAACTAATGTTTGTTATTTAATGTTATCTTACTTAATTTAGTAAAACAGTCGTGTTATTAAGTGTTCAGGAAGTTATCAAACAAAAATATCAAGGTAAGAAGGTTTAAAATAACTTAATTATGATAAAAATGATCGATTTTAATATGTTCAAAGATGTCGGAAAGAGTTCACTCGTTTTCAATGGGTAGGGATTTGCAAAGACCCAAATCCAGCTCGTCAGAATCAGATGATTATTTCTATTTTACAAGACCTGCGGGCATTTCATCAAAATGTGGCACATCTGGAACTCCAATTAAGCTAACCTCCAACTATTTCGAGATTAATGAGTTGCCAGACTTCAATTTCACACAATATCGTGTTGATTTTGAACCTGAATTAGATATTTCAAAGATCAGAAATGCATTTATTGGACAGCAAAAGGCAGTCTTAGGAGGTAAAAATTCAAATGTTTTATTACTTCAATGTAATAAATAATTGAAATCTTTAATCCAGGTTATATCTATGATGGCGCAAGTGCATTATATTTGACAAAGGAGCTTAAAGATGAAACTATGAAGTTTGTGTGTACTTCTCGCGAAGAAAAACAGTACAATTTAGTGATCAAGAAAACGAAAAATACAATTTCTATGACAAGCAAAATGGGAATGATGCTTTTAAACGTAATATTGCGTCGTGCAATGAGTGGACTAGACCTACAATTGATTCGCAGAGATCATTATGATCCAGAAGCAAGAATTATGCTTAATGATTACAAACTTGAATTATGGCCAGGATATGTCACGTCTATTCGAACTCACGAGGATAAGATTCTTTTATGCTGTGAAATATCTCACAAAGTTTTGAGACAAGAAACTGCTTTGGATGTTTTCCATAGATGTCGACAAGAGTCGAACGATGCAAAGACTGCATTTAAGAAGGAAATTATTGGATCAGTTGTCATCACTCGCTATAATAATAAAACTTATCGCGTTGATGATGTCGACTTTTCGAAAACAGCTTCCTCTACTTTCGACATGAAAGGTCAGCAAAAGTCTTTCGTCCAATACTATCAAGAACAATACGGCATCAATATAAACGATAAGAATCAACCATTATTAATTACAAATCCAAAGGTATGCTTTTAATTTTTTGTCTTCTAGTCTCTCATATCTTAATTTCCTTCATTTATAGCCTCGTGATATTCGTGGGGGACGTAGTGATGTAATTTGTCTAGTTCCCGAGTTGTGCAACACAACTGGATTAACTGAAAACATGAAGAGTAATTTTCAATTGATGAAAGCAATGGCTGATTATACACGAATGGATCCAAGAAAGCGCGTCGAACGATTAATGAAATTTAATGATCGTATATCAAGAACTCCAAAATCTGCTCAAATATTTGAACAATTCCAAACACAGTTGCAAACAAAACTTGTTGAATTGACAGGACGTCAATTGAATCAGGAAATTATTCTATTTGGCAATGGAAAGTCTGCAAAAAATGATTTTCGTGTTGATTGGACGAATCCAATGAAAATGAACGAAATGTATGCAAATGAGCCACTGCATCGATGGGGAATAATTTTTCCAACTAGAGCAGCAAATGACACATATACTTTCCTTAAATTGCTGGAAGAAGTTGCACATGGAATGAAATATGACATGAAGGCACCAAAAATGATTGAAATATCTGACGATCGAGTTGGAACATATGCAAGAGAATTAGAAAATTTCGTTTCTAAGGATCCAAAATTTGTAATGACAATCGTTCCGAATGCGAGTGCTGATCGTTATAGTGCAATAAAGAAGATTACATGTGTCAACAATTCGATTCCAACACAAGTTATTGTGCAAAAGACAATGCAACCAAAGAAGGGTAATATTGGAAGTGTCAAGTCAATAGCAACTAAAGTTTTGATTCAAATTAATTGCAAACTTGGTGGATGTGCATGGATGGTCAATATTCCAATAAAAGGATTAATGACAGTTGGATTTGATGTCAGTCGTGATGCTTCAGATAAGAAAAAGTCGTATGGGGCTTTTGTAGCATCAATGGACTTGAAAGAATCGCCAAAGTTCTTCAGCAGTGTTGCATCTCATTCTGATGGAGAAGAATGTTCAAGGCAAATCTCTAATCATATGAGAAAGGCATTAATTTCGTACAAGGACTTGCATGGATCTTTGCCATCAAGAATTTTGTTCTATCGAGATGGGGTAGGCGAAGGAGACATCGAAAGAGTTCATACTCAAGAAATTAAGCAGATTCAAGAAGCCATTGCTAGTATTTATCGTGGAGCTCAAGGTGAACCAAGTTTTGCATTTATTATCGTCACTAAGCGAATCAACACACGATTCTTTGCATCAAAAGGATCAAATCATGAAAATCCAACATCAGGAACGGTAATTGATTCCGTTGTAACACTTCGTGAACGCTACGATTTTTATCTTATTAGTCAGTCAGTTCGTCAAGGAACTGTAAGTCCAACAAGCTATAATGTAATTTATGATGATTTGGGTTTAACACCAGATAAAATTCAACTTTTGACTTATAAGATGTGTCATCTTTACTTTAATTGGTCTGGAACTACAAGGTATGTAGACATATACAGCTAGACTAAGAAGATCATTTAATAATCATCATTTTTCTACATTTTCAGAGTTCCTTGTGTCATCCAGTATGCTCAAAAGTTGGGTGTTTTGGTATCACAATATTTACACCAGCCCCCATCTGAATTACTCAATAATTCTCTTTACTTTTTGTAAAGATTTTCAACCTTATTTCTTATTACTTTTAATTTTGTTTTTGAAAAAACTTTTTTACAACTTTTTATGTTGCTTATTTTAAGACGTCATGCTTAATAATTTATATTACTTTTATGCTTCTATTGAAGTCTTACAAAAATATTTAAAATATTAACTTACTACTCTACTTACTCTTCTGTAGAAGACCTAGAAAAAAAAAATATATAACTTTATGAAAAAGAACATACAATGAATGAAAAAAATAAATCGACAATTTAGTTTTATTTGTTCTTTAACGCAATCGTGTCTTGATTTATTTTTTGCGCTACATCAAATACTTTGGGTAACTCATTGATCTTTAATCTGCGGCACCTGAAAGACAATGCGGTGTTTTGAACTATTTGACTGATAATAATTTCCCGTATATAAATTAATAATTCATTAAGGAATGGAACTACAAGTAAGTGAATGATAAGCAAATGCGATTAGTAAACATGAGTCGGCACTTCTAAAAATGCTTTTGAGCATTGATTGTTTTCTAATTGAGACAGAAAAACATTTCTTGACCTGAATCTCGATATATTGAAAGAAATGGATTTGATCACACATCAATTGGGTCAGAAAATCTTATCTTTAGCATTTAAAAAAAAGAACACAAATAATGCGTAGCTACACAGAGCATTTTGATAAGCGAGTCGCCCAATGTTAAGGTCACGGATTTTCGTAAAGATAATTCGTAGTAAATAAATGAATCATTTCAAGAAAACAGTCTTATCTCAGCTGTGAGGAATACATGAGAGAGCAGTTACTATCTATATTCTCGAGATTTATATTCTATTTAAATTAGTCGTGCATTGATGCTGGAACAAATCACAAGTGTTTAAATTGTTGTTTAATTATTATATTTTTTAAAAGAAGATGTCGGAAAATCAGACATGGAGTCTCGAAATGTCAGAATTTGCAAGAAAAACTGACAATCCATTGAGGAAAATTTGGGAGAGTCCCAACAATATTCCAAATCCTTTAATAAAATTGATTACGCTGCAAATTGGTAAAGATTTAAAAACAAAATTCGAATAATGAACTATTGTATTAATTTTTTCATCATTAAATTCCATTTATAGGCGACCCAACTGTGTTTAAAAGTATGTGTAGCATTAAATCAAGCATGATGAATTATTATCAAGTCTTTATATTTTTGCAATAGATTTCTTAGCAGCGCCTGAAACTAAAGAAGCAATCAAAAAAGCACTTGAGCATGACAATTTCTCATACACAGTTAGTCCTGGATTAGAATCATCAAGAGAGGCTGTGGCACAATATGTTAACAAAAACTATGAAAGCTTAACTATTTTGAAAGATTTACAACCCCTTACATCAAAAGACGTCATATTAGCTAGTGGCTGTTCAATGGCACTTGAAATGTGTTTTCGAGTTCTTGCTAATCCTGGAGATAATATTTTATTGCCACAACCATGCTGGGGATATTCAACGTGGATTGTAGGATGTGGAATTGATGTCCGGTATTATAATTTGGATCCAATGAGAGAATGGGAAGTTGATCTTGATCATCTTGAGTCTATGATCAATGAAAACACAAAAGCAATTTTAATAAACAATCCTGGAAATCCTTGGTAGGTTGTCATTCAATAAAGATTCGTACTTGAATTGAGTTATTATTATTATTATTATTTTTATTCAATTATTATTTTTCTCTAAAGCGGAAACGTGTATAGTAAGGAACATCTGTTGGATATTTTAAAAGTTGCAGAACGACACATGCTTCCTATCATTGCTGATGAAGTTTACGAGTTCTTTACATTCCCAGGAGTTCAGTTCTATCCATTAGCTGCATTGTCTAAGAATGTACCAATATTAAGTAAGTCAGCTTGCAAACAAAGTAGTTCACTACTTAATTATTAAAATGTCTTTCAAGCATGTTCTGGTTTAACAAAAAGATTTATCATGCCTGCCTCACGAATGGGATGGATTGTAATAAATGACAGAAATAATGTATTCAGTGATGTTAGAAAAGGTCTATTTAATATAGCTGGAAGAAATTTCTGGCCAAATAGCACTCTGACGAAAGCACTGCCTGATATTTTGAAAAACACGCCTCAGAAATTTTTCGACGATAACTCGAGTGCAGTATACGTAAGACGAGCCTTATCTCTAAAACAAATTAATCATTTATAAATTATAATTTAATTTCCGTTTTTAAGAATCATGCATTATCAGCATACAACATTTTGAAAACATGTGCCGGAATTATTCCAATAATGCCAAAAGGTGCAATGTACTTAATGGTCAAAATTGAGCTGGAGAAATTTCCCAAAATAGACACATGCTTTGATTTCACACAAAAACTACTTAATGAACTGAGTGTTGGTGTCTTTCCTGGATTTCCATGCTTCAATTTCCCAGGATTCTTCAGAATTGTCTTAACAGTACCGGAAGAAATGATTATCGAGGCATGTGAACGAATTAAGCAATTTTGTGAGAAGCACTGCAAAATAGATAGTGAGAAATACTTAAAAAGTGGTTAGACTAGAATTAAATTAACTATAAAGATCAATAATATGAATAAATTTAATATCCTTTTACACAAAGTTAAAGTTTTGCATTAATTCCTACTAATCATTAGTGCTTGCAGATAATTTCGTAATGCTTCAGCTAATCTTAAATTATTAAATCAAAAGAAAACGGTGATTTAAAGCTATTAATAAGTGCTTTAAATATAATAAGTCAAATCTTTAGATAGTGTTGATCTTGAAATTGAAACCACTTTAGTAACAAGCTTTAGAAATGGCAAAAGAATGTTAGATAAGATTAGCGATTAAGATGCCCTTAAAAATATCAATCATTGCTCTTTTTAAAAATTAGTTTTTGATTTATGATGCAAAAATTAAAACAAGTTAAAGAAAATACTGAGATTCCGGGTATTTAGGCTTAAATAACTCTAGTTATACGAGTTCCATATGAAATTTGATAAGTTAACGAAATAAAAGATAAAGTACAATTGATTGGTTCAAATCCAACGAATTGCTTCATTAATTGAATTTTGTAGATCAGTCACGTTGTGGTTCTTGTCTTGAGAAGAAGTTTTTTACCAAACCTTTAAATTTTTGCAAATATTAGAATGCCAGACGTTAAAAAATGGAATGTGGAAATGTCAGACTTGGCTAGAAAAACGGAGAATCCTATAAGGAGTATTTGGGAAGGGTGTAAAAGCACTCCTAATCCATCAAAAAAATTAATAACACTGCAAATTGGGGATCCGACAATATTCAAAAGTTTGTATTAAATCTTCATGTATGCAAGTTCTTTGTTCTAAACCCTCATATTTAGATTTTTTAGCTGCTCCAGAAGCCAAGGTAGCACTCAGAAAAGCACTTGATCATGACAACTTTTCATACATGTCTTGTGCTGGATTAGAAACATCTAGGGAAGCTGTTGCAGAGTATGTGAATAAGAACTATAAAGGATTAACAACTCAAGATTTCCAACCGATAACTTTTAATGATGTGATTCTGACGAGTGGCTGTTCAATGGCACTTGAAATGTGTTTTCGAGTTCTCGCGAATCCTGGAGATAATATTTTGTTCCCGAAGCCTTGTATGGGATATTCAACGTGGATTGTGGGATGTGGAGTTGAAGCACGGTATTTTAATTTGGATCCAAATAAGGAATGGGAAGTTGATCTTGAGCATCTTGAGTCTATGATCAATGACAAAACAAAAGCTATTTTGATCAACAATCCTGGAAATCCTTGGTAGGTTGTCATTCAATATAGATTTGTACTTGAATTGAGTTATTATTCATCTTTAAAGCGGAAACGTGTACAGCAAAGAACATCTGTTAAATATACTGAATGTAGCTGAACGTCACAAAATACCAATAATAGCGGATGAAATCTACGAGTTCTTTACATTCCCTGGAGTTCAGTTCTATCCACTAGCTGCATTATCTAAGAATGTCCCTATTTTAAGTAAGAAAATGTTTTTCATGAATTAATGTTTGAATAATAAAATTTCTTTGTAGCATGTTCTGGTATTACTAAAAGATTCATTATGCCTGCTTCAAGAATGGGATGGATTATTATAAACGATAGAAACCATTTACTAGATAGCGTAAGAAAAGGATTGTTTAATCTAGCAGGAAGAAACTTTGTACCAAACAGCACTTTAACAAGAGCACTGCCTGAAATATTGAGAGACACACCTCAAAAATTCTTCGATGACAATTCAAAAGCCTTATTTGTAAGCTCTTATCTTAAATATCTTTATTATAATTGATTATCCTTTTTATTTGAGTAGAATCATTCGTTATCAGCATTCAGCATTTTAAAGACATGTGATGGATTGACCCCCATAATGCCAAAAGGTGCAATGTACTTAATGGTTAAAATTGAATTGGAAAAGTTTCCAAATATCAAAAATTGCCTTGAATTCTCTAAAATTCTTTTAAGTGAACAAAGTGTTTCCGTTTTTCCTGGATTTCCGTGCTTCAACTTTCCTGGATTTTTCAGAATAGTGTTGACTGTTCCAGAAGAACTGATTATTGAGGCTTGTGGACGGATCAAGATGTTCTGTGAGAAGCACTACAAACATGATGGTGATAAATATCTTAAAAGTGGCTAGTATCTTACAAGCAATCTGTAAACTCCACATTTTGATTAGTTTAAGAAAATGAACTTGAGAAACGACAAAGAATAAATTGAAAAATCAATTTAATGTCAATAAAGAAGCAATCCATCATTTCCTTTAAGTTGTTATTTGAAAAATCAGGGAAAATCCAAGATAGCTACTTGAACTTAAAAAAGCAGCAATTATCGTTTTGAACGATAATGGCTTATATATTTTTAAAATTATTTTAACCCCCAGCCGACTTAATTAACCACTTATACCAAAGATTCATTTTAATCTTACTCTAAATCTGTGACTGCTCAAGTAGCTGATAAAGTTTCAAGCACTAAAACATTGACAACTTCTCTTTTCAAAGCTTAAATCAAAAATATAATTTCACCAAGCTTTTTAGACGATGGGGGGTAAAATCCTCGAAAGATATTAATTCCACGATCCTGCGGGATAATAACCCCGAAAATCGCAAATTTTTAAATGTTCCCTGCGGGATAATATTCTCACTTAGAAATACACGTGGAATTATTATCCTTCCGGAAAGATAATAATCCCACCTATAATTACAAGTGGGATTATTATCTCCCAGGTAGATAATAATTTCACTTACATTTCTAAGTGGGATTATTATCTCGAAATGTTCAGCAAATAATTAAAGTGATTCGTACAAAATTCAAACAAAATATTTTGTAAGTTCTTTCAAACTTGAGCTCTTTTAAAGAAAAGCTTAAAATAAAACCTGTCAGAACTAGTGTATCGGGCAGAAACCCAATGCGGATTATATTCACACCGTACCATCAAAAGTCTAATGGATAGACCAAGATTTTCCCAGCATAAGTATGAAGGTATGAAGCAGTATAAGCTTGATAAGTCAACTGAGCTTCGCTCAGCATAAGTTTGAAGATATAAAGCTAGCGAGTCAGCTGAGCTTCGCTCAGCATAAGTTTGAAGGTCTAAAGCTTAACGAACATTCTTTAAAAGTTTTTTAAAAAAAATTTTTCATCCAAACTTGAATTTTATAAAAATCACAGTCAACTTTTGTTTTAAAAAAATTCGTAAGAAAGGAAAGTTTTTTGCTTTTTCTGAAGCAACGGCTGTTCTTACCTTGCCCAAAAACAATACAGCTCTTTTATAGAGCAGCACGGATCAAATGTAAAAAACTAGAAGTCTGTACGATGTCTCGTTATTGAGATTTCTTGCTGATTAACTTGCTTGCTTGCTTATTTGCTTACAGAAAGCGTATTTTGCGATTTTCTCAGCAATGCAAAAACCAATTTGAAATCTGTTTTTTGAAAATGATGTAAAAATTCAGGCACAAACTATTCTTCTTGAACTTTTATAACCAATTTTGCTTCGTTTTCTCAAAAATTGCGAAAAACTGATTTTTCAATCTGAACAAAACCAATAGATTCACACGTGAAAACTATGTGAATATAAAAAAATTTTATCTCCTAAAATAGATTTTATATTCACACCGTATTCACTTTATTTTTGTTCAGCTTGAAAAACAGTTTTTCGCATTTTGAGGAAAAAGAGCAAATGGGCAAAAACAGAATTTAAATTGGCTGTAGCATTGATGAGAAAATCGCATGATAGGTAAGCAAACAAGCATCAAGGCAAGTAAATCAGCAAAAATCTCAATAACGAGGCATCTTAGAAACTTCTAATTATTGCATTTTGATTCTTGCTGCGTTAAAAAGGATAAGGCTTTATTTTTTTATTGAGTAAGGTAGAAACAACCATTGCTTCCAAAAAAGCAAAAAACCCTGCATCCTCTATCCTGCATCACGTGAACTCAAATTTTGCCAATGACAAAAATGATAAAAACGTGATTTATTAGTTGCGCACGTTTTAAATTTTGAAAGACTTCATTTCAAAACTATTTGCAAAAACAAAAAATTGAAAATTTTTTGTGAATATGATTTCTTGAGTGAAAAGATCTTTGATACATTAAACATCTAGGCTCTAGGCTTTTAGAAAATTTACAAAAGGCATAAAAAATCAAGTTTTCAACTTAAACATTCAACCAATATTTATTTTTTTTTCTTATTTAAGTTTTTGGAATAATGAAATTGACAAATTAATAAGTGGGATTTTTTTTGGATGAAAATCCTATAAGATAATAAATTTACTTATTAATACAAGTGGAATTATTATCCACTATGACAAATAAGTTTTTGGATTTGATTTAATCCATAATTTTAATCGTGTTCCATAAAGATAATAATCCCACTTAGAAATGTAAGTGAAATTATTATCTACCTGGGAGATAATAATCCCACTTGTAATTATAGGTGGGATTATTATCTTTCCGGAAGGATAATAATTCCACGTGTATTTCTAAGTGAGAATATTATCCCGCAGGGAACATTTAAAAATTTGCGATTTTCGGGGTTATTATCCCGCAGGATCGTGGAATTAATATCTTTCGGGGATTCCCCCCATCTTTTTAGACTGTTCAAATTCCAAAATATTTACAAATCTTCTGTCATGTTTACAAGACATTGGAAAATATTTAAAGAGCCCATACATCCGTAGAAAGAACTTTTTATTTGTAAACTTAGTGGTACACTCGATTGGAAAAGTGCGAGTCAGAATTGGAATTGTAAATATTTACGCGACCTTCAATAATAAAAACATGATTAAATATTAAGAATTCATTGTGCTAATTGATTCTGATCTATATAAGCCCCACTTAAGAAATATTCAACTCAATAAATTTTGACAATTTGTGCGAAAAGGTTTAAGATTTCTTTTGGAAGTGATTAATATAAAGAATAATTCAGTCATGAAATTCACACGTGTGCTCTTAAGTGTTGTTATTTTGCTGGTACTTTTAGAGTGTTTTGTGATAGCAATTCCAACACCTTCTCCGCATTTTCCATTTACTGTCAATCAAAAAAGGACGGCATCACGTAAAAAATCAGAAAAACTAAAACCAAAACGAACAAGTAAAATTTAATAATGCTATGAAAACGTTCTCGTACTTTATTTTTTTTCTTTTTAAAGGAATCGTAATTGATACTGAAGATGTATTAAGGACGGACATAAAAAAGTAATAAATCAATCAATATCACTCAATTTAATTTTATTAATTCTTGATATTTCATTATCTTTCTCAGTATTAGGTTTTATAACTTCAAAGTGCCAAGTTATGTGCAGGGTTAATAACTTATCTCCACACAATGTTTGATTGCGGAATTTCACTTAAAAGAGATTAATCGAACAATGCCACATCATAAAAATTGGATTATAATAAAATAAGCATGTAGAGTGACCTTTAAATTTATGAAATAATTTAGAGCTCCCAAAAAGGTTGATAACATTCAAATGAATTCTGTAAATATGATCATAATTAAAGATAATGTAACCGCAGTTCTAATAACCAAAAATATTACAAGCCAGTTATTTTAGAAACTTAGCTTTAATTCATTAAAATGTGATTAAAAAGAATTCGTAAAACTAGTAATGAAGCCGATCACGCTTCATGGGAATATTCACACAATCTTATATAACTCTCTATGTATTATTCAGAAAATCTTGAAAAATCTTCTCTCAATAAAATGTAAGACTTAATATCAACATTTTGCTGAACTTGAAAACAAGATCCAGTAAAGTTTTAAGCATGTCTGAAACTTAAAACCAAGATCCAGTAAAGTTTTAAGCATGTCCGAAACTTAAAACCAAGATCCAGTAAAGTTATAGGCATGTCTGAAACTTAAAACCAAGATCCAGTAAAGTTTTAAGCATGTCTGAAACTTAAAACCAAGATCCAGTTAAGTTTTAAGCATGTCCGAAACTTAAAACCAAGATCCAGTAAAGTTTTAAGCATGTCTAAAACTTAAAACCAAGATTCAGTAAAGTTTTAAGCATGTCTAAACTTAAAACCAAGTTCCAGTAAAGTTTTAAGCATGTCTGAAACTTAAAACCAAGATCCAGTAAAGTTTTAAGCATGTCTGAAACTTAAAACCAAGATCCAGTAAAGTTTTAAGCATGTTTGAAACTTAAAACCAAGATCCAGTAAAGTTTTAAGCATGTCTGAACTAAAAACCAACATCCAGTAAAGTTTTAAGCATGTCTGAAACTTAAAACCAAGATCCAGTTAAGTTTTAAGCATATCCGAAACTTAAAACCAAGATCCAGTAAAGTTATAGGCATGTCCGAAACTTAAAACCAAGATCCAGTTAAGTTTTAAGCATGTCCGAAACTTAAAACCAAGATCCAGTAAAGTTATAGGCATGTCTGAAACTTAAAACCAAGATCCAGTAAAGTTTTAAGCATGTCTGAAACTTAAAACCAAGATCCAGTAAAGTTTTAAGCATGTCTAAACTTAAAACCAAGATCCAGTAAAGTTTTAAGCATGTCTGAAACTTAAAACCAAGATCCAGTAAAGTTATAGGCATGTCCGAAACTTAAAACCAAGATCCAGTAAAGTTTTAAGCATGTCTGAAACTTAAAACCAAGATCCAGTAAAGTTTTAAGCATGTCCGAAACTTAAAACCAAGATCCAGTAAAGTTTTAAGCATGTCTGAAACTTAAAACCAAGATCCAGTAAAGTTATAGGCATGTCCGAAACTTAAAACCAAGATCCAGTAAAGTTTTAAGCATGTCTGAAACTTAAAACCAAGATCCAGTAAAGTTTTAAGCATGTCTGAAACTTAAAACCAAGATCCAGTAAAGTTTTAAGCATGTCTGAAACTTAAAACCAAGATCCAGTTAAGTTTTAAGCATATCCGAAACTTAAAACCAAGATCCAGTAAAGTTATAGGCATGTCCGAAACTTAAAACCAAGATCCAGTAAAGTTATAGGCATGTCTGAAACTTAAAACCAAGATCCAGTAAAGTTTTAAGCATGTCTGAAACTTAAAACCAAGATCCAGTAAAGTTTTAAGCATGTCCGAAACTTAAAACCAAGATCCAGTAAAGTTTTAAGCATGTCTGAAACTTAAAACCAAGATCCAGTAAAGTTATAGGCATGTCCGAAACTTAAAACCAAGATCCAGTAAAGTTTTAAGCATGTCTGAAACTTAAAACCAAGATCCAGTAAAGTTTTAAGCATGTCTGAAACTTAAAACCAAGATCCAGTAAAGTTTTAAGCATGTCTGAAACTTAAAACCAAGATCCAGTTAAGTTTTAAGCATATCCGAAACTTAAAACCAAGATCCAGTAAAGTTATAGGCATGTCCGAAACTTAAAACCAAGATCCAGTAAAGTTATAGGCATGTCTGAAACTTAAAACCAAGATCCAGTAAAGTTTTAAGCATGTCTGAAACTTAAAACCAAGATCCAGTAAAGTTTTAAGCATGTCTGAAACTTAAAACCAAGATCCAGTAAAGTTTTAAGCATGTCTGAAACTTAAAACCAAGATCCAGTAAAGTTTTAAGCATGTCTGAAACTTAAAACCAAGATCCAGTAAAGTTTTAAGCATGTCTGAAACTTAAAATCAAGATCCAGTAAAGTTTTAAGCATGTCTGAAACTTAAAACCAAGATCCAGTAAAGTTTTAAGCATGTTTGAAACTTAAAACCAAGATCCAGTAAAGTTTTAAGCATGTCCGAAACTTAAAACCAAGATCCAGTAAAGTTATAGGCATGTCTGTAACTTAAAACCAAGATCCAGTAAAGTTATAGGCATGTCCGAAACTTAAAACCAAGATCCAGTAAAGTTATAGGCATGTCTGAAACTTAAAACCAAGATCCAGTAAAGTTTTAAGCATGTCTGAAACTTAAAACCAAGATCCAGTTAAGTTTTAAGCATATCCGAAACTTAAAACCAAGATCCAGTAAAGTTATAGGCATGTCCGAAACTTAAAACCAAGATCCAGTAAAGTTATAGGCATGTCTGAAACTTAAAACCAAGATCCAGTAAAGTTTTAAGCATGTCTGAAACTTAAAACCAAGATCCAGTAAAGTTTTAAGCATGTCCGAAACTTAAAACCAAGATCCAGTAAAGTTTTAAGCATGTCTGAAACTTAAAATCAAGATCCAGTAAAGTTTGAGAAAAAGTACAAGTGGGCTTTGACAATTTCAATTTGAATTTTTTTTATAATTAAGAAATAAGAAAAAGATATAAGTAGGCTTTGACAATTACAATTTCAATCAATTGTATAATTAAGATAAGAAAAAGTTCGTAGTGAACTTTGAAAATTTGTTGAAAGTGAAAAATCATTGTGGAAAATTAATTCAATTATTTCACACGTATTTAACACACTTTCACACACATTGTGAAAGTAAAATTGAAATTGTGCTGTCGTTGGAAATAAGATCCAGTAAGTATAAGCCTGTTTGAAACAAAGACAAAATAATCGAGCAGGAAAAAAATTGAGAATCATACAAAAAAAAAAAAAATTCCAATTGCAAAAAAAAAAAAAAAAAAAAAAAATATTTTCATTATGATACAAATGAAGTTTGTATTTAAAGACATAGGTACAGTATGCTGAAGGAACTTGCTAGTTCCAACATTTTTTCACATACATTTAACTTAATGCATACTGTCACAACCATTTTATTAATATCACACTTATACCAACAAATATTTTCTGTTGTATGAATGTAAACAAATGTGTTTTGGAATAATCGGTTATAATTTGCCAAAAAATGATAGTTTTTTGCATCTTGTGCCTCACTGGAAGCATCTTATGACTCCAAAAACTATACAGCAAATCTATGACCCAATATCTATCAGATAAAAGTAACATTAAGGCTTGATATTGAGTTTAAATTGAGTTATCGCTCCGAATAACTAACTAACTAACTAACTAACTAACAGAATGCCTTTTTTGGCGATTTCGCGGAACTGGAAGCACGAAATAAGATGCAGTTTTTACCATTCGATAGGTATTTCGAGGCACAGACTTTTACATATCAGACTTATGGAGTGATTCGGTAAGACTGAAGCAGCAAGTTAAAAAAACTGATTTTCTGTAAAACCAAAAACAATATATTCACAAAAATTGAAAATTTTGTGTGAATATGAAAATAGAAATGTTGTCATTAGTAAAAGGATGGAATGCTGTAGAAAAATATTTCACTGAGATTATATTGAATAAGCTAATAAATAGGGTAGTGCTAATAGAAGATTTATTTAATTTAATAATAAGTACCGTGCAATATTTGTGATACATTCCAATTTGAACAATTATTGTTTACTGTAAGATTTATCATAAAGAATTAAGAATAATCTCGGATTTTCGTCCATAATATTTAAGTCAATGTGTAATCATGATTAGCACCAATTCTGGTGCATAAATGTAGAGCCAATCAATGCGCAACAGTGAAAAAAAATTTGAATTGAGAATTGTATCGCATCCAACTTCACGTTGATGTTTTTTGTTTTGTAAATAAAGAAAATAAAATCAAAAAGATTGAAATTAGACCTGTTTTAACTTAATTAACAGAATAGTAAAGACTTTACAAGCATTCTTAGTCATCTAGTGTTATAGATCAAACAATGGAGAATAATGAAGAGACTCAACCAAAGGTACAAAATCAAAAATAAGGTTTATTTTCATCAAAATTGAATTTTTCATTTTAAACTTTTAGGAAATTCCATCAACAAGCAGAAACAATCCATTTCTGCAAAGAGACATCATGTCTACATCTTATGGAGAGATTAATAATGCTGCTGTAAATCAAAATTATGAGAAAATGGATGGTAAGTCACAGTACATAAATCATAAATAGTTTAAGTGCCTAACAAGTAAATTTAATTAAATATACTCTATTAATCAGTTGGTGAAGACATAATTGACGATTATGATAATCTAGAATGTAAGTCATTTATTAACATGATTTTTTTCAAATAAAATCTTAATGAGATAATAAACTTCCAGTTACAGTCGATGACAACAATATGAAGCATTATGTAGCAAATGACTTGGAATATAAAATTAAAATTTCATCTCCAATATCGTCGAGTCTACCTCACCCGTTCAATACATTACCAAAACAGTTATCCTCTTCACTACCACCTCAACTGGATTCGAATGTTTTAAGTGATCTCGAAATTGAAGCTCAATACTTAGCAGCAAATGTGGATAGTTTAACAGAGAATTTATCAAACTTACTACATTCCATATCAGCAATCGCATCCGATAATGTCGAGGTATACAAGACATCTGTTATTAAGTTGACAGACATTATTGATGCAAATATTAAGAGTATGTATAGTGTTATGGCTAAAACGGAAGAGATCTCAAAATCAATGCATAAAGCGGAACAGCTTTCCGTAAGAATAAAGGAGATTAAACGACTTGTGGACATGTTTGAAGCTACATTGTAATAATGTATTATTGTATTGTTAAAATTCCTCTAGTCAGCATTTACGTGCTTGGTGTTCATGTTAATTGCTTGATTTTTATTTATAATAGCTTAAAATTTGTCAAGACAAATGAAATATAATTATTCAATAAATTACTTATCACGCTCAAAAGATTAATGAGAGTTTAATGTTCACATAGAAGTAAACAACAGAAGCTTGTTCCTTACACATTATGTACACAAAACGTAAACTGTGAATGGAAATGTTGCTATTGAACTTTAGAAGAAATTTCATTTATATTTTGTTTATGAATCCAACATGCGAAACTTCCAATGTATTAGTCAGTCGATCATATGATTTTCTGTTTATACACGTGGATAAGCCATGTGTCAAACATTTTCACAGGTTTCTATGGTTACACGACATAACTTGTTGGTCTATGTTTACAAACATAAGCAATATAAGCAAGTTATGTTATGATTCATGCTATCGATTTTATCAGCATTAATGCGCAATCGCTAGACTTTTTCTTCTCCTACACTTGGTAAAAAGATGGCAGTTGTTGGTGAGAAACTTCGTCGTTAAAATATTTTTCTAAATTTTAAGCTAAAAGATTGATAAAGTTAACCAAAATTAGTAGCAGTTGATAGATAACAGTGAGTATCATTGGAATTATATGGAGTACAGTGGATATTGTTTCCATAAATTGTGGAAAATTTACTCAAAAATTTACAGACTGTTTTTTTGTGTTACGACTCAAAACATATTTTATTAATTTATCTTATTAAACAAGGTCCATCCAACTGTAAATTATGAATGTGATTAGCAAAAATGATATGGATCGGGAATTTCAAGTTTTATAAGCACAAATGAGTCATAAAATTTTCGCAGTGATTTTCCATATCCTTAAAAATCCTATAAAATTTTCACATAATATCTTGATATTATTATTATCTTAATATGCCTGCTAGAAATGGAGGATGTTCTACAAAGTATTATTAAAGAGGCTTCGGGAAAGCAGCATCAAAATTTGAAAAATGCCACACAAATTGCTTATGGTAAGGATAGCATATGGACAAATTTTAATCTTTAATTCCCTAGAAATTTAAGTTACATTAAGGGATTGAAAAAATAAAGATTACAAGCTTGGAAGCCTTGCTTTCGACACTTTCTGTCAAAAAAAAATATTTATATCCAATGAATATTTTATATCCTCATGAATTTTATGATTTAGATAAGTTGTACAGGCAGCATGGCATGAATCGAGATGTTCCGCATGAACTGAGAAGTGTCTGCTTCATAGCACTGAAAATGACGTTAGATAGCCATAAGAAAAATTTAATAACATTAGGATTAAATGGCATGCACGTAAGGATATGCAAAACATAAATTTTTTACCCATTTAATGACGTCATCAAAAATTTTCTTTTCCTTTTTTGTCTCTTTACCCATCGCCTGCCTGCCTTAACCAAATAATAAAAAAAAAATCATCATTGTTTGGTGACATTTCTAGCGTCTAATACGTGATGAACGTTTTTTTATTGGACTCGAACCAGAAGATGACAATTTTTGGTTGCCAGCTCAATTACTTCGGTCCACAAATAGCATTTCATGCACGAGTAATGAAGAAACAATTGTGAATGTATTGAGGTTGTTTCTATCGATGGCATGCTCTTCGAATGTGACACTAAACGGACGATTATTAATCGAGGTTCTATCACGCTGTCATGAGTTTTGGGAATATGGAACACGTTCGGTGAAAGCTTCAGCATTAGCAGCAGCAAGTCAATGTCTTCGAACATTTTGTTGCTTTCTGAAAGACGAAGCTGATGAATTGATGAAAATGAATGAAAAAACAGCACCTGCATGCAGTAATTTAGTCGCAACTGCAACAATTTATAATGAGGTCATACCAGTGATGCAATGGTTATGCAGTAAACTTATAGAACCAGGAAATAACTCGACTCCGAAGAAACAACATAGCTCATTATTCTTTATAGAAAGTATTTTAACATTGACATCATCTCTCCCCAATGACGTTCATAGCTCCCCTCATTTTACGGCATTTTTATGGAAAACATTCTTTCCGAATTTAGCTGCAGCACTTGGATCTCCAGGGAGAGTAAATATTGACAAAAAGTTTTCATACAAGGATGCAATTCATATGATTGAAAGTGAGAATCGAGGATTCTTTACTCGTCCTGGACTTGATGGTCCTGAAGCAAGATGCGTTTATCTTACAGCTATTCAATTGTTACGCATTGCAGGAGCTCAAGGAAGTTTAAGACCTGTCTTAGAGGCATTATTCCATCGAATGCTTCTCCTTCCATTGCCACAAAATCGTGCAGAGCCATTAAGATGTGTTCGTGATGCTTTCAAGAGTCCTCAACGATTGATTGATTTATCTGTCATCCTACATTATGACAAGAATCAAAGTGTATCTGATGACATGGAATTGTTTCGTTTAATTATTGATTCAATGGAAGAATGTGCTGTCAGTACTTATTCAACATTTGGCTCAGATGAGTCACTTCATGCAAGTATCGAAAGTTTAGTAGCTCTCTTGTCAAGTCTTCAAACACTTTGTACGGGAGATGTTGAAGCAATTGTAAGTGATCAAGTGACAGAAGCTATAAATCATAGATATGCAAATTTAAAAGATGCAGATTATCATGGGCCATTAACTTATCAATCATTAATTCGCTTGCCACGAGACTATCGTGATGCTGTAGCCGAATTAAAGCATAGTCGATTCGATCCGTCCGATTCTGATAATGAAGATGGTCATCCAACGCCAAATCAAGAAATAGATCAAGTTTCAATGGGAAGTGGAGAAACAGAAGGGCCAGAAGATGGCGAATCATCTGATGAACAATCAAAGGCTGAAGCTAATTGGCTTTATTCACATTTTAATGATGCAAAAATTGATGGTGAGACTGATAGAAAACACGCCAAGGAATTTGCTAAAATTGTTAGAATTCAACTAGTTCCAAAGCTTTTAAAACTTCACAGCTCAATTGAAATTGATTCCGAAATTCAAGAATTTTCATCAAACATATGTCATCAAAATAGTTTAAATATATCCGATTTCGATTACAATTTGACGGCAATCAATGCTGATGGGATTTATCTAGCTACTTATTCAACATTCTTGCTAAGCTTACAATTGATACGAGTGGGCCATTATGACAAAACCAATGTAAGTAAATGATACTATTTTGTCTCCATTTGAACAAATTACCTAAACAATCTCTTTGCATAATTTAGGAACAGATATCCATACCACTCTCTGAACAACAATTTGTGACATCTGTTCAAAATGCAGGGGTGTTGGTTTATTTATCATCAGCATGGCTTCGAGAATTATATCAATGTATATTGGCTACAAATCCTCTCGAATCATTAAATTTGGAAGAAATAAACAATCGGTGTACATTGATTGATATGATTTGTGATGCAGGGGGTGTCGGTCCGACTCAAATGATGTCTGAATGGCAAAGACTTCAATCTGTTTCGAAATATATGAATCAAACAGAAGTTGAAACTGATAAGCAGAAAGCTGCTAAAAAACTGGCAAGAAGACTGTTAACGTGTTGTTGGGACTCTATGGTAGTAATTTTAAGTGCAGGATTAGGGGAAATTGAAGACTCTAAAGCAAAGAAACTTGTAAAGTTCTCAAAGAAACATTTGAAAGTCGGAAACACAAATCGTAAAAGAAATACAGGGGAGGCGGCACTTTATGCTTTGAGTTTGGAAGGGCTGCATGCTGTAAGTCGAAAAAAAAATCAATAATCTGTATGACTGTGTTTTAATAACAATAATGAAATTTCCTTAGGCTGCGACATTAAGCAATTGTCTTCAATTACAACATTTGGCAGGAAAGATTTTGAACATGATTGCAACGAATGTTTGTCAAACATCAGGCCCGAAGCTTCCAAGTTCTCAAGCTCTTTCGATGGAATTGGTATTGACAAAAGGTTTGGATTTGGGCAGTTATAGTGAAGATTGCTGGCTTCCAGTATTCTCAGTATGTCGTCATGTAACGCAACTTGAACATGACCTATTCTCAAGCTCAAACTCTGTATCCACTGGTGCTAATATGCCAAATGGAAATCCAAATAAAAATGATGATTCACCGTCAAAAGACAAGAACAATCCAGGAAGTTATTTTATTGATGAAGATGAAACTTGGTGAGTCACTTAAAAATTACTAACGATAGGGGCCGTTCACTTATTACGTTACGCAAAAAAACGACTTTTTTCACCCCCCCTCCTCCCTTGTTACAATATGTTACATCTCACCACCCCCCCCTGAACGTTCATAATTTATTTTATTTCGATAATTTTTTATTCTAAAAAGACGGTTAAATTTCTTTTGTATTTTTTTTTAAACATCAAAATACTGTACAGCTAAATAGGTCATGTTTTGATTGATACTATTAGTATTCTCTTGAATTATTGGATTGTGATATAAAGCAAAAATTTGTTGAAGAAAATTCAAAAATGTCATGAAAAATATTATGCCCGATCGAATTTTGGAAAATTCAATCGACTTTGAATGTAAATATCACAATGATGGGATCATATTAATCATCATATGAATCACAGATTTAGAGAGATTTACTTTTAAACTTATGATTGATTTAATTTTGAAAATTTCCACAAATTATGATTGTATTTTAAAGTCTTGTAAACCAGTTTTCTATTGATTTGTTACTTTATATGACAAAAACTATGTATTGCTTAGCTATCAAAAGTGATCTGGACATTCATAAATCATTAAAAAGGTGGAAAATTTAAAAAATGTTTTTGGTGTGAATTTGTAAACAAATTTTTTTCGTGAACTTTTTTTTTAAAAGACAGATGACAATTAGAACAATACATACTTCTTGACCCCCCCCCCCCCCCTATGTTACATTTTGTTACAATTTTTCAAACCCCCCCTCCCCCCTAAAATGCGAACGTAATAAGTGAACGGCCCCAAATTGATATGAAACATTTTTTTGCAAACTCATTTTTAACTTTCTATGTTTATTCTTTGCTGTTCTTAGCGTGGATGTATATAGCTTTTTACAAGCACCATTACAAAGTCCAAACAATAGCATTGCTATTATTTTAAAGGCCTACCCAAATACAGTAATATTAACGCAAGCTGATACGGCAAAAGTTTTATGTGCCCTTTCACATTTGTCTGATAATCTATTTAATGATGCTGCAGATCGCTTAAATTTACCATCTTTATGTCAATTTATAAAATCACTATGCCGTGCGTCACGTGAACAACTTTATCGTGGCAATACAAATAAGAAGGGAAAGAAATCGTGGTGGTTAGGAGGTCCATGGAAAATTAAGAATCAATCGTTACCATTATCCCTTCTACTTCATCGCGTTGGTGAAATTACCTTGAAAGTTTTCCGAAGTTCTCGACCCTTATTACATATTGTAAAGATATGGGCTATTTCAGGCCCTCATTTAATGGATGTAAGTATCTCTTTTCCTCATCCTAAATACATTATGCTTCTCTTCTTGTTTTTGCTGTGTACGATTGAAGCAGAAGAACAAGAAACATTTGGAAATTGATATTTTAATCCTTCTCCATATAATTTGCTCTTCTTTTTATTCCTGCAAACATCATCATCATATGGAAATAATTATAACTTAGGCCGCATGCCATAAAGATCGGGATATATCAAAGCGTGCAATTGAATACATACATGATATAATTACAGCACTGCTAGTTGAGCAATCTGAGTTGCCTCACTTTCATTTTAATGAGGCACTGCTTAAGCCTTTCGAGAACATTCTTAATATGCAAAATTGTGATATGGATGTGCAAGATCAAATTATCACATGTTGCATGGAAATTGTTGAGGCTCATCGTACGGAAATACGATCTGGATGGCGTCCATTGTTTGGAACATTAACGACTAAAAAACTTCAAATTTCCAGTGTCATTCTGGACATTTTTAGAATCTTTCTTGAAACTGAAAATACATTAGTATTTGCTAATGCTGGTTTAGACTGTATTTTATGCCTTCTTTCATATTTGGAAACGTCAACTGGAAATTATGATGAAGATGGAAATATCATCAATAGTAATCCCAATATTACATGCAGTGCAGCGACATCACAAAATGATGGCACCTCAACACCGAAATTAAATGCCATTGAATTCTTACATGATGTGCTTAAATTTTTAGAACGATGCTCAACCATTCTGGGATGTCTTTATAATATGCCAAATACACCGAATCTTCATTCAACATATAAGATTAAAGGAATTTCATATACGCACATTGTAGATGCAAATACGCAAAATTCTTTAGATAACTTTCAATATTTTGGTAACGAGCATTTGCAAACGTTTAACGATGAACAGTTTATGATATCATATAGATCACTTCATATTGATAAGGATTCTATTACTAAATTGGATGAACTCGAGAAGAACAACTGTGGTGTATTAAAAGTTTGGTTCTTACTCCTCGATGGACTTACTAATGCATTAATACTTTGTCCATTACCACATCAATCTCCGATTATTCAAACTATCTTTAAAATATTCCGTTCAGTATTTGATAATCCAGGTCTTGACTTTGGATTTTATTGTGTCAATCATCTACTTATCCCCTTGAATCAAGATTGGCTGAGATATATAAACAAAACACAGAAAAATTGGGCAACAATCGAGAAAAACTTCAAGCATTGTTGTTGTATGACGACTGATTTGGTTGTGGAATTTATTGAAAAATCACAATATCAAGTATCAAAAACTGCAAAGAAAAACAAGAGTGAGGCTAAAGCTGACAATCATGAAGATGAAGAGGATTTATCTAGAATTCCAACAGCCGCAAATCTCGCATTAAAGCAAATGCTTATTGTTCTCATTGAATGTTCTGTTCAACCTCAAGAAGCGATTTCGAGAATTGGGGTGTCTTGCCTCAAGCACATCCTCTTTACAATTGGATACCTTTTTAATGAGGAGCAATGGCTTACAATATGTTCAGCAATACATCGAGCGGCAACAATCAATTTAGCACCATTGCGTCAGCTTTCATTTGCATTCTATGAAAATTCAAACAGCTTTTATGGTGACATTATGACATTAAAAGTCGCAGCACGACGTGATTGTACGTTGGAAGAGATTAATCGAGTTTATTCACTATCGCAACAAGTTTTTCAATTAGATAATCAAAATCAGCGAGACGGAATGGCAAACAAATCGATAAGTGAGATAAAAATAATAAATGAGGATAGAAGCTATGCCTTCCTCCTCTATACAAATTTAAACGCCGATGGCAATTTTGTACTGAGAATTCCTTATAAAAATTTGGTTATTGGATTACTTGTATCACAAATGCTTCTTCAGTTAATTGCAAACATTCTTTTGGGGGAATTGAAATGTGTACCATCTGAGTTACATTCAGTCATTTATGAATATAATACATCAACAAATACTGAGAAGAAACCACAATTTAATTTGAGCTATCGAGCAAAAGAAATATTGTATCGGTGCTTACGTCAATATTTTAACTGTTCAATTGAATTTGATTATCGTCCAGGCTTAAAATTTCTCATTCAAAAAGTTTCAAATTTGGATTATGCTGCTAATCTATACAAACAGTGCACGAGTTCATTTATCATAATTTTCATGAGCCTCGTCGATTCCTATTTGAATGATATCGGCAAATTGAATTTATCGTCAAATGATTTAAATTACATCATTGATTCATGTAACAACAACAGCGATGGACTCATAAAGAAGAAAGAATTTTTTGTTCGAAATTTGTTCCTTTTAAGAGAATTATGGAATCAAGTATCGGAACTTTATTTGAAAATAGCAAAAACGTCATCGCCTATTGTAAAGAAAAGGGAAAGTTTCTTAAACGAAATAAACATTGTTGAAAATAAAATGGTTGAAATTCAAGAACAGCTCGAGAATGGGCTGAACAATTACGATACAGATGATGATGTTTTTCTACCGTCTCCAACCTTCGAGAAATGTAATTCGACGAGCGGTAACAGTATCAATAAAATTGAAAAAGCATCTAGCGAAGAAAGTGTAAAGATATTTTTGAAGGATCAACACGAGGAATCGAATAATTCCAATCCATTTATTTCATCAACGTCATCGCCGACACAGCAACAGAATCGAGAAAATCCCTTCAATAAAAATCAAACGACAAACGAGGATAACAAACAACAACAACAAGTTTCACCAGAAATCGAGCAACAAAGGAAATTGAGTATACTTAAGGATGAACAATGCAAAAGGAAATCACTTACACAACTCATCGTTGCAAGCATGGAGCTACTGAAACTTTTACCTAACGAATCAACGGAAAATATTCGACTCTTGCTCACGAACACTCGAATCAATGAGGCTTTTGATATGGTGGATAAGCATGAGAATAATAATTTGGAAAATTATAAATGAACAGTATCCTATCCATAGCTGTCTTTTTGCTTTCAACGCTCTTTGCCTATCTTTCTATAATCTATCTATCTCCCTCTCTATCTCTCGCAATGCATATTTTGAATGAGCTTCAATATTTCATTTATAAATATTTTAACAAAAGCTTTAACATTCTTAAATTAAATTTAAATTCAGCACGAATTGTTTACTAATATACTTATACCCTAAAAATATATTCAAACTGATAAAATATATCACTACCTATATAAATTATTCAATATATTTACAAACAAGCTGTATTATCTTCTTATTGATTAAAACATTTCTTTCTGCACACAAATGTGTATCGTGTAAAGCCAAATTCAATTCCAAAAAGGATTTCATGCCTGTCTAAAATTGATGGTTTCTATGGTTTGAAATGCAGTTATGAATTATTGACGCGATACTTTCCCTATTTCAAATATAAATGAAGTTAAAAGAATATTTTTGTCATGGGAAGTATTTCGATTTATATAAGATTTAACAAATCTCTAAATCAAACACCTAATCCTTAGAATTGGAAGTTTAATCAAGACCGTATTTTAATTTTTGTCTAAGAATATTCATTCGACCACGAAACATAGATGCGATCTGAAGCTTCTATTTAAAAGATTTATTTTAAGAATACCTAAAATTAACTTAATCCCGCGCTAAAAGGCATATTGATAAGAACAAGCAAAGAAAGAAAAGGATTTCTTAACAGCAGCAGATCAATTGTCTATTATCAATTGACAAATCTAAAGGATGCATCCGGAAGATTAACAAAACTTTTATATTAAAGATAAGCATACGAATTTCAGTTAAATTGCAATCATAAATGATTGAAAATTGCATAATTTGAATTAATTGAATGAATGTATGCATTAAATAATTGAAAAGGAAAGCAAGAGAGATGTGACATGCAAATAAAAGAAGAATGATAACAGAATCGAAAATCAAATGAGCCACCCCATGCTCCAATTTAAAATATTTATATCCGCAAATATATTTTTGTCTCCTATCTATAAAGAAATATGAATTGAGCAAATACGGATAAACAAGATATCCATCTACTTAGCGTAGAGTGGAGAGCGAGATATATTGGATCAATATAGAGTATTGTGTAGGATTTGATGTGAATTTATTATATTTATGGCATGGAGTGACAATATATTGGAAAAATAAAGGAAGAAAAATAATAAAAAACATTTATTTGTGCAAAAAAAAGGAATGTTTTTCTCTGTCTTCATTGTGAGTTTCCGTTCATAAACATGGAATGACTGCCTTTTACCTTTTTTTCCACCCATCAGCGCACAACTCATTCCAATATTTTATTTTCTTTCATAAAAGATATGTGTATACAATTTTTTTATAGCAGTTGATTATTCATCGAACAGTCTATGGATGTATTCCTTACCATATTCAACAACTTGCCTTGGTAACACATTGCAAACTGTTTTATTTTATGTGTTTTTTTGCTTCTGCTGTTTTTTGTTGTCTCTAAAAAAGCCAACATATACAACAAGCTAAAGGGGTTGTATGCGAATGACGTCTATCAAGAAGGAGAACCACGTTTTTAATGTGGATGGAATTTAAAGCTGCGTAGCTATTAACGACCCTTATAAAGTGTCAAATGTCTTTTGAATTACTTCAGTAAGCTTGATATCACTGACCAAAGACCCCTAAGTGGAAAAGAAGGCAGAAAACTTCTGTCGACTGTGAACACGCGTCTAAATTGTATTTTGTGATTTTCTATCTCAAAAAATTATTGAACAATCGAAACGATCTAAAAATAAAATAAAAGGAATTGTAAAAAGCGAAGCTTCTTCTTTACTTTACACAGTAAACGTTTATTTTTGTTCCGGCTAACGAGAAATTACTTTTGTATACAAATTTTCATTAAATTTTCGCCTTTTTCTTGTTAGCAAACATTCACACATCATTCTCTGTACCGCACAAAATCAGTGCGGCATGTCAAATCTGTTTGTATATGCACACATCTCGCACAGATTTTATTTTTCCTCTTCTTTTGTGTATATTAGAAATAAATTAAACTCTCGCTTGCCTTAATTTTCCTTCCTTAACTCAAATCGATCTATATTTTTTTTTGTGAGACGACGTCATAGCGAAGTTTGGAAGTAAATCTACACGTAAGTTCATTATCAATGTAATATAGAAAAAAAAATCTCTCTCTTTTTATCACTTTCCCACGTTTCATTCGCATTCCTAGTTTTAATTTGATTCTATTCGAATGAAGATGTTGTGTACTATGGAATTCTATTCGAAAACCTTTTTTTTTTGTTTTGTTGTTTTGAAGACGAAGAAGAAAATTGAAACTTTTGCAATATTGTTGTTTTAACTCATTGATGACATATGTGACATACTTTTTGCAGTCTTCGTATAGGAGAAAATGGGAAAAGCAAGTTCTACATTGTGACTAAAGATGAATAGTGCCATAAAAAGTGAACTATTTCTATTATTGTAAAAAACCCGACATTCTACAACATATTTTTAAGTTAATAGAGAAAATTAAGTAGGTATATGAAAAAGTAATTGATGTGTAAGTCTGTTACAAGCTAATTATACAACAAAGTGAGCAAAAAAAGTTACATTTTTTAAAGGTTTTTTTAGAATTTCAATTTTAAGGCACAACATGAGAGAAAGAGTAGGTAAACACAAAAACCAGTGAAAAATAAACTTTATTTTCCTAATAAATATGAAAAAAGGGTCAAAACGTTTCCAACATTTTATTGTGGTATTATATGGAATTATTGTTGGAAACACAAATTATTGGTTTAATTTCACTCTTCAGTGTTTTTCAAATAAAAAAGTTCTATATTTTTATTTATAAAATAGTGGAAGAATGTGTGAGAGGTACTTCTGTGGAAAAGAGCTATCATGCATTAAATATTTAAGACACTTTTGGGTTGTTTCATGAAAATTGGATGGTTTGCTTCTGCTTGTAAACAGAAAATTGATTTGATATTTGCTGTCAATTTTTAAGATTTAGAGTTAGAGTGGCGTAGAAAAGAAGGCATAAATCCAAATGTAATGCTGTTTAAAAGTTACGAGAAATATCAGTTTAACTTCCATGAATTCTAAAAAGAATATTTTTGGCGCCAAAATAAGCAATTTTTCAATGAATTTTCTCAGTTTATTTTGAGACTTTAAAGATGAATAATCCCAACAGAAATAAACTTTTCACATAAAACATTTGGCAAAATCGTAAACATCATCATCCATAATCGTGTTAAACAAGGCATCTTAAAATGAAAACTCATTTAGATAATAAGCCCCCAAGCAAACGCTATAAAATGAGCATGAGAGGAAACCAAACAGCTATAAAAAGAAAATACAACTATAGAACTTTATAAAAAATTCAAGTAATTTAATTAATTTTGAAAATTATAAATTCTTAATAAATATTTGATTGAAAGTTTAAGGAATTTGCTAATTAAAGCCTTAGAAATGTCAGAGTTCAACTTCTTACATCATTTTCACTTCAAATACCATTTTGTCTTGAAAATTTAATTTCCAAATGAAAATCCCGTTTTGAAAACTTTAAGCCCCTCACATTTTTCACGGGATTTTCTCGTTTTTATTGCATTGTAATAAATTTTATTACCCCCTTTTACACACTTTTGAACCGAAATGCAAACTCATGATGCAGAAAAATTACAATAGCAGAAAGAGAGTCATCAATGTCAGGGATTCTCAAGTTATGTGTCACCACACATAATTACTATTTAGATACTTTAAGCTTCAACTTAATTCAAGTAAATAATCGATTTTTGAACAAAAGTATTTAATTTATGACAAAAAAACTTAACCGAAACAAAACATTTTATATACCAAAACTAATGTAAACGAATAACATTAATGATTTGAGATTCAAACCCTTGTGTCTTCGCAACAGTTAAATTTTGAATTTTTAATCTGTTACTTAACCATTCAGACAAAAAACTCTTTAAATTATGCTATAGTATAGTCACCTAAAAGTCATTTTAAAATGACGACTAAGCAGGATTGGAACTAATAATCTTAATAAGATAAATATCAATCATAACCAAATAAAAGAAATATTTCAAAAAGATAAAGGTTTTGACCTTAACCCCGCTGGTATGGATCCAACCCTTTTCTGTTTGGAAATCTGACATATAAAAGCTAGATTGATAACAGTGCTAGCTATTCTGATCCTTAAGATGCCAAATAGTACTAATAACACTCAGTCAAGCTGTGGCCCACGAGTCAAAAAAGTTTGAGAACCTCTAGCCTTAACAAAATGACTATGTGGATGTTTTTTTAAACAGTTCTTCTCCCTGTACTTTTTGCACGTTCCCATTGAGGGAGAGACACCATAGGATAATTTTCCACCCCAACAAGAATTTTCTTGTGAATCTCTCATTTATCAAAACACTTACTATTTTTTGGCTTTTCCATTTCCCAAAAAAAATTGTATCAAAAAACTGAAAATGAAATAAAAATGTTTAAGAATATAAATGCGATGAGGGTCGTTGATCGTCACAAAATAGAAATTTATATATATAGAGGAGGTTTAACATACTTAAACATACACCTTACATAACATTTTCCCGTCTCCCCTCTCACAAAAATAGGAACATTTAAAGAAATGAAAATCAAAAAGAAGAAAAGAAGTGTTCTATAATTATTACAAAAATACAAGAAGTCGGTGAATATTTCATAAGATTAGAGTACACGAGAGGCATAAAGGCACGACAAAGAGGAAAAATCTTTCCCTTTTAGATCAATCGTCGTCATGAGACTATAAAATGCGTTTTATTCCCATACACAAAGAAAAAAAAATAATTCTAATTTATCCACAGAAGAGCATTTGAGTGTCAAGAGAGTAAAATTGAGCGTGCCGGTAAAGGCATGCGCTTGACACTATGGAAATTCATTCAAGAAAATGTTTGTTTACGTCTCTCCGCATGTGCTTTCTTTTACAATTCTTACTATCCGTCGCTCACTCGACAACAAAAAAACAACAAAATTTTCCATATCAGCTGTAGATGTATGTGTGAGACACAAAACACAGTCTTTTCTATTTGAGAGAGAGAGGAAAAAAATAAAAATTACCACACAACTCAGTTTGCATCGGGACGTCAAAGTTATCAGTGGTTAGTGAATACCCGTAGTTCCTCAATTTTTCTACATTTTTTCACTGACATTTTTCTTTTAAATTTTCTTATTTTGCACTTTTGATTGTCAAAAAGCAGTCAATTACCTCGAAAAAAATTGAGCATAACATAATTGTGAATAATATACAATAGACTTTTTCTATAAATATGGACGATTTAAGAAGGAATTATTAAAGTGATAAAGGAAAAGAAAAATTTTTATACACATAAAAAAAGGATTTTTCCAAACGTATACAAACACAGGCACAGAAAGGAAAGAAAAAGGAAAATTATGTATTTATACACGAAGGGGGATTTACTCACACAGTGTTGAGAAGATTTAATCTAAACAGCAAAAGGAACGTGAAGAAAAAATGCTCTGAAAAAGGAATTTTTCCTCCCCGCAATTTTCGGAATTCGTAGAAAATGATATTGAAATAGGCAAGAAAAATAAGGCACTGGAAATAGGGGCGAGAGAAGAAAATGATGAGATATTCATGAAAAAAATATTTTAACGTCTTGTGTGTTCGCTAAAAATTTTTTATGATCATTTATATTACACATATATTTAGTGCTACTGTTAGCTCTGCCATAAATTGCAGTTGTGAACGAGTGACTGTATTAAGTTAAAAAGCGATGACGTTAACATGTTTTTAGTTGTCTCTGCTTTTATTATCTGCAAAAGATGAAGCGATGATATTGACTATGTTGTGTGGAATTTAATTTAATTTAATTCATCCACTACTTACTCTCGTTTGCTATCTACCCGAATAAAAATTAATAAGCAGAAGTGAAAATTCCAACTGTGTATATATTGTGAGTGTGCAAACGTGCTGTGCTTATATTTCATAATATAAAAAATAAAATACATAAACTTTGCATAAAATTCTAATTATGCATAATTAAATACATAAATGCAATGAAATTCTATTCCTTCCATGACTTTAATTAATTTTATTCAAAAAAATAAAAGCAAAACAGAGGAAATCTTTAAAGAACCCACGAGATAAGAATTAAAAAGATTTAGTGAAGAAGGAGAAAATTAAGTGAAATACAGAACATAGTTTATGTGAATTATTAAGTGTTTAGTAACAATACTCGAGTATTTTATCATTTTTGATTTCTGCCAGAACCAGAGTCATTCATAAGAAAATATTTTAATTTCTCAATAGTATTATTAATGTGAGTATTAATTTTATTATATGATTCATATTCTTCTTTTAATCTCTCTTTTTGCCATGCTTCCATTCGCAATCGGAAATATATTTTTGGGGACGTTCATAAATTACGTCTTTGCGAGATTATGGTTTTTGAAGTACTATAGAATTTGATAACATTTGTTTGTTCTATAGAATGCTCTCTTTTAGACCCACTTGTTAATAAAATAATGGACGTCATAAGTGAACGTATCCATAAATTTTCAAATTTAACAAGATTTCTCAACCTTAATGTCCACTAAGATCTGTAAGATAATTTACAATAAAGTGTCTCAAGATCCAAATAATTATTGATTGACGTAATTTTGGAACGATCTCCAAAGTAGAAATTCAATATTTAATTTCTGCAGTCTTAATTTTAGGAATGTATGATACTTGAAGTTGAAATGATTATCGTCCATTTAACAGCTCCAAGTTTTATCCATGTAACACATTTTAGCCGACCATGACCAGTGCATCGTCGTTTGCACAAAAAACAGTATAAACGAGTAGTTTACAATGCAAAACATTCTTTTCTTTTTCTTTTATTCCATTTTATATGTAATTTCGTAGTCAACGAACTGATTAATTCTCGGAGATTATTACTAAAAAATTCTAATGAGATAAATTTATGCTGATTCAGTTTTATTTTTTTGATTAAAAAGATTTTAATGTGGAGTGGTTTCCTCACAATTTCTTTATTGACTGTTAACGCCGTGAAACAGAATTTTTGTGGTCAACATGATACGGTATATGATAGCAGTGACTAATATTGATAAAGTTTTACAAAAGAAAATAAAAATGTGCATTGAGTTGGATGTAAGCTATGATTTTACATAAAGTCCCAAAATACAAAAAACTTTGAATTTCACAAATATCAATATAATTCATTTTTATTGGGGAATTTTTTAATGACTTGAATAAAGGATCGTTCATTAGTGACGTGCATAAATTATATTTTCGACTCCTTGTCACACCTTGGTTACATCATCTTACACAGTTTGAATTTACACAATTCTTGACCCTGACCTTTAATTCTGATAATGTAACATTAAAGTACGATGAAACCCAACAGTAACACGACTTATTTGGAAAATTATAAAGATTAGATTAAGTTGCAATGGCTTATCATTGTAAACAAAGCAATTCAGTTGGTCAAAGACTCTTTACCATATAAATCCTTTGAATGTTTCAAAACCATCCAACTTTTTCTGTAAAAACCTTACAAATTTTTTTTCAATTTCACATTAATTAAGAATCACTCATTTTTTAATATCCATAACTTTTTAGTTATACACCAGTGTTATCAGGTGCTTAACGTTCACAATAGTTTGCACGTGCATATGATTAATTGAGAAAAAAGTCGCAAGCATTGTGTTATTGAGTGAATAATAAATGAAATAATAATGCGGGCACTATTCATGCAAGTAAACGGAACACCGAAGTTTGTAAATCCAATTAGTTCTTAATACCACAATGTATACACATGTAATATAATTTCATTAATAACAAAAGAGAGAAATTATCATCACACATGAATGCCTGTGTAGGTGTATCCGATATCTTAAAGTTGCTTTAATAAATATACGAAACTTGACAGATTTGATAGATTTCCTTATCACAACTCAGTGACATTTTACCATAATTCTCTCTTTTCCATTTATTTTTAGGCGAAAATATTGAAAAGATGATTTTTAAGTTTTTTTTGTGATAAGATTGAAAAGTGAAACAATAAAATTATTCACAATTTTTTATCAATTTTACTTCTACTTGAATGTCGGCATAATGTTGAATTTAAAGTTTTAATTGAAAAAAAATTAAGTTACATTTCTAGCCTTTTCTAAATCGATTTAGACAGAATTGCTGATAAGCATTTTTTCAGAACTCATTAAAACTTCTTAATTTTTTTTTTCTTTCATATTAGATTATGTTTTTTACGTGTTATCTGAACACAGTTCACAACTTTTTGAACCATTTAATAGCTAAATTAGTCATAATACAAATTATAAGTAATATAAACTTTTAACGATTATTTAAAAATTTGAATTTCGTATGAAAACCTTTTTTCGAAAAGAATGTGTTTAGTAAAAATGTTAAAAAGTAAACAAACTTTTACTTCATGAAATTTGCTTCTTAAATCACATAAAACAAAGCTTTAAAGTATCATAAAGTGAAGTTCCGATAGTAAATTTCATCCTATAACAAATTAAAATAAGAATAAACACAAGGAAAGTCTAAAACTTTGAGAAACAAGCATTTGACAATCAGAATTTTATGTTCGAAAACATTTCGAAAACAAAAAGTTTCAAATTTATTTTAAGCCGTTAAAAATTCAATTCCAATTTTCCCCCATCCACGCTTCTGTCTCTCAAAAATTATCTCTACATTGCTTTTGCGATATTAAAAAGAAAATTGTGCCCAAAAACAAAGGAAAAACTTTTTTGAAAGCACTTGACCGACATTATTCCTTCCCAGATATAAAAGATAAAGGCAGAGAGAAAGAAAAGTTTTTCCATTAAATTATTTGAAATCTTTTTGTTGATGAGTATCATCATTAGAATCTAATAAGAAGTTGTTTACGACTTGCGATAAACATTATAGCTGCAAAACATTGACTGAATGGTAGCACAAAAGAGAACAGCTGATGATGATGTCAAAAATACTAAAACTCTTTTTATTTATGTTTTCTAGAGCATAAATTATACAAATAAAGTTCCAATATGCCTGGAATAGTAATATTTCAACGCAGATGGTCAGTAGGATCTGATGATTTGGTAGTTCCTGGATTGTTTTTGTTTGTAATACATATAGTATGGTGAGGATCAATTTAAATATTCTTTAATGATTTGCGTGACTTTAATACATTCTCTTATGCTTTAAACAGGTTAATTATACTTACGACAATTCTATTACTATTTGAATATGACAAATCGATAAAATGTGTAGAACTTTTATGGTTTTACATTGTAATTTATATTTGTCTATTAGCTGGTGAGTTTGACATGCTTAATATCCATATCCGCAGATTATATAAAATCCTGTATCTCATTTAAATCTAGTTATATCAATTAATGAATTATGCATATGTATAGTCTCGATGCGTGGATCAATTTTAGAGACTAGTAAAAGATCTTCAATGCAATATTGGCTGTATGTTAGATTCAGTAAGGAAGAATATCTTAATTAATTCAATAATCTCATACCTAATTCCTCATATTAATCCTATTCATGTACAGTATTAATGTTATTCGACTTTGGTGCGATGATAAGTGCAATCGTGTGGGTGAAGGAATTTTATTGGAAATGTCCTATAGAGGAGCCAAAGGAGATTGTAATGACATCTGTTGTGTGCAATTTACTCGTAGAATTATCAGTTATTATGACAATATACTGTACATTCGATGCGGCAGGTCGTTCATGGGTAAAGATGAAGCAATATCAACGATCAATGCGTGAATCAGAATCACGTTTCAATTATCGAAGGAGTGGAAGTAGAAGTCGTAATTGGAGGCAAAGGAAAGTAATGCGAGCTTATCAAGATAGTTGGAATCAGAGATGTAGGATATTATTTTGTTGCATGGGCTCATCAGATCGTAGTCGAAACTCATTCACGGATATTGCTCGACTATTAAGCGATTTCTTCCGAGATCTCGATGTTGTTCCGTCTGACGTCGTTGCAGGATTAGTTCTTCTGAGAAAATTTCAAAAACTTGAACGTGAAGCTATCGTGAGACAGGTTAGTCTGATTAATCCTTATAAAGCTTCCTTCAATTTTCCTTTCCGTTTTTAAAGGAATTTATTCATACATAGTCTGTGATAATATTTTGCAAGATTGCTACTTACTTCCCATTCATCTATGCCATAAAATTTTCTTCTCTTTCCTTTTTTTTCTTTTTCTTTTCTTCCTCCTCTCAATGCCATCTCACTATGTATGTATGTATGTATGGATATAGCGACGACATGGAATTTACGAGTATCTTAGTGGAGTTCCAGTAACAGAACGAACACAATTTTTAGCTTTAAATGACAGCCGAGATTATGAACATTTTCAATCAGTTATTCACTACATGTATTACGCGATTGCTTCATATGGTTGGCCGATGTATCTTATGACGCATTCCACAACAGGCATATGCGATCTGTGCCCAAATCTTAAATGTTGCAATCTAATGTGCTTTAGACAACAAGATAATGCAAAAGTAATTGAAGATAATTGCTGTTTGTGTAATTACACTGCACTCAAACAAATGCTGGCTGAAGGAGACGTCGAGATAATTTATGTAACTTATCATGTCGATATTGGAGAGACGCCATTTTTTGTTGCTGTTGATTATGCAAGGGAGAAGATTGTAGTCTCGATCCGAGGAACATTGTCAATGAAAGACGTATTAACAGATCTGAATGCTGAGGGGGAGCCATTACCAATTAATCCTCCACGTGAAGACTTTTTAGCCCATAAAGGAATGGTACAGGCAGCTGTTTACATTAAAAATAAATTACAGGAGGAGAATCTAATTGAAAAAGCTTTAAATCACAATCCAGCAAAGGGAACTCAAGACTTTGGTCTCATCCTTGTTGGACATAGTTTAGGTGCAGGAACGGCTGCAATTTTAGCCATTTTACTCAAACAAGAATTTACAAATCTTCAGTGCTTTAGTTATTCTCCACCAGGTAATTCACATGTCTTCCTTATTTAGCTTTAGACTAATACGTTATTGATTCTTTGTATTGTTCTATAATAGGAGGTCTTCTGTCAATGCCAGCTGTTGAATATAGTAAAGAGTTTATTACATCCGTTGTTGTCGGTAAAGATGTAGTTCCGCGCATTGGACTCCATCAAATGGAATCACTGCGTGCTGACCTTATAAATGCAATTCAGCAAAGTATTGATCCAAAATGGAAGACAATAGCATGTAATATGATATGTTGTTGTTGTGGTGCTGAACCAGCTTCTGTGGTTAAAATGAGCGAGCAAGATTCATATGTCAATGCATACAACGAGAAGAAAGAGAAATCTCGACACAGTACCGTCCATCCTAATGATAAGTCGATTGCTTTATCGCTTCATCATCCATTATTTCCGCCAGGAAGAATCGTACACATCGTTCGACATCATACAACACAGAATGAGTAAGTAATAATTGAGTTAATATGTTCCATCTGTTTTGTTTCCTATAATTAACCAACAAATAATATTAGGACAAGAACTTGTGACTGTTATCAAGGCGTGTCCGACGATTTTATTTTGAACACTATTTCCTTTTACAAATATTGTCCCCATTGCGGTATTGCAATATTTACCTTTCGATTTTGTAACATCAGACTTAATCAATAATGTTTTTGCGGTCATGTAAAAGTTGTGTCTTCTGCACTGTATAGAGATTTTTCAGACTCAACAAATCAGAACCATACAAATTGAGCTTAAAGGGTTTTTATATTTTAACGGATTTTTGAGATTTAAATGACGTGAATTAATACAACAGCATTTTGAGATAAAAACATTTGTATGGTTTTGAAATTGTCGATACAGCGCAATGAAGTCATCAATGATCAAATTAATGTGTTCATAAAGTTTAATTGACTAGAAAAGCCACGTTCAATATAAATTCAATTGTCCCCTATCGTTTGTGGAACATAAATTGCTAATAGGTAAACTTTTAAAGTAATTAATTCACGCCTATTCTAAATTATGCTAACGTGTCACGATAAAAAATTAATTTAATGCTAATTCCATGCTTGCAATTAAGGCAATCGCAAAAGTTGATGATAAAAAACACACACATTATTTAACTTTGTCATTTTTCTTACTTCCAAAAAAAATTTATTCCAAATATTTTCATTGTTCACTTATTAGTAGAATTAAAGTAGATTTTTCCCTTCCTTTTACTTATTACATAAATTTTTAATGAAAAGGAAACCTTTTTTCATTCGCTTTTCTGCTATTTTTCATCTTCTTTTCTTTCTTTTCTTCTCATTCTCATCATCATCATCGTTCGTTCGTTCATTTTTCAATTTTCCAAAAAAAAAAAAACAAAAATAATATTAAACTTTAACATGCTCTTATCAACCCAGACAAAAGTATGAGAAAATGAACTGGAGGTATGCCAACATAAAAAAAAGACGAGATCTATCTCGAAACAGACATTGACCAGAAAACCAGAATGCAACTGTTTTTTATATTCTTCCTTTCTTAATTTTATTATACAATAGAGATTGTGTGGTGCTGCTTTTTTCATTCTTAAACAACTGAAATGAAAATTATATGCATTTTTACTTTGTGTAGCATTTATTTCCCTTTTTTTCAATCTCCAGAATTTCTATTTCTATTTTTTTTTTGTTCTTTTCTTGGTTCTTGAATCGATAAAGCCGTATAGAGTGTGTATTGAGGAAATGTTTAAAGATTACGGAGAATAAAAATGAAAATTTATAGCCCCTTTCCGATTTTAATCTGTTCATTACTTTTTGAGATTATTCGAATTTGACGTAATGAATGAACATTTCCATTTTAGATTGGCCTTTTGAGTTAATTATTCTTTTTTTACCGAATTCATTCTGATTGTATACATTTATGGACAATTCTTCAGATGAAGCTTTGGATTTAGAGTTCTTCTTAACTTCCTTGTGTAGTTTTATGTTCTTTAATGTCAATAAGGGAAAACCGTGATTGTTATTTACATTCTCACTTGAATATTTTGTTTCTAAAACTTAGCTCAATATGATGCTTATATCTCATTTGTATCATTGCAAAGGATTTAATAAGTGTGAGCAAAGACTTTATCATGCAATTGCATTAGTAAATCAACTGACTTATTCCAAATACTCTGGTTTTATTTTAAACAAATTCTATTTATGTTTGTAGACAAATTTGCTAAAATGGCGGGAAAATTCAAACAAGTATTTGATAAAATAACGATTATTTTTGCAGTTGTCCCTTATTAAGATAAAGTTATAGTATCAAAAGCTTAAATCTTTATGCTCAGTATCAATTAATTTTTTTGGTCTTTTTTAAGTTCGTGAGATTAAGATTTGAGGATTAATGCTCATGTTAACTTCAAACTCCAATAAATATGCGTAGCTGTTCTAAAGCATTGCCCTTATTTGTTCCAATGTAGACTTGAATCTTGTTATTGCATTTTTAATTATCTGTAATTGTAATAATGATGATGAATCCGAAACATGCGTAGTTGAATGACGAAATGTAGAATTTTAATTTTCATTTAAATTCCACTTTTTGTTCCATTAAAATTCAATTTAAAAGTACACAAAAATATAAAAAATAATATATTAATAAGAGACATGAGAGAGACAACAATTAATTAAAACCTTGAAAAATCTGTTCGCATCTCTTAATTGCTCCCTTTTTACTAAAAAAAAATAGATTATTATCCGTACACATGTAGAGCATGTCATTTTCAATTGTGATATTTAAAAATTGATTGATTTATATTTTGCAGTGTGTGTTATTATAGGAAGATTTCTCTTTTATTAAAAGCTATGACATGGAATGGAAAATTTATAATCAATTTTTTTTCTTCTCCATCTCCTTTTTTTCCTTATTTCCGTCGTTTAGACAAGCATTGAATAAGCATGAGCCCGTATATCAAGCAATATGGGCAGAAACAACTGATTTTGATGAAGTGCTTATATCACCCGTTATGCTGCAGGATCATATGCCCGAGACAGTTCTCTCAGCGCTGGAAAAAGTGAGTTTATCGTGAAAAAAGAGGAAAAAATCAATTTTCTTTTTTTCCTTCCTTCAACTAGGAATTTTTAATATTGTTTGTCGTGTTCTTCTTTTTGTTATTTGATAAGAATTTTTTTTGCTGCATAATTTTTGTACGATGTGCTTTCTCTGTAATACGCTTTTCTTACATGATCATGTAAATTTGTAATGTAATGATTATGATAATAATATTGTGAATTAAAACATCTTATTTATTATTTAAGCTTTTTAACAGACATGCTTCTTCTTTTCATTATTCTTTAATTTTTTTGTGTTTTGTATGCTTCTAATGTCCTGCTTTCAGATATATTTTTTTTTGCGCTGTGCTTTCGAATACGATGCTGCTTAATCAGAGTGAATTTGCATATGTGGGGTTATTTGTGAGTGACGTCGATCGACAAGATTGATTTTTTCGGACTTATTTTTTAATAATTTTTTCAAAGTTGGAATTTTTTATGTTTTTAAGTATTAAATAGAGGAAGGGTGGGGAGAAGGGGGTGCTTCAAACTTCTTTTCTATAATATATATAATATATATAAAAACCTTAGAACAAATTCTTTTGGAGCAAAGTTAGCTAAAGTCGCATTGTGGTTTACTAATTTAGTAGATAACTACTGCGACACGACACAAATTCTGAGGGTTCGAGACTCTTAATTGAAAATTTTGCCACTCTCTCTTTTGTTTTGTTATCCTTCATTTTAAATAGTTTAGTCAGAAATCCCTTTACTAGCATCAACTAGTCGGACTAAGTTTACGTCAAGAGATTTAAAAGAAAAGTCACTCGTTAAGCTATTCTCAAAATGCCATAGTGCAGCTTTTGATTAAATTTGATCTTAATCCCAAACTTTTGAAGTCAAAAAACCAGAAAATTTCTAAAACACCACTTTGAACGTCATTAATGAACTACCCTCAAATAGATGCAAACATATATGTTTGTTTGCTAGCTCGATCGACTTAATTTAATTTAATTTTGTTCGTTTGTTTATTTTTTATTTTTATAAATATAAATCAGATAAACTTTTTCCACATTCTCCTCCCAATTTTCTCGTTCTGGTTTTTTATTGTTCCATTTTTTTTTTTCATTCTCCTCCAAAGTATTAAAAGCATTATAAATTGTGTCACGTACTATCATAAATTTCGTACACTAGAAAGTGAAAAACACTCAACAAAACTGAGACAGGATGCAGTTTATAAAAAAATGATTTTATTTTCTCATGAGATTTTACATTGTTTGCTTTTATAGTCGTCAAGAGTTGAAGTTGGTGGAGGTTTAATAGTCATAAGTTTTATGGTCATTTCACTCAATCTGGAATTTATGATTGCTTACTTATTTTCTTTGGCTTTTGCACACGTATGCTCATTCTCGCCTAAAACTTGCTCTGTGCGTCAAAACATCCTGCAATACAGGGTTTTGGATCCTTTCCTGATACAAATGTTCTTAATTTAAACAGAATTTTTTCTGAACATAATCAAATCTAGATTTTTCTATACATTTCATCCATAAACTCGTTAGTTTTCGTTATATCTACTTGCATTATTAACAAGTGCTTGATAATTTAATATAATCAGTTGACATGAACTTATAAAGTTACAAAAAGTATTATTAAGTGATTTTGAGGTTAGTCTCAAGTATAAACATCACAGTCTCAAGAAATCTAAATCCAAAAGTGAGTTAAAGACCAATTCCTTTCATGTTTCTTATCGCACTGATCAGAAAACTTACAAATCAACAGTCATGCCACCAACAAGTGACCCCCTTCCTAAATATTTGATGTTATAAATGAAATGCATGACAAATTGAGGAAGGAGTTGATTATTCCAAAACTTGAGCTCAAGATAATTTGCTCCAAAACAGCTTGTAGTCATAACTTAGCATAAGTAATGATTTTAAGGAACTTTTATCCAAACAAAGTTCTGATAAGAAAAACCGCTTGAGCCACAAATTAGAAAATCATCCCCAGAACATAATTTCTGTATGTTGCAAAACAAGGCAGTCGCAATAATTTTTAGGAAGCTCGACTGTGAATTATACTTAATCCCTTAGTTTCCATCCAACTTCAACTTTTTCTTTGTTTTTTGTGAATTAATTTTTTTTTTGGATATGCTAAATGCTTACCCCATTCAAACCACAAACACACACACATACTCACAAAATATTATACACAAGAGTCGTGTTGTTTTGCCATAAAATTAGCTTAAACGGAAAAATCACAAAAAATCTATTTTGCCATAAATTTGTTGACTTGAATTTGACTTAATTAATAATAGCGCTCTCTCCGAAATTTAGATAAAAGAGGATTTTGTGTAAATGTTGGATGATGGCTTACCATATATGAATTGGCTTTTATTTTATTATCTTCTGTAACAGGGTTGCTATCTCTTAGTTGTCTGTTGGCTGGTAGATTCTTTGCGGCTGACTCTGATTTCTTTGATTTGCTCTAGCCATACTCTCTAGAATTGATGCTATACTATGACATATTAAAAGCTGCTCAATAATAGATGCTTAATAGTTGAGTACCAGGGGCGTAGCCAGGGGGGGGGGCATAGGGGGCCCGGCCCCCCTACGAAAATCTGATAATTGTTTTATTAAGTATTTATAGAGAAGAACCAGTTAATGTAGAGGAAGTGATGAAAGAAATGTCAAAATTAGCACGAAAAATTAAATTTAATGTATGAATAATGAATTAAAGATTTAAACTTATGAAGAATGAATATAGATTTAAGGATAAAAAATAACGGTTTTTTAATTTTCGAAAATGGGCCCCCCCCCCCTTAAAAATTTTCTGGCTACTCCCCTGTTGAGTACAGCATCTTAAAACTCTAGAAGGCATAAATACCTATAGAACTAAGCTGAAAAAGTATTGCTTGACCAGATGTCTTTTCTTGTGAAGTTTGAACATTAAGATTCAATCTAAAAGAATTAAACTGTTTAAGATTCGAACTCTTGACTCTGATGGTGAATTATTATTTTTATGGAGCCTTTAAACTTCACAGGATGTTTCATCTGACATGCAAAAGCTATTGATAAGTTTTGTGACAGACAACTAAAATCACAACCCTGCCCTGTATTGTGGGTCTCTTTTAGAATCATAAAGTCATATTTTATTCCATTAAATTTTCAAAAACTTTTTTAGCATCCCTTCCGAATGCTTTTTCCATTATTTTTTTTTTATCTAAAACCATTTTCATTAATTATTCATTTTCATTTAAAGTTAAGAGAGTGAAAATTATAAACGATATGATTCTATATTAAGTCAAAATCATCAATGTTTAGGTTTTTCATGACCTTCAGAAATCATCAAAAGTAGATGATGATGATCAATTGAATAAACGGAGAAATGACGAGACGACATTCAATGATGTCAGGTATTTTTCTTATACTTTATTTTTTCCTCAACATAACTCTTTTTTCATGTCTTATAATAAAACATCAAAAAAGTGAAAATTTTAGTTTATTGATTTTCGCTAAAATTATTTTATTATGATTTATTTTTTTCTTTTTTTTTCTTTTCTTTATTCTATGTGCCACAAAAAATATATGATTTTTTTATCATTTTGATTTGATTTTATTGAAATTCCTTATTTTACATCACACACACCCACACCCCTCAATGAAAATATAAAATGTCTCATGCCAGATGTAGTGTTGGATGTGAAAATTACATTTGATTTTGTTATGCGCGCTGGAACTTCCGTCCTTATTTTTTTTTATCCTATGATTTATCAATTTATGATGGACATGATTTAATGTATTCGTTATGTATATGAATTTTTATTATTAATGGTGAGTAGATTTAAATTCAATCACTCTATGAAAAAAATGAAAAAATAAATATACTCAACATTGTGTAGTTCAGTAGCTGTAGATTGTATTGATTGTAGATTGAAGTATCAATATAAAAAAATTATTATGTTGCACGCGATTTTCTTAACGTTTTATATCCTTAATTCTGAGAGTAATGTAGGCGTTAAAAAGCATCTTAATTATGTTTACATTAAAGCAACAATAATAACATCAAGCATAATCGTAAAAAAAAAAATGTTGACACACTCTTGTTGCTGGTATTGAAGCTTTAGTTGTCCTCGACATTGGCGCATTTTCGTAAAAACTAAAGTAAAATCATTTAAATGATAAAAATTTTAGCGCCATTTTTCTGAAGTCAAAATTAATTGAAAATCAATTCAAGTAAACAATTCAGGTAGTCAAGACAATCTGACAACACAAAGACACTCTTTCAGCTACCCAAAAATGCACAAAAAGATGTGTCAAGATTTTTAAGAGCACTCTAATGTGCCATTTTGTAACGAAATATTCCGTGCTTTCTCGAAATGAAAAATGATTCGTTTCTGACGCGGAAGAAAGTTGCAAAATAAAAAGTATATATACATAATAGAGCATTTGTACAAATGAAAAGAAAATTTATTTTCAATTCATCATTTAAAGGTTGTAACAACATTTGGGCCGAGAAAACCTCAACGACAGTACTCATCTTCGATCGCATCAGATCCATCAATCAATTCATTGGCAAAGGAACATCATAATTTACAGCATCATCATCATAATCAGCCACATCATGCTCAGCATCCAAATAATAATAATAATTTAACTCAAAGCTCTGCGCAAGCATCGAAATTAACACCAAATTCCCAACGTGTTCTATTAGAAACATCCTTTGGTTCACCACCGAGAGCTGAGAGTGGAAGGAAAAATATTCAAAATCAGTTACAACAGCAGCAGCAGCAGACACAAAAGCAACAACAAAATGGGCATGGTGCCAAAAATCCCTCGAAGCAATCGAAAAGTGTAGCATTCAGTAACAATGGTGTTGCCTATCCACCACAAAAATATAAACCGACTACGCTTTCGTTATGTGAGACACGTCCAAATCCGTTTGAAGGAAGAATCATTGATTTAATTTACGATGACTGGTTTGGACTTGCTCCGTTAGCGTCTCCAGAGAGTCTTTCGGAGCTATCCAGTATTAGTTCTCGGGCTAGTATTAGTCTTAATTTAAATTTATCGAATAGTATTGAAAGGTTCTTGAATAAAGTTACTAGTAACATTCATACACCGACACCTGAGAAGTTTCTAAGAAGGAACAAAACAAATAGCACAGAATCATCAAATAACGGTAGTAGTAATGGTATGTTGGTTGAAGATGGGCTTAAAACACCGCCAATGGTTATGAGAAGAACGCCAAAATTTAGTGAAAATTTATCGTCATGTGCAGCAGATTGGAAATCGCAAAATAGCTATAAGCGAATGGGAAAAGTATTTCTTAATAATCCGCCCATGACAGGCTCCGAAAGCGATTCAATTGAAGATGGTAGTTATAACACTGCTGAAAGCTTTACGAAAGGATTCTCAAACGACTTGAAAGATTTCCTTAATAAAGACGAAACGAAAGATTGGAAATCTGCCGACAATATTGACAATGAAGTCACATCTAATGAATACAATAATAACAATACTAATAATAATAATCGTAAATTTACTGTGAGTGACAGTGCAATGTTAAGTGATTGTAAATCACAATGCCCTGTATGTCCATGTACAAAGCTTCCAGCTGAGGAGTGTTGTCAAAAGAACGACCACATCAGTTGCATCATGTTGAGTGCTCAGGAATATCGAACGAGTGGAAAATATTCAATAACGAATACGACAAGTTCAAGTGATACATATTACTCATTAACAGGCTCTGAATGTGGATTTTTACAGAATGGAACAAAGGTATTGCTATCAAAACTGGGAACATATGAAGAGGAAACCTTAACATGCGAATTACCATCGACTCATGACTCAATTACTCTCAATCCAACAACAATATCATCAATTACACGTTCCGGTATATTAGAGTCACACTTTCCGGTCTATTTTGACTCGAGTGATGAAAGGTCATCACTTTTATCACACGAGAATAGTCCGAGTTTGAAGAATAATCAACGAAAAGGCGTGCGATATACGCACAGTAGTGGCAATAATATAACAACAATGAGGAAGAAATCAAATGACGATGACTTCGGTGGCTTTGCTCGTAATGAATCACTACCATTGTTATCAAATCTAGTGGAAAAATCATCGCCAACGAATTATATGAAGCGTAAGAAAGTCATTTATCCAGCAATTCATACACCTCCAATTATACAGCAATCACCAAAAATCTTTCCCGTCACAACACATTCGAGATCCACGCCGGCGAGCATAAGTAATTTATATATTTTTAATGAGAGTAATGTTTAAGATAAATGACGATGATAAATGATCATCTGAGATATATATGCGAGTAAATGTTAAGGAATCGAAGAGATTAAACACTGCAATAGGACCAAAGATGAATCTTTTTCAATTTGTCTATTCCGCATAAAGTCATAGATCTTTCCACTCACTTAATTCGACATAAATTACAAGGATAAACATAGAATAGCATAAAAAAAATGATAAATTTTTATAAAACATATAAAATACTCAACAATCTAGCGACATATTAAATTATTGAGAAATGAAAAATGTTAGATGAGAAAAAAAAGTTAACTGATTACTCTATTAGTGATTCCTGTCTATTCTGTCTCTAAACTTTGATATCTACTCATTCCAAGCGAATTAAGAATCTTGATTTTTGTTCAAGATCAACTCGGGAATTTCTCAATATCCTGTCAATGGCTCTTGACTGATTTCTTAATTGTGTTGAAAACTTTTACTTCATTTTGGATGGTTTAGATCCGCGATGGATTAATTTATAGATCTTTCAAAATTCCTTAAATAATACTCAAGTCTTCCTAGTTGATTTTGAACAGAAATCTCAATTTGGAAATTCAGCTCTAATCTATTTAAAAGAAAACTAACATACATTACTAGATTAATATCTCTTGTTCCATTCATTTTTCGCTCTCTATCCTTCCCTCCTTACAAAATCTTCCAGAAGTTTTTAAGGAATTACTTTTAAAAAAGTAAAAATTAGTAAATGAATTAAAATAAAAAGTAGAGAAATAATTTATACAAAATTGTTTTATATATAAAATGATAATTTGAGGATATATAAATTAAAGATTTTATTGAATAAAAGAAGTGGAAAAATTAAATTTAAAAAAAATACCTAGTTTCAATTATGAAAATGTGCTAACAATAATAAATTTACTATTATTGGGATGGAGCATAAAATAATAAATTTTAAACAAAAACGAAGACAAAATTAAATGTGGCAATGAACATTTAAAAATAAAAGAAACCTTTATTACCGAGAAAAAGAATTTTCAATGTCTTATCAAGCTTATTTGATTTTCAGCATTAAGGTAGTCAAAACTGATTGCGATATTTTTAGCTGATTGTTATCAGTTTTTTTGGGTATTACTGAGGTAGGCTTTATATCCAGTGTTGTTATTCAGATAGTTAAGTCTGCAATCAATTAAGCTCAAGCAACCGATTATTAAGATTTAATCGAGGATCTATCAACTATTCTTGTCAAGTTCCATGCTACAACATTGCAGAATAATCATATAATACTTAACTATCGATAAACACAATGCTAAGCTCCTTAAATTCTCAGTAAAATTAAGTTTAATATCAACAATCGAAACTTTAAGTCATACAGAATTGCAAAGTTTCAAAATATTTTTTTGCGATTTTATTACCAGCATGGATCATATGAGTGTATATCATTTTAAAAGTTGTACTAAAGCAGTTTAGAACTCAAGAAAGTATCCGTCGTTAGTGATTTACATTTATATTTTCTACTGGATCCTTCACTGTCAACAGTCGTCTCGAGAAGTTTAGTTCAATAAGTTTTGTTTTATTAATTTCATTCATTATGAATACGTCAAGGATTGTCATTCATCGTGCATTTAAAATACTGAGACGTAATTTAAGTACGCTTAATATTGAGCAGTTGTTAAGTGAAGAAAATAAAGTAAAAACATTGGAAAGCTTTAAAAAATTAACTAAAGTTAAGTATGGGGAGAAAATTAAGAGACACGCAGCAATTTTAATTCCAATTTGTGTATCAAACAAGAATGAATTGAGTATATTGTATACTTTAAGAAGTACAAAGCTACGTACACATAAAGGGCAAATATCATTTCCAGGTAAATAAGAAAGTTTTATAAATAGCAAAAAAAAAGTTAAGCAGTTGTTATGAACTGTCTGTACGCTCATATTTCACTTTTCTCTTTCGTTTGACCTATATGATTTTTTTAATTCATCCATTCCTGCTAATTGATTAAATTTAATGTATTTTAAGGTGGTCATATGCAGGATGACGATGGTCACGAGATAGAATGTGCTTTACGTGAAACTCGAGAGGAAATAGGATTAAAGCCAGAATTTATAAAAGTATGGGGAACAGGTAGTCAAATTACTCCTACTTTTGGTATTTCGATAGTTCCAGTAATCGCAGAAATAAGAAATTTTGACTTGTCAATGGTCGAAAAGAATCCAGAGGAAGTAGATGAAATCATCCCGATTCCACTAGAGAGATTAATAGATCCAAATTTCTTTCATCATACACAATTTCGAACGCCAAAAGGTCAACAATATGTACTTCCTGTTTATACTGGTGGCAAGAAGAAATTTTGGGGAATGACGGCATTGGTTACGCATTTTTTATTATTATCAATGCTGCCAAAGGATGTCTATAAGATTAGAATACCCGTCGTTGCACCATATACTCCATAATGTAAAGTTCCATTCTCAACACTTGTTATGAACAAGATTACCAAAAAAAACTGAATAAGATTTTAAAAATCTTTAAAAACTCTTAAGTAGGAAGCTATTTTTTTTTAGGAAAATTGGAAAACGCATTAAATTAAGTGACTTAATCATGATTGACACGTTTAAGGAAGAAAAAAAAGTTTTTCCTTTATTTTTTATTTTTGATATCCTTTTTAATTTCATAGTTTTAATAAAGATTCGATGATAATACTTATGTAGATAATCCATATTTTGAGTATTAACAGTGAGAGTTTTCTGTGTGCTGAATTAGACTGCGATACTATGAATGTAGTATGTTAATTATTGTGAATAAATAAATGATGGACGTTGACATGATAAATTTTATTTTGTTAATGATTGAGATTATTAAGAGATGAAAAAGTTACAAGTATTTGTATTATGCCGATTAAGGAAGAAATAAAAAATTATTCATGATAGACAATTAAGCCTCGTTTTTTTTCTATATTATCATCATTATTGGCCATCGATATTGTTTCATTCATTAAAATCTCATGTATATTTAATACTGACATCTACTTATTACGTTTCTACACTTATATATTGAAGAATCTAATGCAAATACTATTATTTGAGCCTGACTTTGAATTAAAAATATACTCTTTAAAACATATAAAAAGAAGAGATATGAAAAATATCAAGTGTATAAAAACTATTATAAAAATAACATAAAGGAACTTTTGCTTGCTTTTTCATTTCATAGCTTGATTTATGTCTACTGAGTAAAATTTATGTGATTTCTTTCGTCAATATTTTGATACTTGAGAGCTGTACAATTTTTTGTCTAATTTTAAAGCTGTTGTACGGTTCTAACTGCAAGTTTTTGTTTTCCGTTAATTCAAACTCAAAACTATACAACAGTGATAAAACAATTGTACAGTTTTAAGATTTATTTGCAAACAAAACCGTTACAAATTACCACGTGACTCATTCAATTCATTAATTCAAACTCAAAACCATACAACAGTGATAAAACAATTGTACGGTTTTAAGATTTATTTGAAAACAAAACCGTTACAAATGACCACGTGACTCATTCAATTCATTAATTCAAACTCAAAACCATACAACAGTAATAAAATAATTGTACGGTTTTAAGATTTATTTGCAAACAAAACCGTTACAAATTACCACGTGACTCATTCAATTCATTAATTCAAACTCAAAACCATACAACAGTAATAAAATAATTGTACGGTTTTAAGATTTATTTGAAAACAAAACCGTTACAAATGACCACGTGACTCATTCAATTTTAAACAAAATATCTGTTCAGCTCGTACGATTGACGCTCATTGATGGTTTACTTTATCTTTATAAGATATGGCGAGACTTAAACGATAATAATCAATTATTTCACATTATAATTATTTTGTAAAGCTATAAGGAACAAAAAGTGGCTTGCCTTTATATATAAAAAAGCTAATCAATTCATTTCTTGGCAGAAATCTTCTTTTAAAAGATAGAAACAGAAAGCGCAACGTTTTTACAGTTTTTTTTTCATCTTTTTTTTTAGCATATCAAAAATTGTTTTTCATTCAAAAACATATTTTAATTTAAGCACAAAATTTTATCACAGCATTTTTAATAATTAATTGCCAATTTTGTTTTCATTCATGATTCGTTATTGCCTAAAATTTTTGAGAATATTTAAAAAATAATTAACGACTAGTTAAGTAGTTCATGGAAGTACAATATAATGAAATCACGAAAACTTGTGACGATTTAAGATAATTAAAAGAGATCGAAAAACAATCTAATTTATGAGTATTGTTGGAGATCCATTCAACTGAACTTACTGAATTGTTATAGTTTCAGTCTGATCGACATTCTTCCAGTTGCTTATACTTATGTGAGGTTTCGGTAGAAAATTACGCAATGTTTGAACTAATTGAATGCTATCAATCAATGTTTTTTGCAACGACTCACTTTGCTTCCCATAAGGTTTAACCTGTTTTCGGGAGGATATGAGTTAAAATATTAAGTTTCAGAATAAACAAGTCATACATACCATAGATGGACGAATAAATGCTTTCATTCTTGCCATATTTTTCATTAGTTCTGCAAATGCTCGAACAATTTTCTCTTGGCCCGCAATCATTCCGTCACGATTATCCAAACTTACTGGCTGAATGCTTGGCGATATCCAATTATTTTGCAATAATTCTCGATTTGATGTTGAATAACTGCCAGCTGAATATGTTTCGATTCCATCATAACTTGGTCGTCTAGAAGTGATTAAAATATTTTCATGTCATTTGAGTACGATACAAGTCAAGTTTTAATGTGTTTGAAAACCATACAAAGTTAATAAGCTTAAGTTGGAATTGCACAGTTCTGAATTCATAATTCCATAAATTTAAATGTCTTAAAACTGCTACAAATGATTACGTTACATACCTGGAAAAATCCACAGACTTTTGATGATTAATATTGTGCACAGGAGGCAAAATAGAGACATTGGGTGTATTAATTTGATTCATTTGATTTGGAAGCCCCAAATTATTGTTTGCCTGAACAATTGCAGCCACTGTCTCATAATGCTTTTTATCTAATTGCTGCATAACTCGTTGTTTCTCTAAACTTTCCATCGATTGATTCATACGACTTTGCTGTTGCTGTATGATCTGTTGAGTAATTTGCTGATTTGTTAAAGGTCGACTCATTTTTGACGGATCAATAGGTGGCTGCATTTGCATCATAGCTGGTGATCGATTTGGACCATAATCCATATTCATATTAGGTTGAGGTGGAGCAAAATTTTGATGTGTTTGTTGAGGCTGTTCGAATTGCTGTTGAGCTTTAAATGGTGAAAATCGACATGTATTTGAAGGGCATGAGCTTAATACTTCGAGAATAAAATCTCTATCAAATCCAAAAGCATCCTTTCCACAGCTATAACTTTCAAAAACTGCCTTAATAGTGCTGTCTAAATTCAGATGAAGTCCTCCAATGCCGGAACCTTAAAAAAAATTAAAAACAGCATTAAATGTTTGAACTGGATGTTAGAATTCTTTAGAGTCGCTCACAATGTTTAAGGAAAATTGCATTTGCCCAATGCTCATATGGGAGGATAATTTTACCACTTTCACGATGTATTAGTCTAGCTGACGCGTCAATTGCAATTTTTGATGCCAATACCCTAAAATTAAAAAGCATTTTATGTGAAAAAATCACCAAAAATGAAATTTTTTTCATCGCCCATCAATTACTGTAAATAATTTAAGCTTAAATTTTCCGATGAAATGAGATTAACTAGCTCTATTGATGCCTGACACTTGTTACTAAGGAATATTTGCAAGATTCTATACAGCTTTTCAGTGATTATTTGTCCAGCATGAAAATCCATTGTTTCTTTTAAGGAATTTTCATCAATTTTCACAGACAATAAAAAAAATTCTCCAAAAAAAAAGTGCAAAAGGGGAAGAAGCAAGTGTCCAATATAGCAAGGCTTAACTGTTCACATACTTCTTGACTATATTTTCTGTGCTCTAGAGGAATTTATGAATAAAATATTATTAAACTATCTTATCAGTGCTTAAAAAGATGTTTAAAACTATTCTACGCAGTGTTACTGTCGTGCAGTCATTGAAGGTACGTCATATGTCCAATACTTGTGCATTTTTTCATCATTTTAATGTTTTGTTTACATCTTGTGAAGATTTTCATGCGAGTTTTTTGTTTATAAAAAGTACAGCCATCAATCAATGCACAAAAATACATTCGAACATTATCTGATGATCTAAATAAATTTATTTATTTTATTTACAGCGATGTTACTGCACACCTATTAAAGGAAGTAGTCGTAAGCTCGATGTCAGGCAGATTGAGTTGATGGCACGATCACTTCCTCATCGTAAACGACTGAAGGATGTTGGAAATATCATTGTTGTAGCCAGTGGAAAGGGTGGTGTTGGTATGTGCTATATACTTGCGATGAACGAAATCTAGTAAATTTAATTATTATTTAATGACATTCAGGCAAGACTACAACTGCTGTAAATTTGGCAGTCGCTTTATCTGCTGAAGGAAAGAGTGTTGGCATTTTGGATGGAGATATATTCGGACCGACCGTTCCTCTAATGATGAACATTACCGAGACTCCATTGACTGATGAGAATAACATGATAATTCCTCCTGTGAACTACGGAATCAAATGGTATAAAGCAACATGCTTTTATCAATTAATTGCTAATTCCTGATAATATTTACAGTCTTTCTATGGGATTGCTCGTTGAGGATTCAGCAGCAGTAATTTGGCGCGGCCCATTAGTTATGTCTGCACTTCAACGTCTTCTAAAGGGAGCTATTTGGGTATACAATCATTAAAACGTCATTTCTATAGTTTACTTATAATTGCGTTGTTAAAATATTTTTTTAAGGGTCCACTTGATATTTTGATAGTCGACACACCGCCAGGTAAAAATTCTTTTGTTATTTGATAATCCGTTAAAGTTGTTGTGTTGGAATGTCACGTTGTTAAATTATGGTTATTTAAAGTTTGGAAAACATTTGTACAGCTTTAGAAAATTATTGAATAATTTATATGGTTTTCAAACACAAAAATTTAACATTTGCACGGTTTCAAACTAAATCTTAATGAATTTGTATGCTTTTTATAGGAACTGGTGATGTCCATCTCTCATTATCTCAAAATGTTCCAATTTCTGGCGTAATTCTCGTCAGTACACCACAAAAGGCTGCCTTAAATGTCACTAGAAGAGCTGTTGATATGTATAGGACATTAAAAGTCCCAATTGTCGGAATTATTGAGAACATGTCATATGTTGTCTGTGAAAGTTGTAATCATGAGAATATTTTATACAACAACGCAATTGACACATTTTCCGATGATCTTGATATGGAAATAATTGGGAAGATTCCATTAGAAAAGCAAATCATAAGATGCTGTGAAGACGGTACCCCATCGTGTATTAAGTTCCCTGAATCAAATTTCACCGAAGCGTATCGCAATATTGCTAAAGGCATTATCGATTATTTAAAAGAGATCGATAGTATAGCTAGTAAGAAGTCAGCCTAAAAAGAGTTGTTTAGATAGTAGACGATAAGACAGACCTATAAATTCCATGAATAAAGAATTTTTCATATAACTTTAACGTGTTTTTGGATTTTAAATGCCATCCATAAGTCTCCGGTGATGTGTGTAGAGTCATAGCTCATAACTTTCTCAATTTCAATCAAAAAAGAGAAGAAAATAATTGAAATACTTATAGTAATTTAAGAGGGTATAATGGGTGCTGAAAATTCTTCACACATGAAGAACGTAACGATATCAGAGAAGCAGCTAATCGAGAAGCTAAAAAACGATATATTAATGTTTGATGGGAAATTAAATCACACGAATCAAAAAATCTCAATATTTGAAGACGTAGGCGATAATAAGGAGAATCCATTCAAGGATTATTCAGTAGAGAGACCATTGGCTAGAGCGATAAGAAATCTCAAGATTTATCGTCATCCGTACTCAATTATTAAGTTCCTTGCGTCAACAAACGATAAAACATTAATTACTGAATTTCTAATAGGAAGTCTCGATAAACATCTTAGAAATCAAAATGAAATACAAATTTGTCTTGGACTTAAGAACATTCTAAATGCATTAATCTTTTTAGTTGAGACAGCAAATGTGAGGCATTTGAATGTATCGACAGAGAGTATATACGTAACTGATAATTTAACGTGGAAGCTTGGGGGTGCTGATCATTTATTTAAGAATTCTGACATAACAATTGAGCTGTTACAAAAGTCACGACAATCAAAACGTTGCCGTGATCCAGAATATATAGATCCAAAAGAAAGTGATGGAACTGGTATGGAACAATTTGCATTTGCGACATTATGTGAGACAGTCATTAAAAAAGACAGTAAAATTCCATTTGCACAGGATTTCCTGAGTTATTGTCAGTCACATTTAAAACATTTAAATCCAAGCATGAGACCACTGTTATCAGCTGTTCAACTACACAACTTTTTCTGTCACGATTTCATAACAATTCATAGTTTCTTATCAGAATTGGCACTTAAGACTCAGCCTGCAAAGCAGGAATTTTTTAAGACTTTAAATGACAAATTGAAACAATTTGATGAGAACATTATTGGAAGTCAATTGAGTGACTTACTGCTCTCACGCCTTGTCCTACTTGAACCATCAGCTCAATATTATCTGTTGCCGTTCCTATTAAAGCCTCAAAATTTGGAAGAGGATGAGGAGAATTCATCAGACGATTATCTTTTTACAACTGCTGGATTTATCAAATACATTGTGCCAAAACTTAAGCAAGTCTTTTGTGTCCTAGATGTTCAAATTCGACTAATTTTATTGGAGAATTTTCATCTGTACGTAAATGTATTCACAAAAGAGGAACTTGTTGATGAGATATTACCACAACTACTATTAGGAATTAAAGATATCAACGATTTATTAGTCACAAAAACACTTTTATGTTTAGCGGAATTAATTCCTATTTTAGGAGCGAGTCTAGTCATTGGAAAGAATCGCAGAAAACTTTTTGCAGACGGCAGACCACAACAAAATGTCGAAATGTGGACGAACGAGAATTTACCGAGATCAATAACCCCAATTAATTCATCAATTGATATATTATCATCAAGTCCGGTAGATCATGTAGATATCAGTGAGCATTCAGACCGAGTATTATCAAAATTAATTTTATCAAATGGATTTATATCAAAAAGTGATACTGTAACAGATGAACATATTAATGATAAGACTTTAGTTCCAAATGACGCTACTGCTGTAGATAATGACGACGAGGATATTACAGACAACGAAGTTGAATGGAATTGGGATCAGGAAGCGAAAGATGTAGAAGAGCCTGAAACAATAATTGAAGAGAAAATAGAAACACCAACAAAGATAATTATTGAGAAGCCGGCAATAACTGTGCGACCTAAAATTGATGATAATATCGATGACCTTGACATCAAAAATAAGAAACTTACAAAACTACAGGAACAAGCTGAAGACTTTTTCAGCGACTTTGACATGACACCGACCTTCAAAACTTCTAATGTACACGTGGTAGAAACAAGTCAGGAAGAGCAAAAGTCAGACGAAACTGAGAATAACAGCAGTAGATTGCAAATGTCAGTGTTAGAAACAACAGAGGGTGGTTGGGGTGATGACGAAAATTGGAATGACGACGATGATTTATAATCCAAACTTTTAGTCGTCTTCTTCTTAATTCTTGTTGTTTATTTATCATATTTCGGCATATAAAATTATTACTTGATGCTTTATATCATCATTCTTATTTTTCTTTTCTTGATTGCAATAAAAAATATTTCGATTTTTGTCAAAAATTGATTTTTAAGGTATTTTTTTTTTTTGTTATTATTAAGTTTTCATATTATTTTTTTGTTTTTGGATGGTAAGAACTAATAGAATCTAACGAACTTCCAAACAAGGACTGGAGATGAGCAATGAGTAAAATTAGGAAATAATAATAAAAAAAATTAATTCAATTCAGACTTTTCAACACAAGGCTTTTGCTTAATTTTTGTGCACCATTTATGTACTTTATCTTACATTTACAGTACGGAAGTTATTGATAGGATTAGTGCCAAATATGTATACTACTAAAGTTCCAATAATTTGATAATTGTTCAAGTCTATCAGCATTTTTTTTTGTTTCAATTAATTTTATAGTTCATGAATTTTGGTAATTCTAAATATTTAATTTGCAATATGATGATATGAGCAGCATTAATGCCAACAAAAAATAGTAATTTTCAATAAATATTTGTTTCCATTTTCAACGTTCTCATTCGAAGCGTGCTACTTTGTGTTTTCATTCTGGCTGACTGAATAGATTTTAAATTTTTTGGAATGTATTACTGAACAGAAAATCATTCAGTAACACTTCATTTCAATTCAGTTCAATTGAATTTTCAAAATTCAAAAACTATTATTTTATGAGTTTTAAAATGTTGAAAACCGTTAATTTTTGATCATTTCAAAATTTCACAAGCCGTTAATTTCAAATTTTTAACGCTTTAAAATTAAAATTTTATAGTTCGAGTCGAGTCATTGAAAATGCATTAAAATCATCCATCAGCGCAAAGATGATATCTTCTTAAAAAGCGAGAACATAATATATCTTTCTTGATATTATAAAACCATAATAAAAATAAATAAAAACGTTTTTTATGCATCAATACATTCTCTTTTTCAAAGCGATTGATATCATATTTGTATCATTTTAGTAACTTGAGTCTAATTTTTATAAAATTAAAAAAAATATAACAAACAAAAAATAATAAAACTGCACCTATAAGTAATGAATCTTTCATCTTATTACAAGCTAATTAACTACATAATAATTATTATACATAATAAAAGTTGTAATTTAAGTCCAAATGACTTTTTTCATTTCTTTTGTAATCATTTAATTTAAAAAAAAAAAACATTTCTCATTAAATACTTCAATAATTATTCTTTCATCTACATATCATATTACGTTCACGCTCATAACTAATTGCTCATCGATATACTATTATTAATGTCTATTTATTTATGTTTTTTTTTGTTCACGGAATAATGTGAGGTGACGGCATATTGACTTCTTCATTTATAAATATTTTATGTCCAAAAAATAAATATTATCTTTTCTCATTTCTCACTGTGTCAACTATTATTATTATTATTATTATTATGCTTTTATCTTGTTTCAATTTAACACATCCATGGATTTTTGGTTGGTTCCCTCATTTAAAAAAATAAAATAAAAATTACAAAATCAAAAATTTACATGACTTTTTCATCTATCTGTCAAACCGTGAATATGATTTCCGTTAATTCCTTTAAAAGCATACTTTTTTATATCACACGAGCATATATCCTCGTCATATAGACTATAACACTTGATTCATTCTCAATAAAATATATTCATCATATTCTCAAAATCCATATACTTCATATACAAAAACAAAAGACCTGATGTGACTCTCTGCTATGTGTTGTTGTTGAAAATAATCAAACGGTTTGAAGGAGCAAGAAGTATAAACTACTAAATGTAGGAAATGCATGCAAAAATAAAATTGTGGCAGGATCAATAAAAATAAGAATTATTATGTCTATGCTGAGATAAAGTATATAATATGTAGGTATGTATGTATATTATTATGCGAAGCGAGGAAGTATTAAATAGTTTACAAATAATTGTCCATATCATCTTCATTTGTAACCCAATAATGATCCAAGATGTCTTCGCTATTAAAACGAAGCTCTGGATCTGACTGAAGCATATTGTTAATTAAATCTCGTACTGGTTCACAAATATCATCCCAAAAAGGTGATGGATATTCGAAAATGCCCGACAAAATTGCATCAAAAAGAGGCTCTTGTTGGTTATCAGGTGATACGAAAGGAGGAAATCCACATAAAAGAATATAAAGAATGATACCTGCTGCCCATACGTCAATTTTCAATCCATATCCAGTTTCCATGAGAATTTCAGGCGCAACATACGTTGGCGTTCCACATACAGCAAATAATGGCTCATTTACTTCACACGCTAGTCCGAAATCAGCCTAAAAAAGCAATTAATGTTTTAAAAATAAAGATAAATGAATTAAATTGTAATTATAAATAACATACCAGCTTCAGCATCACCACATTTCCATCACTGTCTAGCTCCACCTTTATAAGAAATGAAATTCATGAATCAATTAGTTATACTCAAGAGAATAATAATTTCACTTACCAATAAATTTTCTGGCTTTACATCTCTATGTACAATACTCATTGCATGAAGGTAGGCCAAGGCTGATGCTAAATGTTTTATCATGATTCTCGACTGTGCTTCGGAAAATCGTGTCACTCTAGTTATTGCATCGAATAAATCTCCGCCGTGAACCATTTCGAGAACAAGGTACATATTTGTTATCGTGTCTATATCCAGCAATAATGAAATTATGTGTTGGTGCTTAAGCTTTTTCATCACTCGTACTTCCGCATCGATATAGTGCTCCTAATTTTAGACAAAGGAGAGATCTTCAGTTAGCAAATCGTCGCTAATAATTCTAAAGCGCATATAATTTTGGGAGTCATTTAAATTAAAGATTCAAATTATTTCGACGACTTTTTGAAATTCAAATTTTAGCGGGTTTAAAAAATTCAAATTCCAACTTTTTTTGCTAGTTTCAAAAATTCAAAATAACGAAAATCTGACGGTTTTCTGTCAAATTCAACATGAAATAAAAATAGGGCAGTTACGAGATATGAAATTAGGCTATCAGTGAAGGTTTTAAAAGCTATTTAATAATCACGAAGAATTTTTCTCGAAAATATGAAAGCGGGTAAAAGTTTAGGTAATTTTTCAAGTCAGTCAAGCAAGTTAAGCGACTTTTTGATCACGTTTTGTGTCGCAAAAAGATTTAGCAGAACGAAAAAAAAAAGAAATAAGAAAATGTGAATATATATTTTTTTAAGTGGCACTAAATTTATATATTTCAGTGTCACTGTCATCTTTCATCGTCGCACGAAAATATGTGAAAATGTTCGCTATTCTGTGCTTACCTTTCCTTTACATTTTGACTTGTCAATGATTTTTAAAGCATATTCACAATCACTATTTAGTTTATCCTTTAATTTTAGCACAACGGCAAAATTGCCATCGCCAATAATTTGTCCGAGTGTAAAGCGATTTTGTATTTCGATGGGAAGTGAATCAGATCTAACACCATTGAATGTTTCTTCTTCAGCACCGAGATGGTTGACAGTGTCGTTGTGGGATTTAATTGGCATTTTTGGTTTTGGTCCATTTCTCATCGTACCGTTCTTTACAGTTTTCTTTGCCTGATTTATTGCCTTCCTTTCTTCCGGTTCTAGCTCAAAATCATCATTACCGACACGCTCATTTCCATATGCAAAAAATACATCGTTTATGTCGAAAAAGTCTGCCAATTTTGATACAGTCGTTCCATCAAGCTTAAAGACTTTACGTACACAGCCAGAATCTAATTTAACAACTTGAGTTATAGCTGTCAGCACATGATCATAAGTCGGACTATTCCTTTTGTTCAAAAGCAATCTCATAATCTTTCTTGGCTTCACGCCATTCCTGATTAGTGTAACAATCCGTGGGAAAACAATGGATGCCTCATTATTATCCTTTGCTGAATTAGGCGTTGTTATTGTAGACGTGCCATTGGTCCCATTTTTCATTGGCGATGAAGGCCGTCCGTTCTTTGACATTCTATTGACAACCTTCATTATGCTATTCGATGAATATTCAATCTTCTTGAATGCCTCATTATTGCACGAACAAACATACGATTTATTATCCTCAAGATCCTCAAGTTTCTCTACCTTTTTGCCGTCCATCGAATATATACATCGAATCGCACCATTAAGTCGTTCACCCAATTGTTTAGTCAAATCCTCAACTAAGCTATCGAAGGATCTAAAGAATAATAAGAGGGAAAAAAATATACATTCAGCGATTAGAATGGAAAGTCCAGTCAAAAAAAAGTGTATGTAATTATGTTCGACACGCACTTTCAGAATATTAAGGCGAATGGTCTTGGCACGCAAAATATGAAAATGTGGTTGATTTTTTATTGAGAGCAATAAAACATAATGGATATATGGATATACTTACTTGTAGCGTTCTTGACTAACAGCAACCAAATATCCAGTCCAAAATTTGTCACCATTTCGAAAAAATCTGACTCTTCGTGCCTTCGTTGTTGTCCTGTTTGGCGTTTTACTGCTCGAAATACGCTTCTTTAACGTATTCAACTTTTCATTGCTGAGATTATTAACGCCATTTGAACTTCCATTTAGCTCTGTACTTTTATCATTGATATCTAACTCAATTATGTCCTTTTCTAAATCGGACGATTTAGTGCTATGATTACTGTTACTCGACTGTAAGCTTACTTCCATCATTTTTTTTTTGTTTGAATTTTTGTGTGTTTTTATATCACTTTATGGATTTTGAAGACATATAAAACATTTATGAATTTCACTATTTTAATTCTACTATATAATAGCTCTTTATGGGTGTTGTAGCTGTACTGGTTTATTTTCTTTCAATATCTCTGTTTGTTGTGATTTCCTGAAGATATTACTGTTGTTGTAGTTGCTGCTATTTATTATTATATTGATATGAAAGCACAATTGCTCAAGCCGCGATATTGAAAGTGAATTAATTCGATGTAAAATAGATGAAATTAGTCTGAAAGAGGAAAGTTTTGAAACATTTTTTAAGAAATTGGACAATGAATTGATAAGAAGAAAATTTCGCATGTTGCGCTGAGAAATGATGTATGTATTATAAATTAAAACCAGCATGGATGTGATCAGCTAATGAGTGAGGAGAACGCTTTTTGTGCAATTAAAAACAAATTGCAAGAATTAAGAAAAACGTGGTAAAATCTGAAGCCTCTTGTTTGCTCACTTGATTTTCTGACATTTGTTGAACCACAGACCCTCCGATAAAGCACAATTTTAAGGAATTTGATATCAAATCACTAGACAGACAGAACGAGAGCAATGCTGCCATTCGCAAATATGCGTTAAAAAATCAATGAAAGAAAGTATTAGAGCACCATAAATAAGTTTAATGTGTGCAAAAGAAAATAGAAGAAAATCAATGAAAAAATTTGTTGTAATAAAAATTTTGAAAACTTGAATGCTTATAAGGAAGAAATACTTTTAATCACGGACAACTTAAGTACGTACGACAGCAACAGCTTTTTTTATCCAGCGAACTAAACACTCTCGGAATTACAATATCGTTTTCCTTTATCTTTTGTCTGTTTCTTTTATTGTTTATAAATTGTGCCTGCCTCTCTTCTTCAAAACAGCTATAGAAAAGAAGTAAGTGATGAAAACGAACAGCAACTCGCCGGTTTTCATCAATTAAACATAAATCATTGGGTAAAGAAAACGATATGAAATGTATGAGCAGAAATGTGGAAAGAAACAATTTTTCGTGAAAAAGAAAGTTTTCAAAAATCATTATTATACTTTTTTTTAAGTCTTCTAGTTATTCTATAGCTATCGTTTTCTATAAATTGGATTAAACTCTTTTCTGCATTTTTGATATTCTCTTCTTATTATTCTCATTGGGGCTAATCGATGTCAATAGATGAGAATATTCACAGACATTGTACATGAATTAAGCCACAGCCACATTCACTTTAATTTATGACAAATTGCTTTTCATTCCTTATCACACAATTTATTCATTAAATTCTAAGATATAGATGATATAAAGCACTTTTGTTAACAGATTGCACATATGTACGTCATTCACAAACAATTCCATAGTTTTATTCTTCTTATGTCTGAATTAGTCATCAACACAATTTTTTTTTATGCTTTCATTCGCTTCTTCTTCTTTTTGTTGTGCTGTTTCTAATGTATGTTCCCGTTGCGATTACAAAAAGCATATTTTTTTGCACAAACACACCCACCTACACTCAGAACATATTTGATTCTCCTCAAAAAAAAGCTATTTCATTGAAATGCATTAAAATGCAATTGTTTGGAATTTAGTCTGACTGCATATCACACATCATTATTATTAAAAGTATATGAATGTGTGGAAATAGTTTTTGTACATTTGTTTATCAAATGCTATTGTTTCTTGCCTCTGCTTTTTTTTTTGAGCTTTAGACTCGTATCTCTTCTTTGCTTATTGAGATTCACAGCTCGTCTATAGCAAACGAAGAAAAACTAATAAGTATAAATCACTTTCGTAGATTAAAATTTCATTAACACATTTCGATGATATTCTTAGAAACATTTGGCATTTGGCACCAAAACTACTTGAGGGTGATATATGAGAAATTGCGATTTTTATGCCAATGAGCTGAATAGCTATATCATAATTAAAGCTATTGAATTCTGGCAAGGCACACATTTACTTTCGGATACGTCAAAACTTTACAAGTCTTGGCAAGCCAGTAAAGACTGTAAAAAAATCGAATTGGAGAAATTTTTTGTTGACCTATATTTCGCCCCATTCCGTCTATTGCAATTGAGCTTTATCACATATTCCTTCAAGTCACTAATCAAGCGTTCTTACATTTTCTTTCCATTTACTTACAGCAAATTGTTTCAATTTACTTCATTTAGCATAGAAATTTATATTTTGCACTTATCATCACCGAGATTGTACTTTATTGGATGTCATTCTTCCACAAAGGGTTATGAAACAAGAAGAAATGATTCTTTAATTTATTGTCGTACTTACATAAGTGTTATTCACTTAATTAAGCATTTTCAGGATATACACATTTGTTTTCTTAATCAGCTACTTAATTAAATTCGCATAATTGATTTTTTTTTCTCTCCTACTTTTCAGCCTTTTCTTTTTTTTTATTTTATTAAAATGTTCACTTAACCACAAGGATATTAATTAAACTTTCATAATTCACAAGAACAGAACTCTGTTATCTAACACTTTATTCACTTTTCCTTACTTTTAATTGATTCGTTCTCTAATTAAAGTTATTTATTAATTAGAGCACTGTTCGAAAAATAAAACGAATCAAAGATTTTCTATGGGACTCGTTCACAAATGACATCCAGCACAAGGGATTGTTCTATTATTATGTCTATACAGTAATTCGTCAATAGATAATATATTTTGTGGATAGCATTAAGTATGCGACTCTAGACGATTTAACTATACCGAAATCTGATTTAAACATCATTTGTGTACGAACCAATTTAAACCAATACCTGTCAATCATGCATCTTACCGTTATTTATGGTCCAATCCAGTCCAATCGAAAATCTTTAAGAAATCTATAAATATTATCAACTATGTGACTCCTGCGTTATTAATTAATTCAGCAATCAATGATATCACAATACAATCGATAAGAAATAGCACAAAATGAAAATTAAGGTAAATAAATGCAGGCAGATTAGGTATTTGCGTAACGGCTTCAATAGATTTGAAGGGGAATTAAGCTACTTTTCATCAGCCATAATTGTTAAAAAAATTGAAGTTACTCGATCAGAAAACATTAAAATATTACACGCCAGACTTGGGAAAAATATAATAACTATAGGATCGTTTAATAAGGATACTAAAGTAAAGGATATCCAATTTAAGTTGATTTAAACGCGTTTAATTGTGCATAAAATCATCTTTTGCCCCATCTTTCCCTTTTTCCTCAGTTTTGCTCAGTTTCATTTTGGATTTTTCATTAATAAAAGCCTAGAGCCGATAACTTAATAGTTATTAATACTATATTAAATCAAAAAGTTACAATAGAAGTGCTTTAATATTGGCAAGCGTCAAAAGTTGCATTGAATTGTGTCAAATAGGCGATTTTGAGTGAAAAGTGAAGAATTTTTTTTTCTTTTTCAAGGAAAACAAATTTGCGAAAATCAAAAGTTTGAGAGCTGTTTTTATGCTTAGATTATGTCAGATTTCTTCATTAGCATTCATACATAGCCATGGCAGCCACAAGAAAACTACAAGGTGAGTTTGCACATTTTTCGGGATTTATGCTTTTCGCAAACATAATAATAAATATAAAAGAGATTTAGGGCGAGTGTGAAGCATAATAAAAGTTTAATGCATTAGTTATAATAAACAAACGAGTTCATCAGATAAGTGATATCATCGGTTAATCAAATAGCCACCGAAAAATCATTACTTGACCATAAATTATGCATTAAGCAGTTACCTCGCTGGAATATATGCTCATTGGATCTTGATCGTCAATTGTGAATGGCATTAAATGCTTCTCCGGCGAGATTCTTACCTATCTACCTATATCATTATCTCATGCAATTCTCTTTTATTGTTATTCTTAATAATTATCATTTCGGAAAATAATCTCTCGCGCTAGACTGAATGCAAGGCATTGTACATGCTTAATAATATTATTTCTCTGTGATTATTTTATATTTTAGGTGAAATTGATCGTTGTCTAAAAAAGGTGACGGAAGGTGTCGAGACATTTGAAGATATCTGGCAGAAAGTGCATAATGCCACAAACAGTAATCAGAAGGTTAGGAAGTTTATATTGCCACTTAGCGCCAAATTTCTTTTTATTCCCTGCCAATTTATACTAATTCTCTGTTCATTTTATAAATTCGGGATAATTTAGGAGAAATATGAAGCTGACCTCAAAAAAGAAATTAAGAAGCTGCAGAGGCTTCGAGATCAAATTAAATCATGGATTGCATCGGGCGAGATTAAGGATAAAACATCGCTTCTGGATAACAGACGACTTATAGAAACGGTAATTAGATTTGCAGCTCAGTTGTACTGATTCATACATTATATTATAAACTATTATATTTTTTATTGTCATCGAACACGACAGCAAATGGAGAGGTTTAAAGTGGTGGAGAGGGAGACAAAAACAAAAGCATACTCGAAAGAAGGTCTTGGAGCAGCACAGAAACTTGATCCAGCACAGCGAGAGAAAGAGTCTGTATGTTGTTGGCTACAAAATTCCATTAGTTCCCTACAAATTCAAACTGATCAGTACGAGAGTGAGATTGAGTCGCTGCTAGCGAACAAAAAGAAGCGGCTGGATAAGGAAAAACAAGACAAAATGGATGATCTGAAGTCGAAGCTTGATCGTCATAAATTTCACATAACAAAGCTCGAAACGCTGTTAAGAATGCTCGATAATGACAGCGTAGATGTCGAGCAGATAAGAAAAATTCGTGACGATGTGGAATATTATATCGACTCATCACAAGAGCCCGATTTTGAGGAGAATGAATTCATTTATGATGACATCGAGGGACTCGACGAAGTGGAATTGAGCGGTAAAATTAAGTCATACTTCAAATTCTTTAAATCGGTGTTAACTTTTTGTGCTTCTCAGATCTTGTTGCAGGCACGACTGAGAGTAACAACAGCAATGAAACAGGTGATTCTCCAACAAGTTCCGCGTCAACTAGTCCGATCAATTCGCCAGTCCTTAACTGTAGTGCTCCAACAACAACATCATCAACAACAAATACCACCAGTAAACAACATAATCATAGCAGTGGATCAACATCAGTGGATTATACGGATCTTAAAAAGAATAAAGTGTCTGAGAATTCAATCACAAAGGTAAGTACCTCGATTTTCTTGTCAATTTGGCATTAAAAGCCGATCAAGTTCTCTAATAATTCCCTTTTTTTTGTAATTTTTTAATGTATGTAAAGCTTACAATGGTGTTGCAGCCAGTGAAACCGACAGCCGTGAAACCGAAAATTGAAAACAATAATTTATTGCTACCAACAACAACGTCGCTCAACAATAATAACAATACGTCCACTGCTTCTTCCGTTGCTGCCTCGATAAATCCAAGCACTAAGCCATTGATTACTTCAACGCCAAGTAAGAATCAACAGTCAGCTGCCCAGATATTGGCTAACAATACAAACAACAATAGCATTCAATCACCGTCGACAATTCTACCAACTCCTATCGCATTTTCTGCCGTTGCAAAGCAGAATCCAGGTTAGTAAAACTGTCTTTTTGTAGTTTGTAAACTATTCTTATTGATAAATTAATTTTCGTTCAGTTGCAACGCTAGAGAATGGCCCAATGTCTATGATTTTAAGTGGACAAAGCAGTGCACCAACAGCGGCACCAACGTTAGTGAATAATGTATCATCAGCGTCAAGTAATTAATATTACAATGCTTGAAAATTTAAAGGATTCGATGGCTTACCATTTTTTTGTATGCACTTTTAGGCATTCAGTTACAGCACGCTTCAGGTGTACACAATAGTACTAATAATAGCAGTAATGTGATGTCAAATAATGCGGCAATTGAGAATCATATGAACAATAATAGCAGTTCATTAAGTAATTGTGTATCGCCTACGAGTCAGTCGGTGGCATTGAGTAGCAGTAGGACATCTCCAACGAGTCTCTTGTCTCCACAACAACAACAACAACAACAGCAGCAGCAGCAAGTCCTAAATGGACCTTCTTCACAGAAACAAGCGCCAGTAACGTCGCAAGCGAATACAGTATCGCATTCATCAACAGATCCATCCAATGAGTCTACGTCTACATTAAAGACAATTGCACAAGAAGTTGTGAATAGAACGATTAATATGAATTTAGTGCCCACACCGCCTATTCAGAATCAGAATCAAAATCAAAATCAGCAGCAGCAGCAACAACCACCACAACAACAGCAACAACAATCTTATGTTATGGACGGAACGTCAATTGATCCATCGTCAACTGCCAATATCAATAGTTTGATAAGTGCAACAAGTTCAACGGTAACCACAAAAACTACTGGAACAAATGAAGCTTTAATTCCACCACTTTTAGGTGTTGCGCCTCTCGGTCCCTCACCGCTACAAAAAGATCATCAACAGCAGGTAAATATCAGCTTATCAATGCCCAACTTTAGTCTGATCTTAAAATTAAATCAAGGATTTAAAATTAATCCTTTGGATTTAAAAATAAATCAAGCAGATTGTTTTTAGAAAGCTTCATAGCAAGACATGCACGAATTGACAATTAATGGTTTCTGTTTAGAAATTCATTAATGAGTCACGGTTATGTCACATTAAGCTGTGAAATGTGTCTAAAGTGTTACGAAGTCGAATTTAATGAATATAACTTGCGTAAAATTTCAGTTCCAAATGATGGAAGCAGCTTATTATCATTTACCATCAGCGAGTGATTCCGAACGACTTAAACCTTATCTTCAAAGGCAACCAGTTGCAACTCCACCACACTATCCACAAGTATGAACATAAAAATTCATAACTATTAAATTTACATCTGATTTATTAAAAAAAGCTTCTATCCTTACAGACTCAACTTCCACATTCGGATACAATAGACTTTTTTCAACGTCTTGCTACAGAAACTCTTTTCTTTGTGTTTTACTATATGGAAGGAACGAAAGCTCAATATCTAGCGGCTAAAGCTCTCAAAAAACAAAGCTGGAGATTTCATACAAAATACATGATGTGGTTCCAACGACATGAAGAACCGAAAATCATTAATGAAGAATTTGAGCAGGTAAGTTTTTTTGGATCTTCGTCTGTGCTGCCTTCATAACCTTTTTCTGTGCCAAACAAATTAATTTTTTACGGGTTTTCAAAATTTCAACTTTTAAACCTCACAAATGTTTTTGAATAATAGAAAGCCGTTATTTTTTGGAAATAAAAAACCCGTTATTTTCCAAAAACATGTAGTTGTGAGTTCCGCGGTTAAAGCTTCGAAGACACTGAGCACATCACTTATTTCTTTTAAAAATATAATTATTTATTGAATGTATGTTAATGTATGGAAATGATTTTTATTTTTGTAGGGCACCTACATATATTTTGATTACGAGAAGTGGGGTCAACGAAAAAAGGAAGGATTTACATTTGAGTATAAGTACTTAGAAGACAAAGACCTGAATTGATTCAAATCGATGCAAATTTTTGTAGTCATAATGTAAAAAATCAACATTAAAATAATAATAATAATAATAATATGAAAAACAAAAATTGAAGATGAAAAAGTGAAAAGAAGGTTTATTACCCACAAGAGAAATTTTTTTTTGTCATTACATCAATATGATTTTTTGCTAAATGCAAGGAAACTTTATAGAAAAAGATTAAGTCTCATTGAGACGTGAACATTTTTTAAATAGAAAAACAACAAAAGGAAACTTAATGAAAGAAGATTCAGGCAATGGAAAGGTTTTTTTCAATTACGCTGCAATTTTAATTGTATATTTCTTTTCTGTTCAATAATTACGTAAAAACTTCATTAAACACATACATTTTATTTTATACTATTAGTAAAAAGTCGTTTTGCAACAAAAGATTATAGAAAAAGATTTGAAAATGCTTAATTTTTTATTTCCCTCCAAGAAAAAAAGATTTTTTTAAAAAATGTCTCCATTTATATGCTTAAATATATCTTTAGAGAGATTTGAAGGTCTGGTTAAACCTCCTGTGCACTTTTAAGCTCAATTTCAAACAAAAATTTGATTTATTTATGCATTAAAATTTGATAATGTCGATTAAAAAGATTATTGAATATATAAATTAATAGTAAAATGCGGACTAAGCTAGGTAAGGAAATAATTTCCGGTACACTCTCCTTTTTAAACGAAATTAAAGCGCTGATTCTGACTGTGTTGAAATGGAATGTCCTGAATTTTTTTGACTGAAATGATTTGAATCGTGCGATTAAATTTAAATCCTGGATTTAAATTAAACCTTTCGTTTTAAATCTGCAAGTTTTTAAAACAATTTGAAGTTTTGAAATTTTTCAAGGACCTGCATATCCACTCATTATAAATCAGGGCGTGCTGATAAAGTCACACTTCATCACAAAATGAAAGAAATATATGAGAAGAAATTTAAAGTGAATTTAATTGAGAAAAACAAAAATAATTATGGCGGTAACTATAAAAAAGATGTTTTTTTAATTTGAATATAAAACTTTTCTAAAGAGAAAATGATAAAACCTAAATATTAAAGGATGCAGACGAAAAAATTGAGAAAAATTTGTTAGACGATGCTGTTGAATGCATGTTTTCAATTCGCTTAGACCTTTTTTTGAGATGATACAAAAAATTATGCATACATACAATTTTATTTCATTACACCTTTAACGATGCCGTTCGATGATGCAAAATGATGGAAACAACTTGTTAAAATGCGTGTGAAACGGAATGTCGTCATGTAATGATGATCGACCGACTACACGTGCATTTATTTTTATTTTTGTCATTTTCTCCTCCCTTATTTCCTTCCTCATCATCATCAGAGCATCAAATTCAAAGAAATTTGCATTAAATGAATCGAAAAATCAACATAAGAATGAGTTTGTAAAGAAAGCAAAGCTATGATCAATTTGAGACAACAACTAAATAATATTGAGATCCAAAAAAAAAGAAAAACTAAGTAAAACTCACGATGGAAATTTTTACATGTGATCCACTGATAATTAGTATTATTGTAAAAAAAAAAATGGGCTGCAGACACAACTTCATACAACTTTTTCTTTTCTGAACAGATGCAAAAAAACATACATGAAGATCCATGAAATTGTCTTAATGAATGAATGAAAAGGAAGATGAAGATAAACTGATCATGAATCATTAAAAAATTGATAAGAATTAATAATAAAAAAATTTGAAAAAATTACAACTCGTTTCTATTTATATGCGGTTATGTTTGCGAATCGTTTTGAGTTTGCTTCAAATTGTCGCTGATTGACTAGCTTTATTGATGACTTTCCATTGAATTGTGACTAGTTGCAACTCAAAAAACTTAGAATTTCAAAAAATACTCAAAAGTTTTAAATGAAATGAAAGTGGTTTTGAGTATCCCTTATACTGTCGCTGTTTGACTAGCTTTATTGATGACTTTCCATTGAATTTTGACTAGCTTTATTGATGACTTTCCATTGAATTGTGACTAGTGGGAACGCAAAAAACTTAGAATTTCAAAAAATACTCGAAAGTTTTAAATGAAATGAAAGTGGTTTTGAGTATCCCTTATACTGTCGCTGTTTGACTAGCTTTATTGATGACTTTCCATTAAATTGTGACTAGTGGGAACGCCAAAAACTTAGAATTTCAAAAAATACTCGAAAGTTTCAAGTCATTTTGAGTTTCTTTTATATTGTCGATGTTTGACTAGCTTTATTGATGACTTTCCATTGAATTATGACTAGTGGGAACGCAAAAAACTTAGAATTTCAAAAAATACTCGAAAGTTTCAAGTCATTTTGAGTTTCTTTTATATTGTCGATGTTTGACTAGCTTTATTGATGACTTTCCATTGAATTATGACTAGTGGGAACGCAAAAAACTTAGAGTTTCAAAAAATACTCGAAAGTTTCAAGTCATTTTGAGTTTCTTTTATATTGTCGATGTTTGACTAGCTTTATTGATGACTTTCCATTGAATTGTGACTAGTTTGAGTGCAAAAAATTACAATTTTCCTTTATTTTGAAGGTTACATTTCTGAAAATTCAATTTTTTGCACAGAAATCTGAAGAGACATTTTTTTGAAATTTTTTTTATTGTTATGTGTATAATGTAGAACATTACAGCTATATTCTTTTTTGTTTGTGAACAAGTTCTGAGAAATGCAAATACGAAAAATTATGTTTAGGCTCAAAACCTTACCCAATAAAGCATCATCAACATTGCTCAAAATGATGCAGCGCGCTTAACATGCATAAAAAATGATTAGAAGAAATGAGGTGCGAATCTACTTAAATTTGCAGCGGCTCTACAATAAAATTAGACCAACATTCGCTGGTTTCATTTGTGGACATCTCCAGTTGTACAAATAATATTGCAAATTTCCATCACCAATACCAAATTTCAATTCTTGTAAGAATTTCTGATTTTCCATTAAATCTAATGCATTAAAGACATCAAATTGTAAATTTTTAGCAGACACTAATGCATCATGCATCAAATCATTTAAGGGTGTTTTTGTTGCGATATTATAGAATGAATACGCGGCTTTAATTTGTCTATGAACTGGGTGATGCATAACAGTTGATGGCAAGGCATAATAACTGACCATATCGGTTATCTTTCCATCATTTTCAACTATAAAACACTCTACAATGTCTTTCTTTGGCATAAACCAATGCCTAAACTCGTCCTCCATAAAATCTGGCACCAATTGATAGTTTTTAAGATAATCAATTAGCAACTTGAAGGCAGCAGGCACATCTTTTTCTGTCATTTGACGAAATCCTGGAGTTTTTGGTTGATCGGGAAGTTTGTATAGTTTAATAGTACGCTGCATGGTCATGTTTCTTGCGAGACACGAAAAGTTCACCTGCAATCAAAATAAAATTTTTATTACTTCCTACGTGGATGATATATTGACATGTGCCTCAAATTTCATGTCCCTGACTGGCTGTTTTAGGGTTTTTGAACATTTTAAAAGCATTCGTAGGGTTTTGAAACATTAAAATAATAATAATAGTAATTTGTATGGTTTTTGAACATTTTAAAACCATTCGTAGGGTTTTGGAACATTAAAATAATAATAATAGTAATTTGTATAATTTTTGAACATTTTAAAACCATTCGTAGGGTTTTGGAACATTAAAATAATAATAATAGTAATTTGTATGGTTTTTGAACATATTAAAAACATTCGTAGGGTTTTGGAACATTAAAATAAAAATAATAGTAATTTGTATGGTTTTCGAACATTTTAAAAACATTCGTAGGGTTTTGGAACATTAAAATAATAATAATAGTAATTTGTATGGTTTTTGAACATTTTAAAAACATTCGTAGGGTTTTGGAACATTAAAATAATAATAATAGTAATTTGTATGGTTTTTGAACATTTTAAAAACATTCGTAGGGTTTTGGAACATTAAAATAATAATAAAAGTAATTTGTATGGTTTTTGAACATTTTAAAACCATTCGTAGGGTTTTGGAACATTAAAATAATAATAATAGTAATTTGTATAATTTTTGAACATTTTAAAAACATTCGTAGGGTTTTGGAACATTAAAATAATAATAATAGTAATTTGTATGGTTTTTGAACATTTTAAAAACATTCGTAGGGTTTTGGAACATTAAAATAATAATAATAGTAATTTGTATGGTTTTTGAACATTTTAAAAACATTCGTAGGGTTTTGGAACATTAAAATAATAATAATAGTAATTTGTATGGTTTTTGAACATTTTAAAACCATTCGTAGGGTTTTGGAACATTAAAATAATAATAATAGTAATTTGTATGGTTTTTGAACATTTTAAAAACATTCGTAGGGTTTTGGAACATTAAAATAAAAATAATAGTAATTTGTATGGTTTTTGAACATTTTAAAAACATTCGTAGGGTTTTGGAACATTAAAATAATAATAATAGTAATTTGTATGGTTTTTGAACATTTTAAAAACATTCGTAGGGTTTTGGAACATTAAAATAATAATAATAGTAATTTGTATGGTTCTGAATTTGTACTCACTTCAATCAGCTTCCTTGGATTGATCGATCGATGCCAATATCGACACGTAGTTACAGGCTTAGGAAGGACAACACCAGCTGTATAAACAGCTTGGAAAATTCCAGTTAAATTTACACGTCTCGTGATTTCACGAATTAAAACAGGTGCCAAACGTTTCGAACGCAATTTCTTATGGACACAAAGGAAATTAATCTCAACAACTTTCAATGGTTTATCATAAATCCTAATTGTTGCTGGAATTGCCGAAATAAAGGCTATCAAACGACCAGATTTTGTTACTCGAACACCAGCATGCCTATAAGAAAATTATTATTTGTTATGAATATGCATGCACGAATAATCACATGCTATTTACCATTCTTTTCTCCAATGAGGTGGCTGTAAAGCCCATCGTAAGAAATCAGGCTGATAATCGAACCGAAACATTGCATCATCATCCTCGACATAATTTTCATTCAATAATGTGTACAATTCCTTTAAAGTGACTTCATTGTTGAGATCCAGCGTATCCCAAATAAATCCTTCTGGAAGTGAATATGGATCTTGTTTAATCTCACTGATTTGCTTATCAGAGTCAATCGCTTGATGCATTTCAGTTTCATCAACTTTCTCCTCTTCTTCGAGCATTTGTGGAACTGGCTGTGTGTTCCAAAACTTGTAAACTTTAGTTGATCCAGCATCTTTACCAATTTTCATTACATCATTCAAGTTTAGAGCCTTTAATGTCTTCAACATATCTGTTGGGTTTGTCGACATTGGAAAACCGGCTTCATTAATCTCTGTTTGTTCCTGATTAATTTCATTATTTTGTGATTGCACCTCACTCGTTTTTGCAATTTCTTGACTCGATGATTTCTTGTTTTTCGACTTTTTCTTGGACTTTTTACTCTTCTCAACACTTTGCACCTGCTCGTCAGGTGTCGACGGACTGTTTTGTGACTCGTTATCCATTGAATTAATCGTTGTTTGCTCTTAAATTAATATTTTTATTAAATTTTTGTTATCAGGGGAATATTTGCGATTTTTCTTTTCAAGCAAGGGGAACGAAAATTAATTTGAACTTTTTTCGACCGTTAAAAACCTAGTTCCTGTATTTATAATTTTTGGGTATCAGGTTGTGTGATTTTATTGTAGCTATTTTTGATGAATTAATGATGAAATTGAATCAAAAAGTGGCTTTAATTAATGACAATATGTATTTATTATGTTGAAAAATAAGATTGACTTAATGTTATAATTAAAAGCTACAATAATGTTTAATATTTGTAGAAACCTTGCATTTTTATTCTCAAAGACTGGATATAAAATCTTCATAAATTCATATGAAACGGATGTAAATTAATTCATATTGGAACATAACGTTAGATATCGCTATATGCTCGCAAGGTCTCCGGAGAGAATCAAGAAGTGATTTATGCTTCAGATTCTGCTTCCAACTTTGCAAGGAAATCTGTCTTGCGCTTATTGATGATGCCCTTACGTTCGTCGAGGGTTTGCTTAGCTTTGTTCCATCTCTTTTTAGTGATTTTCTTCTCAGCTTTTTTGTTGTAGACGGGATCAGCTCTGATACCTTCATGTGCCTTCTTGTAAAGGGTTTCGATCTGAGAAAGAAATAACATTGTTATCAGTTTAGTTCCTTTACTGGATCTTTTTGTATGTGTAGGAATAATTGGATCATGTTAGAAACTTTACAGGAAATGGTGCACACTTTGAGTTGCAATATTTCGAACAAAGATCTTTGACTTATCTACCAGTGATAATATCAAGGGGTTTAATGTGGTCCATTTGCGACGCCAGAGGATTTTGGAATCATTTATCGACTGGTAATACGGAATGGACGTGAAACATATATAAAAATAAAGAAAATGACAACTTACATCATCAGCACGAATACCTAATTTGATGTAGCGGGAGAATTGACGTTTGTAGGCTTCTTCATCATCACCTTCGAGTTCTTTCATGTATTTGGCTACGTGCTGTCCAAAGATGTGTTCACGATGAACTCCGGCATCAAAGTTCTTATCTTCAGCATTATATCCAGGGAATCGCTTGACTGAGTGGGGAATGTTTAATCCACCATCAACGGCTCCTTTCATTGCACCAAAGATACGAGCTCCAGTAGTTGTTCTTGATAAACCAACATCAAGGTAACAACGGAATGCTCCTGGGCCATCTTCTAAAGGTTCTACGGAATATTCATCACCATTAACATCTGTACATCCAGCATAGAGACTATCAAGACCCAATTTCTGGAGGATACGACGTGCTACTAATAATCCTGTGCAGTATGCAGCAGCATAATTAGTTAAACCAACTTTGACTCCATAACGTGGCAATTCATGAGCGTATGAAGCACAGACAATACGATCTCCTTCAATGCGAGCATATGCAATTTGACATGTGATGTCACGGTTGCTCAAACGAACAATTAAACGATATTTTGGGGTGTTGTACTTGTTCTTATCTTGGAAGATCAGACGCTTTCTAGCTTGATAATCTGTTCTTCCCTCACGACGCCTCTTGAACTTAACTTGGTAGCGCTTAAAGTATTGCTTGTTTTTGACTACCTTAACGAATCCCATGATTACTTACGCTGAAATTAGATAAGCTCTATTAATTATGCTGCATTGAAAGTAATTACATTTGGTGAAAGTAAAATATTTTGGATCACGAAGATACAGTTAACCTCAAATTGTTTTGTGTCAAACTACTTTTCAATGTTTCCATGCTAAATTTCCCATCATATTAGTTTTAAAATGCATGATTTACAATATTTGAGTGATATAAAACTAGACATGCTTGATTTAACAAGCAAATACACTCCATTTATGGACATTACTAATGACTGCATGTACGTTTCTATGTCAAGAACTTACAAGACATAAAAGTGGCAATAATTTCGCCTGACATTGCTTAGATTTTATATTCTATCGATATACGAACCTCCAAAATATCTTATTTTATAGTTAAATTAATTAAATACTACACTGGTAATTAAATAAAATTAAAAGATTCACTTACTCGTGTGTTCGTTTTGAAAAACGAGGGGAAAAGGACTTTGTTGATGCAGAGACGCAAATAATACCAAGTCCGTCATGTAAACTTTTTGGTGCTTTTAATCATTACTGGATTATGTTTTATGGTTTACCTACTGAATTACAGTTATTTTAGAAGTGAAAACATAGAATTTGATGACTTATTTATTGAAATAAATGGAAAACAAAACTTGTCATTTTCCAATGGATCTTTTGTTTACAGATGCGAGAATATGAATAAATTTTTCAAATTTATAATTAAACTCCTTATTAATCTCTTAATTATACTGTTCTTCTGTGAATTTTTAATTTATTACATTGTAATCTTTCAAGTAAGTATCAAAAATTCTATAATCCACAATGTGTTGATTGAATAATAAGCTGTATTTTAAATTCTAGTGTAATTACAAAAACATTGAGTCAGAAAATATTACTGATGGCTTGAAAGCTGTGATTCTAGCTGATACCCATCTTTTGGGACCATTTAAAGGACATCCAGTGGACAAACTACGTCGAGAATGGCAAATGAAACGGTAAATTTTATATAATGTTGCAATCTAATAAGCTTCCTGATAAGATTAATTCATGTTTCATAGATCATTTCAAACAACCATGCAAATATTTAATCCTGAAGTCGTGTTCATACTTGGCGATGTGTTTGATGAAGGAAATTGGGTAAACGACAAAGGTGATTAATACGTGAACTTCATTTATGTCAGAACTAGACTAAACTTAATAAATTTTAGGCTTTCAGGAATACGTCGATCGTTTCCACACAATATTTTCGGTACCGGATTCAACAAGGCTTTATGCCATTCACGGGAATCATGATGTCAACTTCCATTACTCTATGCACCCTCATTTAGTAAATAGATTTAATGCCGCATTTAACACAAGTTCAGTAAGTTTAATAAGGGAAGTAGTCACAACAGTCGATGGAAGAAAAGCCATAAATTTTGTCACACTGAACTCAATGGCAATGGAAGGAGATGACTGTAATTTATGTTATGAAGCCAAAGAATCGATTAAATCAATTAAGAAAAAGTTGGACCAATTAAAAGCTAGAGATCGATATACAAAGCCATTTATCATGCAGCACTTTCCAACATTCAGACCTTCTGATGAAAATTGTCTCGAAACAGACTCTGTAAATAGTGGTAAATTCAGAGAGAAATGGGAAGTGCTGTCTAAAGAAGCATCGAATTTCATAGAGAAAATGCTTGATCCACGAGGATATTTTAGTGGACATTCTCATCATTATTGTTTGCATGAAAACGCAGCTGGCATTAAAGAATACACATTAAGTTCATTCAACTGGAGGAACGGTAATAATCCAAGCTTTATGCTTGCTATTTTCACACCTGATGAGTACACTATGTCAAAATGTGATATGCCAAAGGAAACAACAGTAATTATATGTTACATTGTTGGAACTATCTTGTCTATAGTCTTTGCAATCATCGATGAACGAGTGTTTAATTATTTAAGAAGGAAAAACTCGCAAAGAAAAGTCAATAAAGATTAACGAACTTTCAAAATTTGAAAAAATATTACAAAAACCTCTCAATTTCTTTTGTTTCTATCTCTCTCTCTTTCTCCTGCTCTTTAAAAAGTATAGTGAAAATTAAGAGCATTTCATTTATTAATTTAACAACGTTTAGAACGTTTGTGATAGGAATAATTAGGAAATAAATAATTAAACACATACAAAAAATGAAAATTTGGACGAGTGAGCATATATTCAAGTAAGTAAAGAGTGAAAAATCAACATTTAAAATTTTCAAGGCACAGCATTTATCCAGAATATTCGATGGTCTTCCAAAGAAGTTGATTCACGTGAACCATAAGTGTTGAACTTGATAAAAAATGTACCAAAACCGGAATGAGCGATTTAAACTTTGTGGACCAGATAGAAGATTGATGAAATGTTTCATAATGTTGCTATGTGACTAAAATAAGTGTTTTTAAGCAACTTGTGATATCTTATGCAATACAGTACTATAGACTATATATTGCTATATATAAATGATAATGTGAAAGGCGTGAAAATGCTCAATTTTAATTCTGTTTCAAGTCACAGAATAAAAAGTTATCAAGATGTATCATCTACAAGGTCATGAAAAACAAAAAAATGCAAGTCGCTTACCTATCATTCATTCATTCATTCAATACTGTGTATTGATTTCGTGACGTAACATGAATAAAGTTTACATGCTGGATTTATATTTATAAATTGATGTTAGTGCGGCGCGCACTTATCATGTTATTCTTATCGTCCATGATTAGGAACAGACAGTGAAAATTTTCTTATACCTGCCTCGATTATTAACCTTTTTCAAAAATTAGTAATGCGAAGTAATGGGAAATTTTCCAGTCATTTATGGCACTTAAAAATTCATTGAGATATTGATACAAACTGTATTACGAAAAATTCACAATATATTACTCATAGACAATCACGAGAATAGCAGAAGAGAAAAAATGTAAAATATTTCTGTTGCTATACAGAAATAAAATGATTGTCGTACATATGTTTGAGACGTCAGGAAACCTTTGGACGGAAAGTTTTTTTTTTGCTGTGCTCTAAGTTTTGAATGAAAAAGAAAAGAAAATCCTCATAATATCTGTGTTTACGCGATTACTGATTCTCGTGATTAAAAGAATTCATTCAGTGCGTAAACAACTTTGTGTATATTTCTCATAGTATCAAGTTTACCTTATTCATAACATACAATTATTATTATTTTTCTTTTATAGTCATCCTTGGGAGACAGTTGTTCAAGCTGCATGGCGGAAGTATCCAAATCCAATGAATACTGCAGTTATTGGAACAGATGTAGTCGAGAGAGATATTAAAGACGGTGTCCTTCATTCTCACAGAATTGTCAGTTCACAGTGGCATTTTCCAAAATGGGTTGAAAAGGTCAGCTTACGTAAATACTTTGTTATCTAATCTGTCGTGTGCCTGTCAGATTAATGAGAATTAAAGTTTATCTCGTGGATGAGAATTTTAATCGTGGGATTTAAAATAAATCTTCGGATTAATAATAAATCGCACAATTGAAACATTTGATTCAAGGTCAAAAGCCACACTAATTCTTTTGTTTCCTAGAACAATTTGCTTTCCGTCATATTAATTAAGCACATAATCTAGTATAAACAAAAAGAGGAAGGAATTTCTTTACAAAAAAGATATTTGAATGCCATTGACATTGATTCTAGTTACTATGTGTGTATTAATAGACGAGAAAGCTTGACAAGTGTGCAAAATGATTAGTTGCAAACTATTGTTGTCATGTGGTTTCCACATGTTAATGCACGGCACGTTGTGATTCGTTCTATTCTGATTTATTTTATTATGTCAATCACGAGGAATAGAAAAATGATCATTGATTTAATTAAATTTATTTTATATCGTAGATTATTGGAGTTCCAAAAGTTGTGTATGCAAGTGAAAGGTCGACAGTTGACGCCGAGGGACGACAGATGACTTTAAAAACCACAAATGTCACATTTGGAACTTTCCTTTCGGTCGATGAAGTTCTTCAGTACGCTCCACATCCGAAAGATCCTGCAAAGACACTTTTAAAACAGCAAGCGACTGTCAGTGTAGAGGGAGTTCCATTATGTCGGTATATGGAAGATGCACTAACGAAAAATATTAGTTTTAATGCAAATCGCGGTCGTCAAGGCCTTGAGTGGGTGATTAACAAAATTAACACAGAAGTAAGTTTACGGATTTCATTATCAAGAGCGAAGTTAATTGTGCCTGCGTCTGGCTAGGCTTATCAGTTTTTAGCGCACTTTTCTCCTTCAATAATTTATTTTATTATGTGCTTTAAAGCCTTATAAATTCAAACTTCCAAAAACCATACAAATTGTTTGAAAATCCTTTAAAACCCTATAAATTCAATTTGGAGAAAGATGCGCTCAAAAACGAAATTCTGTTTGTTTTCGGCATGACTTATCAATTTATTATTCCTTAATTTATTTTCTTATAGGTCAAAGAGATTGATCATTTACTGTCACAAACAAAAAAATCACTAGATGGTATTACAGATACAGCGAGAAAATCTATGGACGAACTTTCGGCATCAACACAGAAGATTCATTTCTAGTACGCTTATTGCAAAAAATACGATAGTCAGGAAAGTAAAGAAAATGCAGGAAAGAATTCATCACATGGAACTTACAGTTGATTGTTTGATAACAAAACTCTTTTTTATATCAGCTTATAGACATTACATTGTCTAATATCGAATGTATTATGTTATCAATTCCCATTTTTTTTTTTCGATCAGTAAGATTTCCTAATTAAGTTTAGAAAAAAATACAAATTAAGGTGTAAAAATTCCTCGTACGCTTAATATTAACGGAAAGTTTTTTTTAAAAAAATTCTTAAACGATACTGGACAAAATTGCGTATCGAATCTACATCAAAGAAATAACTCTAATTAATAGTACTAGAAAATACCTAATTTAAAACAAAAGATGCTGTCGTTATAAGTTTTTTGTGTCATTCACAGTCCCTGATCATTAATTTATATATGTACTGAAAGACTTTTTTTGCGCATAACTCCTTTAATGCATTGTATATACATTATTGCAAATAAGAAAAGTTTAAAAAAATTTATTTTCAATGAAAATTAAGCGCAATAAAATGAAAATTTGATTTTAAAGTGAGATTTTTGGACTTTCATTTAATTTTTTAATTTTTCACAAATCAGTGGAAAGTCATCAACAAAAATAGTTAAACAGTAGCTGGAATTTGTAAAGGTTTTATACAAAACACAAGACAAGAAGTGTGTTCCAAAACCAATAATTTTTATTATAAATCAAAATTAAACATGCACCATTAAACCAACACAATAATCGACATTCGAGTGATAACGTTGAACAAGACTGCAATATAATCCACTGATTCCAAAAATATCATATCGAATGAAGATGTACCAAAAGCAAATTCCATAAATAATAATCTTTAAAATTCTATCCAATATCATCATTCGGTAGTATTTCTTCTTGTCTCTTGGAATATCCTCGTCCTTTTCTCCAAGCAGGTATTTCCTTCCTCCTAAGACTGCATGAGTAAAGTACAAAACCAAATCAAATTCCAAGAAATCGTGAAAGTTGAATGCTTTCAAGTCTTTATCCTTCAAATGTGAACATAAATCCATAAAATTGTCATTCTTAAAATGCCAATTGTTGAGGATGAAATAATGAAGTGCCAGATTTGCTTGATAAATTTTTCTTTGAAGCTTTGTCAAGCTGAAATTTAAAGATTTTATTTTTTTATTGTTAAGATTACAAGCTTTTAAAGGTTTTAAAAATCTTACAATGGTTTTCGACCCGATAGCTTTAAAAGTTGGTCAATGAACATAGCTGGAATGATGTGTAAGAAAATTACTTTGATGTAATTACTGTATCGACACCTTGTTAAACTTCCGCCTGGAGCCCATAACATCTGCCCTAATGGAATTTCATATTGAAAAGCTTTTCCCATTTCAATAATTTGATCAATTGTTGCATTTCGATAGTTAGAGAGACAGCAGTTGATTACCGGCAGATAACTTTAAAATATATTAATTATGTTAGCATCCTTCACACTCAATTACCTTTAAGATATCTCACCTTGTTTCGTGTGCACGTTTCCAAGCACCAATTATCATCGCTTTAATGCAGACATCGACAGGCGTAAAATCTGCAATATTATCAGGATCACAATACATTGTACGAGTTATACCTAATCCAGAACCAATAAGCATCCCAACAGGTCCATTAAAATTGTCAAGCTGTAAAGGAAATAATGTAATATTGTAATATTGAAGATTAGCTTCTTACCCATCCGCTAAGGGGCTCTTTCTGGAAGTAGTGATAGAAAATTGTTGATTCTTAAAATTTTAAAATTAGATGCCAACTTACCATAGCAGAAATAACGATCGAAGGTCGAAACAGTGTAAGTGGAAGCTCATCCTTATGGTCATCAACGACTTGCTCAGCAAGAGCTTTAGTGAATGTATACGTGTTTGGCATAAATCCGGTATATAATTCAGCTAGAGTGTTAATCAAATTATCGTCCATTGTCTCACAAATTTGAATAGTTTTCCTCCAATCAACATAAGGCTGATGTATACATTCGTCAACTACTTTCAATTCGGGGTGACTGTAGGTCGTCGATACATGCATAATTACTTTAATATTCTTTAAAGTTTTACCAAAATTCATAATTTCGTAAGTTCCTCGAGTATTCATGAAGACTGCATCCTTTAAAGAATCGTCAAATCGGACACTAGCAGCTGAATGAAAAATTATTGAAACATTCTTCATACGATTGAGATCATCAGTTGATAATCCAAGGTTTTTATCTGAAACATCTCCGGCGATTGGGATTAATTTTTTAAATAATTCAGGATTGTAGTTCTTGATAGGCTCAAAAAGTTGTAGTTCTAGAATTTCTTTCAATCGCTGTTCAATAGGCTTTCCTTTCTTTGGTCTTAGAAGTATGTAAATTGATTTTAGTTCACTGCATGACCTTAATAATTTTTCTATTAAAACTTTGCCTAAAAATCCAGAGCCACCAGTTATGAATATTTCCTGATTTGCATAAAATTCAGGTATCGATGGGACATTTTTCGTCCATTCCGATTCCGTACGATGATTCTCAAAAATCTCATTTTTATCCCTTTTAGGCTGTGATGTATGACTTTTAATTCTCATATTTTACAACGAAACTTTTCACTTATAGTTGGTTCCTTACACTTCGAATGACAATTCACAACTGAAAGTGATTTAATTAACACGGTAAAGCATATTTTTTTGTTAAGCGTTAAATTTTTGGTTGCTCAATTTTTTCTTTATTTCTTTTGTTGTAGTGTTAATCAATTTTAATAAGACAAGATTGTATTTTCGGTTTACGTGATAATATAAAATGCATATTCAGTTATAGCAGCTATATAATTCATATCCATTAAACAATTTGATTAAGGTAGGTAATGAAATTAAGCATTAGAGATAATTTTAAATAGTTTTGTCAAATTAAATTAAAAGAAGTCGCATCCTTACAGTGTATTAGCAAAGATTCATAGCAGTTTGAATTCATCAATAGTGATTTAACTTTTTTGAATTTAAAATGGACTCTTTCCTCAATTTTGTTGAAGAAAGAAGCTTCTAGAAGATTTCATAGTAAAAGCTTGATTTTTCAACATGTTAACCCTTTTGAGTAGCTTAAGATTTATGAAAGCTGTCTCTTATTGAGTCCAAAACTTGTCAAACAAAAGTTTCAAGACATAGTACAGTAAAATGTAAGGAATCGAACACAAAATGGTATGGATAACTTTAAGGAACTTATATTTCATTCGATTTTTCTCATCATTGTCCAGGTTATCATGAATAAGATACTTCCTTACACCTCTCATTGCAATTCTCATATACAAGATAGCATCATGATTAAGACTATCGCTATAATCAAAATCCTTTATATCTGTTAGCTTAACCTTATAACAAAGAGTCAGGAAGTTATCATTCTTAAAGATCCATTCATTCATGACGAAATATTTCAGTGCCAAGTTTGCCTCGTAAATTTTCCTTTGGATTTTTGTCATACTAGAAATTTATAAAAATCAAGAATTAAGCTAGTAAATTTATATAGAATATCGACTGAGTTGCTTACAATGGTTTATGACCTTTGAGCTTCAGTATACCGTCGATAATTAATGCAGGCAGCAACTGGTAGAAAATCATTTTTACATAATTCGAGTAACGATTTTTCGTAATATGTCCGCCGGGTATGAATAACATCTATAAATAGAGAATAAGCAGTAGTGAACATACCATACCAACTGATAAAATTAAAATTTACGTTATCAAGTGGAGTTAAGGCACAGAGGCATTTTCCAATATCAATTATTTGTTGAATTTTCAATGTTGCGACATTATATGAGGCACAGTTGTACACTGGAATCGAATTACTAAAATATCGATAAATATTTTTAAAAGCGTGAGCTTAAATTGAAGGAATAAGGTTAATTACGTTTGCTCCACTCCTTTCTTCCATGCTGCAATTATCATTGCTTTAACACACAAGTCAACAGGTAAGAAATCACATCGATTGTCAGGATTACTGTACATTGTACGAACAATTCCTATGCCAGATCCAACAAGAAGTCCAACAGGTCCATTAAAATTGTCAACCTTTAAAAATTTACATAATGTGATCACATATGTACCTTAAAATTAGAAATTAAACTCACCCATCCAGGAAGTGGTTCTTTAATAGCTGATATGACAATCGAAGGACGAAAAATTACAACCGGCAACTTTTCCTTATAATCATCAGTTACATGCTCAGCAAGACTCTTTGAGAAAACATAAGTGTTGGGCATAAAGCCTGTATACAGCTGAGTCAATGAGTTTAAAGAATCATCATTGACCTTTTCGCAAATTTCAATTGCTTTCCTCCAATCAACAGGTGCTGAATGGACTTCTTCCTCTACAATTCGACGATTAGGATTACTGTAAGTTGTTGACACGTGCATGACTACTTTGATATTTTTTAAGGTCTCAGCGAATCTCATAATTTCTCTAGTTCCTCTGGTGTTCATCATTATAGCATATCTTAGTGAATCATCAAATCTAACACTTGCTGCTGAGTGGAAAATCACTGACACGTTTTTCATTTTATCCAAGTCATTATTGCTCAGCCCTAATTGTAATTCAGTGACATCACCTTCAACAGGCACTAATTTTGTAAATACGCTTGGATTGTGCTGTTTCAGTGGCCCGAAAAGTTCTAGATTTGTAATTGCATTCAGCCTTTCTTCAATATCTTTTCCTTTCTTTGGTCTTAACAAGATGTAAATTGTTTTGATGCCTGGACATGATCTTAGCAATTTTTCAATCAATACTTTACCAATGAATCCTGAACCTCCAGTAATGAAAATTTCCTGATCATTGTAAAATTCAGGAATTGATGGATAAGTTTCCAAACGTTCTTCCTTAGAAAATAGTGACTCTATCACTTCCTCATCTGTTTTCATCCGTGTCATTGGACTGTTCTTGAATGTAATCATTTTGAAATATTTAATTGACCGATCCCGCTTACACGTCTGTAATCCTTCAACATCAACTTACCAACTAGGTAAATTGTGCGTATCATTATTTTAAAATGTAATTTTAATTAAATCACAATTAATTTATGGAAATAAAAGCAAATTGACAAAATTGATTCCGAACAAATGAATGAGTAATGTAGAAAATAGACAAGGCTCAGACGCGCTTGATTTTTATAATGAATTTGGAAGGCTCATTCATTCAAAATTTAATAAAAATAAACATTTCCTCAATTGTCTAAGCTTTATTTTATTAAAATTTTAATCGATCACCAAGTTTATTAGCGGAAGAGTCAAAAGTATTGAATTTTAAAATCCAACAAATTTCTTTACAATATCTGTTTTTGACATTATTAAGTAAAATAGACAGAAATAAACAAAATATTTAAAAATTGTGGCAGCTGTCTTGAGCTTTCTTGCCTTTCGTCTATCTTTCTCAAGATCAGAGTCTTTTAAGTTCATTAAATATCTTCGGAATCCGTAGAGAACAAATCTTGTATAAGTTATTAAGGATCCTCGATAGTATGACGTATTTTCAAATGCTTTTAGATCCTCAGGCCGGAGATATGAAGATAACTTTATAAATTTGTCATTTTGAAAGTCAAAGTTATTGTTTGTAAAATATGCTAGAGCCTTGTTAGCTTCATATATCTTTCTTTGGATTTTCATCAACCTTAAAAGACATTGAAATTTACCAAATAATTATTAATACTATTCGATTTACTTACCTTGGTCTCTGTCCTTTAATTTCTAGAATTGTATCTATGATTATCGATGGTATAAGTTGATAAAAGAACATCCTAATAAAATTCATTGTTGGACATAAAGTCACACCACCGCTTGGAGGTAGTACACTTAACTCGCCCATTGGAAATTCTTCGCAAGTACTACTGATTCCTATATCAAGTAATTGTTTTAAAGTGACATTTATCATTTTTGAAGTAGCTGCATTGATAACTGGAATATCACTGGAAGTAAGTACAAGATATAAAAATTGAAAAATCATGTCTTCCATATATTTCAAACCTTGGCTGTTCATGAGCTCGTTTCCAAGTTGAAATGATCATAGCTTTAACACAGGCATCTACAGGACACATATCTAATACAACATTGGGATTACATCGCATAGTCTTGCTGATTCCAATATGAGAAGCTAACAAAATTCCCATTGGACCATTGAAGTTGTCAACCTAAGGATATGAACATGCTGTAAACTACTATTCATATGATAAATAATTTGAAAAAATTTACATAGCCACAGAACGGTTCCTCCCATGCACTGAATATTATAGATGGACGGAAAATAATTATGGGTATTCTATCTTTGTAATGGAATGATACATGCTCTGCAAGGTTTTTCGAAAACACATAAGTGTTGGGCATTAAGTTTATGTATCGTTTTGTAAGATGATTCACTATGTCACTATCCATTTTTTCACAAACTTCAATTGTCTTCTTCCAGTCTGCAATTGGTGGATAAATTTCTTCCTTTACACTTCCAACACCAAGATTGTTATAAGTTGTCGATACATGCATGACGCATTTAACATTTCTGAGTGTAGTTGCGAATTCCATGAGTTCTCTAGTTCCTCTTGTATTCATCATTACTGCCTCTTTTAGTGTATCATCGAATCGAACACTAGCAGCTGAATGATAAATTATTGACACATTTTTCATTAAGCTTTTGTCTTCTTCTGACAATCCAAGGCCAAGTTCAGTAACATCACCTTCTACCGCGATTATTTTGTTCTTAAAATTCGGATTGAATACTTTTAATGCATCAAACACAACTTGATCACAAAGGGATGTCAATCTTTCATCAACCGATTGTCCTTTCTTTGATCGCAAAAGGATATAAATTTTCTTGGTGTCTGGACATGATCTTAACAACTTTTCTATCAACACTTTTCCAACAAATCCAGTTCCTCCCGTAATGAAAATTTCTTGACCAGCAAAAAATTCAGGAATTGTTGGGATATGAAGCAGTGCTTCATCCTTTTTTAACAAATTTTTAATCATTTGATCATGATACACAAATTGATGGAAGTTTCCGTTCGGGAATTTCATTTTTACGACTTTACAATGCACAAATAATCAATCAACTAGCTGAAATTATCGTTGCAACTTTTATTAAATACAGTAAAAATTATAATTTCAGAACTGCATAAGTATAAACTTTCTTCTCGTATCCGTTTTATTAAAAATTCATATCCACAATATTAATACAAATTAGTGAAAATAAATTTGCAAACAAATCAATATGGAAATTAGTTTATTTCAAAAGGTTTAATTGACGTCATCGTTCAACTTTATTATTCATCAAAATAAATAAACACATTTACGTCTGTTTGATTGTGAGGTTCAGTTTTTAAACAATTAATTTTATTTTTGAAAGGTTTAAAGTTCTTTTAACTTAACGGTTTTGTACGAAAAGGAAAATTAGCAAACAAAAAATTTACATCCTTCAATTGCCAAATGTCTAAATTATCATGATCCGACCTAACCGTAAAAACATGAAGAGGTTGAGTTTTTCTGCTGCTTTTTGAATTAATTTGGAACAAATTTATGTATTTTCACAATCTTCCATTTATTATGACTTGCATCAAAGCTTAAAAACCAAACATAAAATCAAAATCAATCCATAAATCGTAAAGAATGAGAGCGTTCACCATCACTGAGATAATTCACAGAGCAATCAGATCTTCTTTGTGGTAAAAAGCTTAAAATATCTGTTTTAAAGATTATAATGCAGAATAGAATAAAATACATTAAATATTTGACAACTGCTGTAGCTATTCTGATTTTATGTGCCCTTTGTCTATCTTTCTCAAGATCTTCATCTTTGAAATTCAATAAATATCGTCTAAATCCGTAGAGTGCAAATCTAGAATATGTAATCAATGAGCCTCTATAGTGAGAGGTATTGTCGAATGCTTTAAGATCTTCTGGTCTTAGATATGAAGCTAGTTTTATGAAATTTTCATTCTGGAAGTCAAAGTTGTGGGTTGTAAAATATGTTAGAGCCTTGTTGGCTTCATACATTTTGCGTTGAAGTTTCATTAATCTAAAAAGTAATAATCATAAGTATTTAATTAAAAAGTGCTTAATTTCTTAAGTGATTACCTTGGTCTCATTCCTTTAATTTTTAGAGCTGTATCAATAATCATAGCTGGTATTAGTTGGAAAAAGAAACAACGGATTAAGTTCCATATTGCACATAAAGTCACACCACCACTTTGGACGAATATTCCTAAGTTTCCGGGAGGAAATTCTTCACAACTACCATTAATTCCAATATCTAATAGCTGATTAATTGTTACTGTAATCATTTTAGCTGCAGCTGCATTGATGACGGGAAGCACACTTAAAAGAAAGAGAATAAAATAAGCACATAAAATTAAGTCTTCATATATTTCAAACCTTTGCTGTTCGTGAGCTCGCTTCCAACTAGAAATGATCATAGCTTTTACACATACATCGACTGGCAACATATCAAGTATATTCTTAGGATCACAGAGCATGGTTTTACTAATTCCAATATGAGAAGCTAACAAAATTCCCATCGGACCATTGAAATTGTCTACATAACCTCTAAATGGTTCCTCCCATGCGCTAAAGACTATAGATGGTCTAAAAATAATAACTGGAAGTCTGTCCTTACAATGAAGTGAAACATGTTCAGCTAGATTTTTTGAAAATACGTAAGTGTTCGGCATAAAGCTTGTGTATTTTTTTGTGACAAAATTAAGCACATTTTCTTCCATTTTTTCACAGATCTCAATTGTCTTTTGCCAATCGGCAATCGCCGGATAAATTTCTTCCTTTACAGAATCATATCCAAGATTGCTATAAGTTGTCGATACATGCATGACACATTTGATGTTCAGTAGAGTTGTGGCAAATTCCATAACTTCTCGAGTTCCTCTAGTATTCATCAATACAGCATATTTTAATGAATCATCAAATCGAACACTAGCAGCTGAATGATAAACTATTGACACATTTTTCATCATTTTCTTATCATGTTCTGACATTCCAAGTCCAAGTTGTGACACGTCACCTTCAATTGGAACTAGTTTATCCATAAATTTTGGATTGAAAACTCTCAACGCATCAAACACAACTTGATCACAAAGGGATGTTAATCTTTCATCAATTGAATGTCCTTTCTTTGGTCTTAATAGAAGATAAATTGTCTTAATGTCTGGACATGATCTTAAAAGCTTCTCAATCAAAACTTTTCCAAGAAATCCAGTTCCTCCAGTAATGAAAATTTCTTGGCCAGCGAAAAAGTTTGGAATGGTTGGTAGATGAAGAAGTGCTTCATCCTTTTTTAACAAGTTATCAATCATCTGCTCGTGTAATAAAAATGGATGAAAATTTCCATTTGGGAACTTCATTTTATGTCTTCACAATTCACTAATTTAAATCAAACTAGTCACTAATTCTTTTTGAACTTTTAATATATACGAAAATTTCTAGACAAAAGAAGCATTAGAAACTAATTTGTAATCGTATCGGTAAATTCTGGATATCATTCGATTTTGAAGGTTTTTTTAAGGTGAACATTATTGTCAAAAAATTAGTTTTAAAGCACGTGCAGTTCAGCATTTTCGTTTCTTTCACTAGTTCAAAGTGTAAATAATATGTTACTTAATAGTGAAAGAAAGAAGAATAGCTTAAACTGATCATAATTACAGTAAGGAACATTAAATATTTTAAAATGAACTTTATTACAAATTTCAATTACAATCCCAAAATAATCCAAAAAGTATAGAATATTGACTTTCAATTAACACAGTCGACAGAGAAATGAGATCTTTGTGACAGAAAGCTCATAATACCTGTTTTGAAGACTATAATACAAAATAGAATAAAATACATTGTATATTTGAAGACTGTTGTAGCTATTCTTATTTTTCTGGTCCTTTGTCTATCCTTTTCTAAATCTTCATCTTTGAAATTCAATAAATACCGTCTAAATCCATAAAGGAACAGACGAGAATATGTTATTAATGAACCTCTGTAAAATGACATATTATCAAATGCTTTTATATCTTCTGGTTTTAGGTATGAAGCTAGCTTTATAAACTTATCATTTTGGAAGTCAAAGTTATGCGTTGTAAAATATGCGAGTGCCTTGTTGGCTTCATACATTTTGCGTTGAAGTTTCATTAATCTAAAGAGTAAAAAATTATAAGAAACTAATTATTAAGTAGTTCTTAATTTGTTATATGATTACCTTGGTCTCATTCCTTTAATTTTAAGACCTGTATCAATAATCATCGCAGGTATTAGTTGATAGAAGAAACAACGAATTAAGTTCCAAATTCCACATTTAGTCACACCACCGCTTTGGACAAAAACTTGTAAGTTTCCAGGCGGGAATTCTTCACATGGACCAGTTCTTCCAATTTCTAGAAGTTGTTCAATCGTTACTGTTACCATTTTTGCTCCAGCTGCATTGAACACTTGAAGCTCACTATTGGAAATTATTAGTCAATACAAATTTTTGAACAATTTATTTTTATACTGTTATACCTTGATTGTTCGTTAGAGCGTTTCCAAGTAGAAATGATCATAGCCTTTACACATACATCGACTGGCAACATATCAAGTATATTCTTAGGATCACAAAGCATTGTTTTACTAATTCCAATATGAGAAGCCAACAAAATTCCCATTGGACCATTAAAATTGTCAACATAACCTCTAAATGGTTCATCCCAAGCACAAATTATAATAGATGGCCTAAAAACAATAACTGGAAGTCTATCTTTGTAATGAAGTGAAACATGTTCAGCTAGATTTTTTGAAAATACATAAGTGTTCGGCATTAAGTTTATGTAAAGTTTTGTGACAAAGTCAATCATATTTTCATCCATTTTTTCACAGATCTCAATTGTCTTTTGCCAATCGGCAATATCCGGATAAATTTCTTCCTTTACAGAATCATATCCAAGATTGCTATAAGTTGTCGATACATGCATGACACATTTGATGTTCCGTAGAGTTGTGGAAAATTCCATAACTTCTCGAGTTCCTCTAGTATTCATCAATACAGCATATTTTAATGAATCATCAAATCGGACACTAGCAGCTGAATGATAAACTATTGACACATTTTTCATCATGTTCTTATCATGTTCTGACATTCCAAGTCCAAGTTGTGACACGTCACCTTCAATTGGAACAAGTTTATCCATAAAACTTGGATTGAATACTCTCAACGCATCAAACACAACTTGATCACAAAGGGATGTTAATCTTTCGTTGATCGACTGTCCCTTTCTTGGTCTTAATAGAAGATAAATTGTCTTAATGTCTGGACATGATCTCAGTAATTTTTCAATCAGCACTTTTCCAAGAAAACCTGTTGATCCAGTAATGAAAATTTCTTGTTGAGCAAAAAATTCAGGAATTGTTTCAAGCTGGTGCAATGCTTCATCCTTTTTCAACAAGTTATCAATCATCTGCTCGTGTAATAAAAATGGATGAAAATTTCCATTTGGGAACTTCATTTTTATGTCTTGACAATTCACTAATTTAAATCAAACTGGCCAAAACTTCTGTTAAAACTTCTAATAAATACGGAAATTTAAACATGATAATTAGCTTATCGGTATAAATTTGGATATAATTTTATATTTTAAATGCTTATTTTAGTTGAAGAATCTATAATTTTCGCCAAGGAATTAGTTTAAATATAGCAGCACGTGATTGAGCTTTGAAAAATGAAGAAATTTGCATAAACTGACATTTGTAAATTATATTTGGGTGTCACTTTTTATAAGATTGCTGTTAAGGCTCACTAATTGTCTTGGACCATTAAAAATGGCTGAAATTTTCATTTTCTACTCTCTGTTGGAACCTATGGAATGGAGATATCTATTAGAAATAAATCATTGAATAAAGTCATCTCTAATTTTTGACCCATGAATATTTATTTTATTGTCTTGTTAATTATACATAAATAATCTTTATGTCTTGAAAAATGCTAAACTTAAACATATCCTTTAGAACGAATTAACACTTGCTGCATTTCAAGTTTTTATGCTCAATAAAATTCATATTTTTAACTTCCCATTGCGATACAATATTACCCAATTTTAAAATTTCAATTTATTGCAAATATCAATAGCTTATAATTAGGTTTACAATTAAAATCAAATTCAGATTCTACTTATGCAAATCGAGAGTTAATCCATTAATCCATAAGGATAAGAATCTTCACTATCACTGAAATTATGAACAGAGCAGTAAGATACTCGACCAAAAACAGAGATCTTTGTAAAAAGAAATTTAAAATGTCTGATTTTGAGATTAAAACGACAAGCAAAGCAAAACATACTAAACATTTGAAAACTGATGTAGCTATTCTGATTTTTCTTGACCTTTGTCTATCTCTTTCAAGATCTTTATCTTTAAAGTTTAATAAATATCGTCTGAATCCATAGAGTAAAATTCGAGAAAATGTAATTGTCGATCCTCTGTAGTATGACATGTTATCGAATGCTTTTATATCTTCGGGTTTTAGGTATGAAGCTAGCTTTATGAAGTTATCATTTTGAAATTCAAAGTTGTGGGTTGTAAAATATCCTAGTGCCTTGTTGGCTTCATACATTTTGCGCTGAAGTTTCATTAATCTAAAAAGTAATAATCATAAGTATTTAATTAAATAGTGCTTAATTTCTTATATGATTACCTTGGTCTCATTCCTTTAATTTTTAGGGCAGAATCAATAATCATAGCTGGTATGAGTTGGTAAAAGAAACACCGAGTCAAGTTCAATATTCTATTTAAAGTGACACCACAACTTTGGACAAAAACCTGCAAGTTTCCAGGCGGAAATTCTTCACTTGGACCAGTGCTTTCTATTTCTAAAAGTTGCTCAATCGTTATTTTTACCATATTTGCTGTTGCAGCATTGAAAACTTGAAGCTCACTAAAGGGAAATTTAAAGACATTAAACATTTGTTTTAACAATCTTTTACAATTTGTCATACCTGGACTGTTCGTGAGCTCGCTTCCAACTAGAAATGATTATAGCCTTTACACACATGTCAACTGGTAACATATCAGGTACATTATTAGGATCACAAAGTAATGTTTTAAGAATGCCAATATTAGAACCAAGCATAATTCCCATCGGACCATTGAAATTGTCTACATATCCTCTAAATGGTTCCTCATATGCGCTAATTATTATAGATGGTCTTAAAACAATAACAGGAAGTCTAGCTTTATAATGATTTGAAACGTGTTCAGCTAGATTTTTTGAAAATACATAAGTGTTCGGCATTAGGTTTATGTAAAGTTTTGTAACAAAATTAAGCACATCTTCATCCATTTTTTCACAAACTTCAATTGTTTTCTTCCAGTCTGCAATCGGTGGATAAACTTCTTCCTTAACCAAATCATATCCAAGATTGCTATACGTTGTTGATACATGCATGACACATTTGATGTTCCGTAGAGTTGTGGCAAATTCCATAACTTCTCGAGTTCCTCTAGTATTCATCAATACAGCATATTTTAATGAATCATCAAATCGGACACTAGCAGCTGAATGATAAACTATTGACACATTTTTCATCATGTTCTTATCATGTTCTGACATTCCAAGTCCAAGTTGTGACACGTCACCTTCAATTGGAACTAGTTTATCCATAAATTTTGGATTGAAAACTCTCAACGCATCAAACACAACTTGATCACAAAGGGATGTTAATCTTTCGTTGATCGACTGTCCCTTTCTTGGTCTTAATAGTAGATAAATTGTCTTAATGTCTGGACATGATCTCAGTAATTTTTCAATCAGCACTTTTCCAAGAAAACCTGTTCCTCCAGTAATGAAAATTTCTTGGCCAGCGAAAAAGTTTGGAATGGTTGGAAGATGAAGAAGTGCTTCATCCTTTTTCAACAAACTTTCAATCATCTGATCGTGTAATAAAAATGGATGAATATTTCCTTTTACGAACTTCATTTTTTATGTCTTCACAATTCACTAATTTTAATCAAACTAGTAAAAAATTTCGTTCGAACTTTTAATAAATACGATAAATACGGAATTTGCAGACATGAATAAAATTAAAATTTATTTAAAATTTGTTTTTTGGTATAAATTTGGATTTAATTGATTTTTAAAGCTAAATTGAGGCTAATAATTTGATTTTTAAAAAGTAGCTCATGCTGTAGTACATACTCGACACATTTAAAAATTAGCGTTGGCTGGCTGGGTGCCTCAAAAACTGGGAACTGAAAGCACTTAAAGACTTTTGGTTTTTTGCATTCGATAGCTGTATTCGTTGTATATGACTTCAATATAAATTTACTGATCTACGCGAGGAACATGCGCTTAGTTCGTCAGTTCACATCTGTAACGGCGATTTCTTTACTAGTTTTGCAAAAAGTTCATAGTGTAAGAATTTTTTTTTTGGTGTCCTTAATACAAAATTTTTTGAAGTCTCATCATTAGAAGTGGCATACATATACACTGAAAATATTTTATATAAAGCATGTCGTAAATTTGCAAAGACATACTCAAAAAGTAATCAATAAGTCGGCAGCAAAACAAACTTTTTAGATTGAAAGCTTTAATTGCTTAGAGATCACGAAAGGCAGCAATAGTTTCACAAACATTTCATTGGAAAAAAACCTCAGAGCATGAAATCTCATTGTCTGAACATTTTCTCTCGAAAATGCCAAAAAGTGAAGCTGAATGAAAAGAAAATGTTTGTTTTCTCGTTTCTCCTTTAGTTCTTATCGAATCGTGGATGAAAATAGAAAAAAAGAGTGAAATAAAATTTTCAAGATCTAATTATGGAAGTATTGGAATTAGATTCTTTATTTCTTAGTAAGAGGATACTAGTTGATACTGATGAATGTAAAGATTTTGTATCAGGTGGAGTGCTTGTGTCAAACATTGATGGAACAATTAAACGAATTTTTACGTCTCAAGAAGAGATCAATTCGTGGATGTTTCGTTCAACGGGAGCCGATGTAAATTTGATTCTTTTCTTTTTTATGAGAGTTAAAAAAATTCCCGAGAGTAAAAAAACTTAATTTTCTCACTAGGTATATGATTTTAAAAACAAAATTATAATGAGTGGATTGATCGATGCGAATGTAAACATTTGTTCGGGAAGCGGTTTAGAGGACTTTTCGAGTATCACAAAGGCGGCAAGTGCAGGAGGGTACACGTGCATTGTTGACAATCCAATGTATTTATGAACAAATCTATTTTTGATTCCCTTCCAATAAATCCATTAAATCTTTCTTAGGTTCTCAAAGCCAGCATCAACAACATTAAAGAACTTAAAGGCAAAGATTGTCGATGCGAGAAGCAAAAACTCTTTAAATATTGATGTGGGTTTTTGGGGAGGTGTTACAAGAGATAATCATGATGAGCTTATAGCTATGGCAAATCAAGGTGTTTGTGGTTTTAAGGCAATTCTCAATCCACAAGACAGCCACCCAGACTTTTCTCATTTGTGTAAAGAAGATTTGAAGAAAGCTCTCGAAGTTTTAGAGGAAATAAATTGTGTTTTTGCTGTAAGTAATCTGATTTTGTATCTACCCGAGTAGCAATGCATTATTGTTTGGATGTCACATGGCAACTGGATGTGTTGCTCGGGAAAGCTTGTGTAATAAGTATTATTTACAATTTCACAGATAAAGCCTGATATGGAATTAAAAGAACCAATTATACCTGAAAATGCAAACTTAAAAGATTACAATACATATCTGACAATGAAGCATCCATCAATGGAAAAATGTGGAATTGAGATGGTACTTGATTTAATTAAGGAGCATAAAATGAAAATTCATTTAACAGACTTATCATCATCCGAGTTTGCTCCATTGATACAAAAATACCGAAACCAAAAAACCCCAAAGCAGTCAACATTGTCTGTTGAAACATCGTTACATTATCTGTCATTAGCATCCGAAGAAATCGGAAGTGGAATGACTGAATACAAATGCTCCCCACCCATACGAAATGGCAAAAATAAGAGACAACTTTGGGATTCGATGAAAATGTACGACTTTTTCAATATATCCAGCAGTCATTTGCCAAGTTCAATTAAAACAAAATGCTTGATTGGCGGTAGAAATCGAGGTAATTTTATTGAGGCTGCAAATGGCATCTCATCACTTCAATTTGGACTCCCAATATTTTGGACGGAATGTAGAAAGAATCGAATGAGTATTCATGATGTTCATCAATTCATGAGTTGTAATCCAGCAAAGCTTTGTGGCTTTGATAAGAACAAAGGTAAACTCAAACCTGGTTATGATGCTGACTTTTGTATTTGGGATCCAGATGAGGAATGGACAATCACAAAAGAAGCGACATTGTTCAAAAACATAATATCACCGTACTTTGGAAAGACTGTTGTAGGAAGAGTTTATGCTACAGTCGTTCGTGGATATTTTGTTTATGACGCAAATCGTCCAAATGAGACTGATGAACCGATAGGCACGGTAGTGCTTAAAAAGCCAATGAAGCGTTCTGAAAGAGCAATTCGATTTACCGACAACGATAACAATGAAGATGATGAGCTATGAAGAAATGGATAAAAAGTCATGCTGTGAATTCTTCAAATATCATTGAAACTTTTATTCAGTTTTATTTTATTTCATTTATTTTTTGTTTCTCCTTTTTTTATTTAAAATCTTTTCATCATAAAAAGTTTTACACCTTCAATTTTTGTTTTAATTTCTGTTCCTTTAATTTTATTTTTTTTTGCTCGTGAGAAAAAAATGAAAACAAAGTATAATTTATTATTTTATTAATAATATTATTGAGAAATGTTCTTTAAAAATTTGAGATTTTGGTTACCACATCAAGTTTAGAGAGAATTTAATTAATTAATTAAGTGATTTATTATAAGCCTTTATGTGGAATCTACGAAAATTTTTCAGATATTTCTGTGTAAATTTAATTTTGTAAATGAAAAAATTATCAATCAACGTTAATTTCGAGTTGATTTGAAGATGATTGTTGGATATTCTTTTGTTTATTTATCGGCTTGAGTGATTGTTCTGATTGCCCTACTTTTTTTTGAGATAACTTTTCATCGAATGTTCGATGAATTGGCGTTACTTTGATATTGTAAAGTTAGGCAATTTGAATTTCTTTGAAAAATCTGATAGCAAGAGGTCTTACTCGTTGTTCAGAAATGATTTCCAACTTTTTAAGGGTAGTGAAACTTTAGAGGTTTCAAAAATGAACATTCCATATCCAAAAAACACTGGGATGAAATTTTGTATTCCTTAATAATTTTAGAACATTGGAAGATCTTTTGAATTTGATATTTTAAGTTATTAAGAATGCCTGATCTTCAAAAAACCTAAGTTGTGTGTTTTACAATTTCTTGATTGCTTTTAATAAATATCCTGCAAAAGTCTATCCAAATCATCTTCAAATAAACACCAAAAATTCAATTAAAAATCTTCTTTATCTAATATAATATTGTACATAAATTACCAAATTTGTCAATTTAGCTCATAAATTATCGCTTTGTAATTAAAAGAAGAGAAATAAATCTTTACAGAAAAAAAAAGTTCTTTCGTGATGCGGGTAATACTGTTATTCCTTAATTTAATTTAATTTATTATTAATAAATTTTAAATATTTTTCTTCTTCAAAGAAATTGTTTTTATGTAAAAATTATGTAAATTTTTTGTTTATGGAGGATGGAAATGAATCATTACACTTACACTTCTACAAACTTTCATTTTATGAATATTTACATTGAATTTTTGTTTCGTTTTTCCTTGTTTAGAAATTTATTAATATTAATTTTTAAATCCATACATTAATATGAACAAATCATCATCATCATCATCATCTAGCTTTATCAGAGCTTTCATATTTAAATTAGTTGCAAATTAGACGGAAATTGTTGCTGAATTTTTAATTTTTTTTTTGTACGTGACGTCGTTTTGTTGTAAAGTTTAATTTGTAGTTCTAGACTTGATCTCGAGCAGCACATTACTGCAAAATATAATATATCAGTTTTGCATAGCATTACTAGCTTGATCTTCTTGAACAAAATTTTAAATTAAAGTTTTGTGGTGCTCGGGATAAAGCTTTGAAATCAATAATTAAATCAACCTTACTATCCAAAATGATTCAAATAAATTAAAATTCAAGATGCGCATTTATCATTACAAGAGACTTAATTATTGCAGTAACACAATGAAAAATTCTACTTCCATAAAGTTTTCAAGATTAATTTTCGAGAAATGAAGTTTAAAAAAATCTTTCACAATCGACTATCCTCAAATATTAACAATCTACTATTTATTATTATTCACAAAAAGTCTCTACGCAAATTAAAGTTCACTATTTATTGTATATTCATATATTAATAGATAAAAATTGTTTCTATAGATACACGTATGTCTATTGAAGATGTAGAAAAAAAAAAAGTTCTGATGTAGTAATTAAGTAACAAATTCATCAACTAATGGCTATCAAATTTCATTGGGATGAGCTTACATGATTTCATGACTTAATAAATTACTTCTTTTCTTCTATTCTCTATCAATTAGTAGCTTCAACAAAAATAATTAATTAATTAATTGTTTGTATAAATTTTATACAGAGTACATTGAACAGATAGAGAGAAAATTGATTTTTTATTTCATCTAATTTTTTTCCTTAATGTGTTGATTGAGTTGGAAATTCGATGGAAATAACTTTTAACTCTTTTTGGATAAATTCCAAGAGCTTTTTATCGATTCGTTTGACATGACCGAGTGGCACAGGATCATTGAGGTTATAAAATAATCATTCAGAATTTTCAGCTACAAACTTCAAATCTTAGAATAATTCGAATAGCTCCCAAATATCCTCATATATCACTCGGTCATAAACCAATCAGCTAAGTAATGAGTTATTTAAAATCTTCCAATCGAACGAAATTGTTACATTAATGTTCGATGCATAACAGATTCAATCAACATTTATCTCTATCAAATAGAATGAGAAAATTAACTCTCATCTCTGTCATCATCATTTCATTCATTAATTTATGCTTACATCTTTTTTTTTGTATCTTGTGCACGAAAAAAAAAATGAATCTCTAAATATTTATTCATCTCAATTGATTTATTATTAAAAAATTTATCAACGTTTTACTTAATTTAAGCCATAAATTAAAAGTTATCTTATTTACAAGTGTATTCCTGAATAACTCGTTTACATGTCTCACATCTTACATTACAACACCATTGAAATTTGCAATTGCATCGCTCATAAAGTACAATTTTCTTTGTATTATATCCACGTCCACAACAAAGAATTGAACAGCTGTCTAATCCTGTTGAAGTACGATTACATTTACGGCCGTGCGTGCCTAAAGGGAGATGAGACGAGAAAGTAGAATTAAAAAAATGAAAATTAATTAATTTTTTTTCAAGTAGCAGATGCATAAATAATGATTAATGTGGATGTTTATTTACCTGGCCATTGCAGTTGCTTATTTGCACGACACCAATCAGGACTTTCATCAAGATAAACTAAATCGAGTGCTGTTGGTACTTTATATCGAGAATCTTTTACTTGTAATCGACCACGCTTATTCATTTTTACTTGCGTTGCTTGCTCGTATTGTTCGCGTAAGTAGTCGCCTGGAATATAAAAAAAAATTATAATTATTCATTTATTTGTAAACGGAACGATTGATTTAATCTTCAAGATATCATTTAAATATATCTTGCATGCAGAAGTGGATCTATTGAGCTTAATGGAAACTTTGAGTGGATTTGCAGAGGAATTTCTTAGAATTTTGAGCAAATCCTTAATCAATGTTGCTGCTTTGTAATATCAATTCAATTTTGTTTAAGAACAAACTAATCTAGTTCCAACAAAATCAGCTCAAAGATTCCAAAACTCTCACTTTAAATGCTTACCAATCTCCCTGACAGACGATAACTGTTGCCAGCATGTGATTAAACTGCACGAACCACTAATACCATGGCATGTGCACAGCACTTGATGCTTTTTAATTGCAGCCTATGAAAATAAGAGAAGTTAATTTATTATCAAATATTTAAACAAGTCTTTATTGCTGAGCAAATATTGAATAAACTTACTCTACGTCCAGCTTCATTATTATGAAGGTTCATCAATGCACGCGCCTTATTAGATGCTGTCTTAAAGCGATTCTTTTTACGTCCCATGTTCTCATGATCCGCATTCATATTGAAAATCTTTGAATTGAGAATTTCCTTATTGATTTTCTCCTATAAATTAATTAAAAATTAATATTTATAAAATGCAGTAACTAATTGCAGGTATTCATTGTATACACAGCACTCAATGAATAGTAAGCAGGGAAAAATAGAAATATTAAAAAAAAACTTTTTCAATTTACCTGCAACTCATTCATTTCCTTCTCTTTTAAATTTGAATTTAAAATTTCTTGCGTGATTTTCTGTTGGAGTTTAAGCATCTCATCTGTTTTTGCCTGCTCTTCGGGGCTCAATGTGGTTGAAGTTGTGGTATTATCTCCAGCTGTTTCATTTCCCATCAATTCGGTTGTCTTTGGAACTGTTACTAATCCACGAGCGCCTCGCTTTCTTTCCTTCTCGCGAATATCGACAAAGTTTTGAGAGTATCTGGTCGGAAATATATTTGATTAAAAACTTTTTCTGGTCGTAAGGATCAGGAGTTTTGTTTTATTCAAGTTCTGGATTTATAATATTGCCAGGATTTATCCGAGTTTACCAAAGAATCACCATAAATTAGTTGTGAAAACAAGGTGGAATCTAAAGTATCAAATAGTTCTAAGCGAATATGTCATGGCAGAAGAAAGGGTATAGTCTGGTCTGCATCCTAATGATTGGGGAATATAAAGTAATCTTTAATAAGGCCATAGGCTCTATTCTCCAAAACAACTGATTCATCAAACATTCATTAAGGATACAAGGCTACATTTAGCAGTTGTTGCTAAGCCTCAACGGAGTTTTAGAGAATTTTGTAATGGAAGCTCCATGTGTTATGACAATAAAGTCCAAAAAACTAGTTGTTGGCTCATTCAGCATAAGTGCCTCAATGAAAAAAAGGGTAAAAATCTTTCATATGGAAAAATAGTGTGACTAATTAAATTCTAAGTGACGAAAAGTTAATGAAGAGGGACATAAATGATCAGAACAGATGAAAATTACTGACAATGCTGCATATCATTGCCATCCCTTTTTTCATAAATATCAATTTCAATATGCAGTCAACAAAGAAAGTCGAGAAAAAGGAAAATTGTCATAAAAATGTGGTGATTTTTTTCCTTTCTTCGATTCTAAATACCAATTTATTGGACATAATCGGAATAAGTGAAGAAGGCAATAAATTTTATTGTTTGTGAAATTAAACACATTATTGCCTTTTTTCCTTGATACGTTTTGACATGTCATTTTTTGTGTAAGATATTTATGACAGATTAAATGTTTCTTAAGTGACATTCCATTTTATATTAAATTAGGCTTTTATTCCTTTTTTCGATATGTTCATTGGGAATTTATTTCCCGTGTCTACTCTTTCATTTTAGGTAAGATACGTTAAATTTCTCAGGGCTGCTATCTATCTGAATAATTTATTTGAGGATATATTAATTTGCTTGATTGTATGACATGAACCAAGGGACGGAAATGTTAATAATGTTGGAATATTCTAGAGCTATAATTAAGTTTAATTTTGACTTTTTGAGATTTAATGCTTGGGGGTTTTTATAAAGGAACATTACGAAGATATCAATGTTTACAAAAACAATGCTCAGATGGATCAAATTTCCCACAATAAGTCCAAAAACTAATTTGTTAAAATCCTGCAAAATTCATTAATGTTCAAAAAAATCCCGACCACAAGAAACAAATCTGCCGACATCTCAAAAGAATCCTACCGACCATTATCACAATACTTAGGTACTCAAAAAACAATTTCCTTTTCGGCATATTCCAAAACCCACAAATTCTCATGCATACTAGCTAATAACACATACTGAGAAGAAGTGGAACAACAAAAAAGGAAGCGTCAAGGGATATTTTTTTACTTTCCGTCTTATCGTTTCTTAATTTATGGACCCCACGATCTTCAGGCCAAAAAAAAAAGGAAGAAGAAGGAAAGAATTTACACATTTTATTTCCATTTCAGACTTCATCCAAAACACAATGTAATACATATTATGTATATTTGTGTAAGGGATACAATTTCTTCACTTATGTTTTTAATTTATGACTTTCCTGTTATCCACTTTAAGTCTTGTGTTTGTGTGGTTGCTGCACTTGACAAAAAAAAAACTATATCTTCTCATAATGTATGTTTCCATAACTGCATTTAATCTGATATTAATGCAATATAAATTTTCTGCTTTCTCTTCCCAAAAATTCTCATCATTTTATTACCATTGATGCAAAAGATACAAATAATGTACGGTTGTTGAATAGATGGGAATGAGAGAATATGGAAGTCATTTTATGACGTAAACTGATTTGATTTTGGCATCACAAATTAATCTTGTTTAAATATTAAAATAACAAAAGGCAGATTTGTATGATGTCTGTTATGTTGTGGGAAGAAATGTTATTTTCAGTAAGTATGTGCTGCAAGTCTAACTGATTGATAGGTACGTCTTTTGTGAGTGAAAGTATTTCCTGAAAATATTTGCGAAATTAAATTTTTGTGGCATCAAAGAAGTTATTTCGAGTTATGTTAGTCTTGATCAAATTTTGTGGATATATAGGAGGCAAATGTGCTTGAAAGAGCTTGGATTAATTTTTTCCTTTCACAGAAATCTTAAGTTGAAGATGTGAAGATAAAATACAGGATGTATGGACCTTCTGAGTGACTAGAAATTTAATGAACATGGCGAATAGTTTAAGGTTCAGTTTCTGTTAGGAATCAAACCCATGGTTTTGTAGATTTGCAGATAATTGCCTTACCAATCGACCACAGATTCATAGTCACAATTTTGCAGATTCGTCTCCATAAACCTTGACTCACAGATGCCACGTTGGCTCCTACATGATAATACTCTTCTGCATGTTCTAAACAAAAACCCATTTTATCAATTTCCTCTTAAATTTTAATGATTCTTCAGTTTTTAATAATTCCATCTAAATTAACGTCCCTATCATGAATAATCAACGTTCATCCTTCTCATCACTAAAGCAGTAATATCACAAAAATTCAAAAAATATCTCAAAATGTAAATATTCAAGAATGATTTTTCATATTCTCTGTGTACATACGCCTGTACAATGTTATCACCACCCTCTCATCCACTTTTAATGTTGGCATAAAGAGGATTAATAAAAATATTGGAAAGCTCTTTTTCGGTTTCCTTTATGCAAACATGCTCTCGTGATCTTTGTGTTTTGCTATGGCAAATAAACAGTATCATATGGATGGTTATGCTACTGTTTGCCTCTGCTGAATGTTTGTTTTCACAATGGGAAATTACTGTTTGGGTAACTGATAGCATTGAGTATGATTCACAAACAAATATAACATTTTTATATCCGATATTGATAGGACATAAGCATTTAATATGAGTATAAGTCCCTTTTGTTAATAACAAAGAACGGATTTTAACATAATCCTGGCAATTTTACATCTAAAAAGGAAAACATTTTTCAAATACTCACTTGTATCCAAACTCGAGGTCATCACCGCAACCTCCCCACGTCCAATCTTCATGTAACTGCTTTGGACGTGCTGAACGTGAACATCCACATGTTGTTAGCTGTCCATCGCGACATGCACGTGCAATGAAACTTGTGACTGCTGCTGATGCCATAGCATAAACAAATGCCATCTCGGGTGACCCTAAAATGCAGAAAATATTTAAATTTAAATTTTTTTTTTGAAACTTCTTCTTTCGCTGTTTTTCATTAATAAATTTCATGGTTTATTTTTTATGATGTGCATTTGTGTTTGTGGATTTTTTTTATGTTCTGTCAAATCGGAAGGGATAGAAAAAATAGATGCTAATCACGATTATTCTTTCCCATCTGAATGCTTTTTTAAAATGCACTTCAAATTCTCATCAGTTGTTTAAAATGCGATTAAGTTACAATAAAATAAACGAACAAGCCCTAATGTGCAGTTCATTCTTTGTTTCCTCTGCTTTTTTTTTTGTTGCTTCTGTTACTGCTTATGAAATGAAATCATAAATTACAATTTAAAAGAATTCATCAACATAATTCGTGACCCTCAATAGAGAATGGAAACAGTTATTGAATTTATTTGTCTCGTACGGAATAAAATCTGTGATTGTTCATAAGGTTAATAGAATCGAATGGATGAATGGGACATGCGAGGAAGGCAGAATTCGTATTTTTGAATGTTATGAGGTTTTGGGTATTTCAAAGATTTAAAATGAATTTTTAAAACTTTATAGTCTATCTCTTACATCATCACTGCCAATATCAGAAATCATCCCAAATCAAATCATAAACTAGCTCAACATTTGTAAAACAGAACCAATTAATAATTTTTGTTGACTTTACAAAATTTTTCGACACCTGTCAATGCATGGTTTAATATTTTTGCAAAAGGTAAGCATAAAAGATGAAATATGAGAACTTCAATGTTACTAATGGGTTGTTTTGTGACATGAAAATATTAGTAATTAATTATTCTTGTCAGTCGTTTAAGATGGAAGGTATCGTTGTGATTAGAAGAATTTGATCTTATGGGTGATGTACTCAATTTGAGAGTTCAGGATTAAAACAGTTTAATGACAATTCTTGAAGGTTTTATTTTGATAAAGACTTAATGCTGACTTTTATTGGACATTTAGCAATAATAAAATTATGTTATAAATTAAATTTGAGACTTTAAAGATCATGATTGGTCATGTCGAGTTCGATTCTAACAAATGAAAAATAAACTGAGCATTATTTCATTAATCTCACATATTAATTTTTTATGCACCGAAAACCTAGTTTCTAAACATTCTTTCAAGTCATTTCAACAAAAAAAATTATTGTCATGGACTTAACAGCTATAACGAGCAAGTGAATTTTCTACATGAACTATTTGATGACTGCGTAATTAAAATTATTTTTTTTTCTCTTCAAAATCCAAAAGTTTTGAAGTTAAATAGGAATTTTTTTTTGAAGTTTAATGTCGAAATGTTGAAAATATATTTATTTCTCATTGCAATAATGCTTGCATTATGTACGGTTGAGTAAACTTTTTCATGCGAAGTTTCTGGTATCTTTGTGTGTAAAACGTAATAAGGAATGCTATTTGTGTTGCTATGAACTATGAAATAGGATTAAAGAATCTTTTATATAATATGGGAGGAAATGATGCTTAATAGTTTTCTACGCTGTTCATTCCCGTTGGATATGCTGTTAGTTTCTCTATTAAAATTTTGGCACATTTTTAAAGAACACACAGAAAGATAATTTTCAATGCGACATCCAATTCGTCATGGATATTAAGGCATTCATTTCTGTTGTTTTGCTTTTTTTGTTATCCCTCGGGATCTGAAATTCTGATTCTCCTTTTGTCCCATTTCTCTTTATGGACAAAAAAAAATCTCTTTCACCAGTTAAACGCAATTATTTCGTCACAAATTTCAATTTTACTGATGACTGAGACCAATTTCCATTTTACATTGTTGTATTGATGCCTTTTTAGCTTCACATTTCTCCCCGCATTTCATCATTATCGAAATGATTTAATTTTTTTTGTTACTGTTCCTCTTCTTCATACTTTTTTATTATGTTACTAGTAAATGCAACTGACAGAAATCCCACACACGATTTCTCTTTTCTCTGTGCTGTCGAAACAAAAGAAATTAAGCCTCGATCCATCTCTATAATTTTGATTTTTCACGGTAATAAAATTAGTTTCAATTTCTAGTTGATATCCCTATTTTAAAATGTTAGATATAATAATGTAACTTTTAAATCTGCTCGATTGTGTGTGTTCCTCATTTTCGAATCAAAAAGGAATTTAATTCGAAACCAGAACCCTTTCAAAAAAATATTTTAGACGTGAAATATGCATGTGCTTTATAGATAATGATGATGATTATCAAATGTAGTTTAGTTTTTGGAATAGAAATTTGTAGTAAATAATTTGCGGTACAATGATATTAATGAGATGAATTTAGAGTAATTTATAATTGTGGAATTTGAAAGGTATTCAGGATGATTGAGGTTAGCATTTGATAGATATGAATTTTGTTAAATTTGATATAATAGAAATAAGTAGTTCTGTAGGGTTGTTTTTTAAATGATGTTACAACTTAGGGAATGGTTACAACTTGCGGAACCTTCCTTAGAATTGAAAATCGGTATACAAAAATTTCGGATGTTAACATTATTATTATTAAAGCTAGGTTAAGTATCTAAAATAGGCACCAAATTTAACTTAGAATTGAAAATTGATTAAGATCAAGGCTGTGCAACTACGCACTTTTGAGCGAGACAGTCCCGCTTTTTGGGCAGTTTTTTCTTGGGAAATACTTCAAAATTCGGTCTGTACCGCTTTGCTGAGCTGAAATCGGTCCATTTCTCGCTAAAAAATTGCCATACACAAAAAGACAGCTTATTAAGATCGTAAGCCTGCTTTTTGTTCACTAAATCATAGTTTGACATTTTGTTTCAAACTGGAAGTTCAGAATTCCTTAATTAAGAAAATATTCATTCAGCTGAATCCCGACAATGCTTTTTGCACTAAAAATCAATGTCTTCATAAGCGAAGATTGCTGAAAATTTCCCAAAAATAGTTCACAAGAGGATATTAAATCCTCTTCATTAAAAACTATTGGCAGTGCTTCAAAAAATGTTATAAAACTAAGAATGCATGCATAGTTCCTACGCTCCACAAAATTTCTCGAAGCACCATATTAAAATTACTAAAAATGTAAAACTTAATTTACCAAGAATTTCCATTTCTAGATAAAGAAACTCGTCTTCATCAGAAGAAAAATATGCATTGTCTATTTCAGAGAAGCGCATAGTAAAACATAATGAGATACATAAAAATCATAAGCATAAGAAATTATAATTTTTAGAGTCATTGGATGAGAAAATAGATAGTTTGCATTAAAAATTCCCCAAAAAATAGAGAATAGAAATAATTTCATTGTTAATTTCCTTCCTTTAATGATTCCCATCCATCCCAAAAAATAAATATATGTAATTTTAATTATATATCATGGAAGAAAAGTATTTTTTGTTGTTGTTGTGTATATATTGGAAAAACTTATATGTACAGCATGTGAACGCCAGCGCTAGAAGAGTTGGATTTTAAAATGAAATCCAACATGTTTCAAATTCATCCATCCATTTATATCTATCACAAAAAAAAGTTAAAATTCTTTGTTAAACAACATGTAAGGAAGAGATGGAAGTTATGCTACGTATTATCAAAATATTATGAATGAGTGAATGAAAGAAAGGGAAGGAGAGCAAATATGGTAGGAAATTTATTATTTTCAAGCGTATAATTTTATATCCGAGTCGAATTATATTGAAATTAATATTAATTTTTGTCGAAAAAAATTTCTCGTCGGGAATGAGAAAGAATTTACGAATTTGTATCTAGTTTACTGCGTAAATATAAGCATCAAAATTGAGAAAATTCTCGTATCGTTTTAATCGAAGAAAATTCAAATTTTTCAGATTTATTTTACCCCAACAGAAGCATATTAAGGGCAAATTCATAAATAACGTAACATTTAAAATGAACTCCTCCAACTTTTTTTCAAAATTAATTTTTTGCTACGATTGTGAGTACGACTGAGGCCTTATATCCTCAAACCCAATCTTCAAACTTCCTTAAAAATCGAACCTAATAAGCAAACAACCCCCAAATCATAAAACACAATCAGCACGACTTTAATGATACCAAAATACAAAATCCCGAAACATCTTAAGAATGTTAAACATATCTTTACATTCATTAAATGGGTATGTGATATATGCGGATTATACGTTGACTATGAAATATTTTATTTCATTTTAAAAACCCATCCATATTACTCAAGAACTTTACTGACTCAATGGGAGAACATTTGTCTATTCTAAAGGTACTTCAAAATGAAAGTTTTCCACACTTACGCAAACATTGACTTTAAGAAGAATTATTTCTGGGCATTAATCTTAAACACCGTATATACACACATTATGTGTTTATCGTATTCGTATGGAAGTGAATATACATTTTTTTTGGAGTGTGATTTCTAGAAATATAGTGTGTAGCTACAGTTCTTAATTTTTCTGATGGTCTACAATACTGACTTTGAGTTCAGACACTCCATTGAAGTAGTAAAAATATTAGTTTTTGATAGGAATCGATCCTTCGGCTTGAAAAGAAAAGGGTCAAAATTGACTGATCTATATGTTGACCATTCAACTGCTTTCGCACTGATAGGTTCATGTTAATATAACTCGATGCCCCTGAAACTAATCTCTTATAGACAAACTTTGAACTAAATCTTAAAAATCCAGAAAATGCGCCTTTGTAAGTCATTATTCACAACCATCATGTTACTATATTCATTTTATTCCCTTTAACTCCTCAAAATAAACGTTTATGCCATGAACAAATGCTTCCTCCTTTTATTCTTTAGTTTTACCAAAAAAAATCACATGTAAAGTCTAAAAAAGCAGCACAAAAAGAGCTCTAGAATGCTGCGATGCGAAAGATTTTAATGCTATTTCTGGTAGATTATTTTAAGCTTCACGTTGGAAAGTGGCTTCCCTTATTTTCATGAAACAAATTTTTCATTTTTAATACAGACAGATTTACGTAGAAAAAGTAAACTTTTTTCCCCACCATCCTACTTCCTTCCTTAAATTTTC